TCAAATCGAGAATTTGACCTTTTTATGGGACTTGTCCCGTTAAATAAGTAATAACATAAAAATAAACACACTAGGAAAGCGAATTTCATATTTATTTAAATTGGAATGCCAGATAAATTGTTATATTCATTCCTACTTATGGTAATATTATTATCTCATTTCAATTTAAAAATCAAAAAATAAGAAAAATGATTTTTGTATAAATTAGCTGGCCGCCTACTAGGCAGCCAGTACTTCCACTAAAACATTTCGGAAGAATTACAACTCAATTTGCACTTTCTCGTTTCGACGTCGAAGATTGAATCAAATGTGAGTTTCACTATGAAATCAGCTAGTTTCGAGAAATCGCGCCGACCTTTTTGCCAGATTGTTTTGGGGCCACCATTGAAATAAATGCTTTTGGGCAATTTAATGCGATGAACCCGAAATGGGCTAAATATGGAAAGGTAAATGAAAAGACGAACAATGAACGCAAGCTCATTCGAGTGTCTCCTGATTCCATGAATTTCGATGTATGCATGTGAATGTAGTTGGCGAATTAGGTGAGCACGAATATTGAATGCGAAATGTTTACAAAATGCGTATTTAATGCATGGCACATCGCAAAAATCGGTACTTTTTCCTAATTATGGCTCACAAAAAAGGGGGGCGAGCTGGCGGGAAGCAATTGTGCTAATTGTTTGATGGTTGTGAAGCACCATTGGAGCAAAACATGCCACAAAACTTCCTTATAGATTCAACAACTATACTAAATTATGCAAAAATGTATCAAAAAATGCAAATATAATTTTTTTTTCTTTCAATCAACACATGAAAGTTGAATTTTACTATTTTTTATTGAAATAACTTAGTTTATGGCTAATACTAGTATGAAAACAGCTAATGTTCTATTGGATATATATATATTTTTTTTTCCAAAAAATATTTTTTTCAAAAATCAGCTGCGGACAATCAGCATATGATTTTGTTTCCCTACTTGTCAACATGTTGATATTATTATACAAATAAATTATTTTTCTCAAAAAAAAGGAAAATCTGAAGTTTGAATTAATAAAAAACACTCTAGCTGTTAATAGCTTTCAAAGAGGGTTCAGAAAATAAATGAATGCTAAATTGTGTTCGTTATGGCATGTATAATTTTATAATATTTACATATATTTTCTAGAGCTCATACAATCGGAATGACATAATTCGTTGACGGGAAGCTAGAAAGGAATTTCCTAAGAGAACCCGGATATGAATAATTTTATTTTGGAATCTCTTTTGGTAATAGAAGTGTAAAAAATAGAAAACTAGGGTTTTTTTTTCAGAAAATAAAAATTTGAAAAATTAATTATAGGTGCTTTCTGCTGCCCTTAAATTACACCTAAAATTCTACGAAAGTTTTTTGTCGATGATATTGGATAGCTTGTAGCACTAAATTTTCACATGAAACCTCATAAAAAAACGATAAATAAAATTGAAACAAGATGGCTCTAAAACGTATAATTGAGAGCGAAAATAGCAATCAAAACTGCGAATTGTGTGGATTTCCGGTTTTTCGAAATTGCAGCGAACCAAATGAGTTGGGATGCTCTCGAACAAATGATTATGCAAACGACGTTTTAGGTTAATGAACGTTGTGTAGACGCCTGCTAGTTTGAATGAGGCTCATCTGAAGGTAATCATTTGAGGATGATGTGTTTGTCGAGTGCTAATTGCTTTTCAATAGACTCAATTGAATTCGAAAGATTGGTGGCGTTGCGAAAAATATTAGGGCATCACACGGAAAACTCTGTCCGAAACTTGATACGTCAATTCTAAATGAAATCCATGAAAAAAACATTGAAATATATACGTAATATTTGAGTTTCGAAGCACGGACTTCTCTCCCCCTTTTTTGGTGTCAAAAGTATGCATCTCTACTGCCATGTATCCATGTATATTTCGTGTTTATTCGCTTGAGTGCAACCACTTTATAAACTATAGAAAGAGCCGATTTCAGGATTTGCATTTGTGTATGTGTGTTGTAATTCTACCTGACAATTATTTTGCTGCTCTTCGAAAAATAAAGAAACGGCAATATAACTGAATGTTTGCGGTTCATGGCGGGCCAAATCGTTTATATTTTAGGGATCAGATAGAAAAGTTAAAGATCATTTATGGAAACATAAACATGCACAGTTTTATAAACATTTGATTTCTTGAAAAAATCTTAGAGCGCAAAAAAGATCAAAGAAAAGAGAGTGTTCGGGGGATTTTTCCGGAAAAAAATTGAAGACAATTCCAATGATCTTAAAATTCCGACATATTTTACATTTAAGAAGAATTCATGTCTCATGACTCAAAATAAAAAAAAATGATTGAAATTTCCAGCAGATTTTGAAGATTCAAAAAAACGAATATCAGTTTTTTAATAATAAAAATATTTTTATTAGAAACTGAATAAAGAAATCGTTAAGAAAATGTAACGTTACGGAATGGATTATGCGTTGCATAATACAAAATCCGTGGAATTTTTTTGAACAGGTGTCTCTGCGGAAATGATTGATGGTTATGAACCGAATAGAATATGAGTTATTATATAATCAAACTATGTATGAGTGTGTCTATTCGAGTTACTAGATACCCAAAAAAAGGTGAATGGTTTGAACATAAAAAAAGAAGAGCTAATGTTTGCCAAAGGTTGCACATGCAACCGAGCATATCGCGAAACACACGACCTGGATTATCTGTCACCAGCCGAAACGGACCACCCAAACAGCAGCCATGTTTGACTTTACTAGTAGGGTCGTGGGAGACATCAACACCTGTATCGAAGCAAATCGCTAAATGGGCAGATGCAAGTGTATCAACATAGGCTCTTTTAGTTCCCATTACTGAATAATAAGATAATTGTGATTTGGGCAATGTTTTATTGCGCGATTCCATGCGAGGAAATGACTATTCGAATGACTTCAATAAAAGTTATGCATTTTATTATAACCGACCTTGATGGAACGGCAAGATTATAAAAAATTGAATTATTTTTGAAGAGAAGCATTGAAATCAATATTCTGAAATCAATACTATTAAAAATTGTAAAAAAAAAACAATTGATAGCTAAATGTATCATTTTAGATAATAATTTAATTTTATTCAGCTTAAAATGATAAATTGGAGCAAGGTTGATGAATCATTAATTAAATTTATTAAACATTTTATATATAACACAAATAACTGTTGCCATTAGGCAACAAAGAAACATAAGAGTTAGCATTCAAAAAAAATGTAATATGAATATCTTCAGTTTTTTATTTTATAGATAGGAAACCGAAATCATGCACTTTCTCAAAAATACAACATGGAAAACTGACAAAGAGGGCAACAAAATGAACATATTTCGGCTTTCTTTTCTTTATTTCATGGTCCCTTGGGTCTAACGGCGATTTCTTAGTTTAACCCCGCTGTATAAATGCTTAACACACCCGCATATTCAATATCTTGTCGAATGGGCAAGTATTTCGTTCGCAAATTTTTTGACATCTCATTCATAGAAATTTTTTGCCGTTTCCTGTTAGATGTTGCAATAATTTATTCAACAGTTTAAGGCGTTTATTGAATAGCTGTTCTTAAAATGTTAATTCATGCAATCACGATGTTGTCCTTGATTGGAACAAGCTTGTTCGTTTCGACTCATAAAGGTAGTTCTTTCAGATGGCGTTTATTACATATGAACATATAATATTTTTATTGGTCTGAGATGTGCAAACGAAAGTTTTATTTGATATTTTTCTCCGGTTGGATAGGATTCTCCGAAACGGATAACTATCGTTTTTGTTAGACTTAATTGTCGCTAATTAAAGGTCGAAAACGGCATGCAATAAGAATTAAATTTGTGTCTTTTGTTTTTGAAAAAACTTGTTTTCTTGATAATTCAACTATTTTAAAAGTTTATTAGAAAGAGATAAATGAATTTTGAGATTAACAAAAGTTTACAAAAATTAAGTTGTTTCTGATAATTTGATAGTTCCTCTCAAATAACACCGTAAATCGAAGAAACCGATTAATAATAATTGAATAGATTTTTTTCATTGAAACTTTCCAGCTAACCACGCCCTCAATGAAAAAAGCGTTTTCGATTAACATAGCGAATTAATTTTTTCTTGTCATGTAAACCTGTGTTCATTTCAACTGCGGATTCACTTAACACAATCACGCTTTTGCAACGAACTTTCTCCGACTGTAAAAATGTAATAAATCGAGAATTCATTCTCGCTGAGTAGGCGGTCACATTTCTAAAATAGAGATGGCCGGCCAAGTTCACTTCGCGATCCTGTCGCTAGTTTTGTCGCTCACGATATGCATTAGCCTCGTTCACAGTTGCGCATTTAAGTCGGTGTTGTTTGAGCGATGATCTTCACATCGGAACAACACACACAAACACACCTTTTTTCCCATCTCTGAAAATTTTCTTTCATTGAATTTGGATCATCGCCGCAAAAAGCTATCATCTGGGAAATATTCAAGTGTATAGATTCACTTCGCTTAAGATTTCAATTTCAATGGTTCTGCCGATATCCAAACCATACAATGCCCATGCGCAATTCTAGAGTCATCATTGTGTGATCATTTCCATTTCCGATCATTCATCCAACTAGTATGAATACTATCAGATTGAAAAAGTTGAATAGACGATTACAAAAGTAAATTATTCCTTCAAGCCACACCCTATACGATCGCCAGTTTCTCGATTAGTTCCATCGCCTATATCATTTACTTTTTTAATGGTTTATTAGTTCTGAGGTTTTGGAAGAGATGATATTTACAATGGTACTTCAACAATTGAACCCATTCGCCCGGCAACTTGAAGCTGTTGCCATCCAGTAGGTCATGATTTCCTCACCAAAAACCAATTCCTTTAACTAAAGTTTCTCACATTTTGCGTTCAATTTGTCACTCAAACCTTTTTTAATGTCCAAGCTAGCGGTGTTTCTTTCAATTCTATTCAGTCGCAGTCTTGTGCCTTTTGCAGATCCCCCATGGCGTTTCAACATCTGCTTGTCGTTTTGCTGTACTCATCTGTGATTCAAGGAAGAGGAGATGAAACCTTCGAGGTTGTTCCGAACATCTACAAATTCATTTCCGATAACGCTTATATCTGTGAGTTTTCATTTCCATGATCTGTGACCAGTTTAAGCTGCCCACTGCCGGTTTATATCTAAATAAACAGCAAGCGTGAACACAAGTGAAATCTAGAATTGAAGAGGGTCACTTGCCGGTTACATATTATTTTCCTCTTAAGTTAAATATGCATCTGATCATTCTTCTAACGGGACGCTCAAAAAATACTACAAGCCAGACACTTATAAACTACAGTAAGCGTTTTGGCGCCTAAATGTCGAATCTCGCTCGACCCCATATCATTGAAGGGAAAATACAAACTCCTGCCCTAAATACATATGTAATGAAAATGAAAAGATGATCTAACAGTCCCGTTACGCATTTTATTTTCAAAATTCGTGACCGGTTTTTTTCTTCAGGTAGCCCGGTGTTTCTGCCCGATGGAAGTTTAGTGTCGTTTCTGAACGAAGAGCAAGGATTGAAATGCAACGAGTGTGAAGAAGTTAGCCATTCATTCTACATAAATGTCATCTTATATCCTTACAGGTGTCTGGAGAAAACATTGACAGTGCATGTGGTGTTCGGATATTAAACAATAGCACCGATCCAGTGACATGTTTTGAGCGTAAGCCGAATAATTTTACGACCCTCGCCCTGTGGTTTTTGTGATGCAATTTCGCGGCAAGCGCAATGACATCTTAGAAAGCAACAAAACCGCTAACGCGCTAACTATCTAGCATATAATTTGATTTTGTGTTACGGTCATTCTTGCCGCTTTTCAAAACCAGACACCATTTCAACACCCGGGATTAGTAGCTTGGCCCTGAAGATAATTTTAGCCTTGTGACGAATCGCTGTCCTTTTGCAGTTCCGCCGCTTTGTGTCGAGGAATATAGTCTACGATTTGCTGCACAGTTACAGTCAAATGATGTGAACAATAAAGAGGAAAAGTCGGACGAGATGACAACGGACATGACAGATATCTCGTCGGACGGCATTGAAACTATTGAGAAGTTGACAAAGGAACGCTTTGAAAACTTTCGAAAGAGCTCTGTCATAGAGACTACTGTCGAACCTAGAATTGAATCTGCAACAATTTCATTCGTCGAGCCAGTCGAAGCAGTTACGACAAACATGCCAACCCGAGCCGAATCACCAAATTCAACCCATCCAACTCTTCTTCCCCTTTCCAAACAAGACCCTCAGGATGGAAATGATCATGAAGTCACTATTAATGCCGGCATCTTGAGCGAAGGAAAAATCATTGAAACAAGAACTATTGTTCCAATGTTCGAAATTCCGACGGGAACTCCAAGTGACGAAATCGAAATGAAAGCGGAACAAATTGGAAATGATGTTGTTGGACAACCTGAAACATTTGATGAGAATCAGATGATCATGGAAGAGCCCATCGCGATGGAAAAGAGGAGAAATCTTTTCATTGGAACTACGACTGTCCCAACGACGACAATTCGGACTACCACTCCCTTCATTTGTGAAGACAAACATAATGTAAAATCACATTTAAATTTGTTGATTTTCATTCAAGAAAATTTTTCATTTTCAGCTATGCTGCTTCTGGGCAACCACTGGAGAATGCACAAAAAACCCGTTCTGGATGCATTTGAATTGCGCGAAAACATGTGGAACTTGCAATTGTACATGTATGAGACCAATTATTTCAAAATTACCAAAAATTTATTTTTAGTGGATGAAGCGGACACTTGTGAATCAACTGGAATCAAATGCACCCTTCCCACTACAACAACAACCACCACGACTACTACGACAACACCTCCGCCAACCACAACAACTCAACCAACAACTACAACGGTTAGACTTCTTTTAAATTATAAGGGATGATGAAAAAAGTTTTAATGTTAAATTATTTGATAAACAGTTCACAATTAAGAAAAAATAATTTTAGACCAAAAAACGTTTCACTCGTCCTTTTACCCCACCAGCAAGTGGTTTCAGAAGGACAAAGGCAACAGTCTCGACTTCTTCACAATATGACTTGACAGTAAGGATTCAAACGGAATTGAATTAATTCTTTTAAATTTTCTAGCCTTCTACCACTCCAACACCAACTACGACTCGTAGAACGACGACGGTAAGAATAACGACAACAACAGAGGATTCCTGCAAAGATTATTATGCACAATGCTCGTTTTGGGAGACAATGGGTGAATGTCGAAAGTTGGTTGCACTTTTCGAATCATTCGTAATGACGCTATTTAGGAATCCCTTCTTCATGCGACCAAATTGCCAGAAATCTTGCAAATCATGTGGTGAGCATGTTGATACTGTGTATGCGCCGACACCACGCCCCGGATGCGACAATGGGCATAAATATTGCAATTTCTGGGCTCATATAGGGGAATGCACGAAGAATCCAAATTACATGCTACCACACTGTAGACTAGCGTGCAGAGTTTGCTAACAAATTTTACACAAATTCAAAAAAGAAAGTCAATCTCAATTGTCAAAACTTCATTTTTTTGCAATATACGAAAACATGGTTAGTCTGAGCTTGACTTTCTTACTTATATTAGTTTTCCAACAATGCTGAAAATTGCTTCTAGATTTCCATAACTGAATTTCAGCATTTCTTCTATGAGATTATTGAAAAACAATGATAATATAAAAAAAAGTACAAATGTTTAGCTGAATCATCATGTTACATTTAAATATACCATGTTTTTTTCTTTGTCATCATTAACTTTTCAATATAATTTTTTATATTCAAAATAATTATTTTAAAGCCTCTTGACCCCAAAAATGTGACTATGTACATTACGCCTATGTGTAAATGGAGTTTATTTATTATTTATTTGAACCTCGTTTTAATTGTCATTTCTTGATTTTCTTATTCAATAAAATTTTGACAACTAGCTAGTATAGTTGTCGTTGTTGACAGCATGTCGAATCTCAAAGAAATTAGAGCTAATCAGTGTTGCGAATTTCGGAAGTTTTGTTGGTATTTTGACTCGAGTTTTCTTTCTTCAGTTTCGTCGTTTTTTCAAATTTTGTTGTTGTATCATGGCATATGTCGAAAAAAAATTTTCAGATCCCTTCAAAAGAAAACAATTTATTAGATCTCTTTACTACCCTCAACGTAATTAAATGACCGTAAGAGAAAATTGGCACTTAACTGACTGCACCCTGTAAGAAGGATGAGCAGTTGTTCAGAGAAAAGCACTTGGCGAGTAAACCATGTAATTACCCTCCTGTTCGTTTGATTGGCACCATCCATCTGTCAAGATGAACTGTTGACACGTTCTTCGCGCATCTTTAGGTTGCTTGACATTCAGCAAAAATTTATGTATGCTAACAATGCACATAGTACTTTTCAACTGATGAAGCCGACTGCAGGAATGGAAAAATGTAAATAAGGAGGACCAGGAGTAAATGATTATGCGGATTTTGCCATTTTCGAAGTACACATAGTTCACTATATTTAAATCGGCACACGTCGCCATTTCCGTCGTAGCACGACAATGTTATGACTCAATTTATGAATTTGTGTGTGTATGCGTTTGAGTATGTCCGAAGGAGGTCACAATTTTGCATGACAACTGCATACTTCTTGGCAACTCCCCTCTTTTTTTATACACGTACATATTGCATTGAGTGCCGCCTAAGCCACATTTTCACGTTTTAAAACCAACGAAAAGCTCTGGCGCATCTGAACATGTTGACATAATGGTAAATCCGGACCACATTTATTTGCACACCTGTCAAAAATTTTAGCCCTATATTGGATGCGATGAAATCGATGTGTAAAACCCATTTCATGTCATTAATTTTTGAAATATTTCTAACGGAAAGATATTATTCAATTTAACAAATAAATGCCGCTTCATCCTCTATATTGAAACGATTTTCTTTTTTGGAGATAATGCACTCTTCTCGAAAATGCTATTTAGAAAATTGCTCTATTCAATGGCGGTTTTTTTTTTCAAAATTCCACGCTTCCCCTTTCTATTTTGTCATTTTTTCTTTTTTGTGGGATAGAGAAAAAGAGCAAAATCGGTTTCTTAACTTGTTTTTAAATTCCAATGTTGTTTACTTCCTCTGCTTTGCTTGAAGAAAATTCATACGATGGGCCTTTGTTACCTTTCCTTTGTTAATCGCGAATCTAAAAAAAATGCTTAAAAAATGTTAAATTTCAACTCGAACACATTTCTAAATTCAACTGGGATCATTTTTTTTGATAAAGACGTTTGCTCAACTGATTGATTATCGTTTTCAACATTTGACCAATCATCAGCACTAAAGAGTAAAGTTAAGTGGAATGCAAACACGCCAGCTCTTTTAACGATACCCCCCGATATCATTTTACCAATGCAAATAAGATCTGCTGCCGACTTTTAGGAAATTTTCTCATTATTTTTTTTGTTGTGTTGCCTGTTCAAAAACCTATTTTACAATATTTCTGAAGCATTATGTAGAATTGAGGATATTGTTTACGTGAAAGGGAGTAGGGGAGGGTTGGAGGAAAGAATGAATGTTGGACAACAAAATCCTCTTCATTCTGCGCAATTTTTGTGTAGGTTTTGGTCTTTTTCCTGCGTTCTCGCAATATTTCCATTCTCGTCTTCGCTCATTTTCTTATTTTTTTCAATTTGCAAGAGAGTTTACTTCATTTAGTGTCGATTTTGCTCGCCACACAAAATAAACGCCGATGAGAAGATGAAGAAAAGAGCTGCTGGCGCAGCCGGCCGTCTTTTTTTTTCTTTTCAAATCATTTGGCTCGAGAAAAAAAAACTGACTGAAGTGTGTGAGTTGAGCCTCAAGGGCTCGAGCTCAAATCGAAAAATGGCGGCCTGAAAATGATCAAATTTCATTCGAGATGAGATGATTTCGCCCCCTCCCCAAATGGACTTTTTTCAACCAGCGGCCAATTTCCACGTATTCTTCAGAATTCAATGGTGTCATATTACCAATTCCGTCCTGTTCCCATTCATTCCGAAAAGCCAATCGTTCTACAAAAATGATTTATTATGAATAATTGAAGCGACATGTAACACCAATTATGCACCAAATCTCAATATTTATCTAGTATTATATGTCGTTTTTCAATTCTAGAATTGCCCACGATTTTCTCAATCCACCAAAAAAGCAAATAGCAAAAAAGCGCACAGAATCCGAAATCGAATAATTATCTATTCTAGCGAAGATTCGTTATTGTTTCCTTCTAGAATTCCAAAAGAATTGGAAAAATAAGTCACAGTGCATAATTCTCTTTGTAATGCTTTTAGAAAAGACAACTTCAATGTTTTGCAGCAAAAATTTATGCGTTCCAATTGTTCAAAAAAAAAACGAATGCATTGAAAATTTTGTTGAATCTTTAGTTGACATGAAACGACAAAATTTCAGTATTCAATGTTTAGTATAAAAATTGCAGTCTTTTTCATTTTATACATCAATTTCAAATGAATTTAGCTGACAATAATTATCATGAAATTCTCAACCAATATCGCTTCGGAAAGTTTCAAGTTTGTTGAAGCTTTTACAATTCTCAAATGGAACGAATTCGTTTATCCCAAAATATCTCTCTTGAGCATTGAAGTTCTCATTCCATTTGTTCGAACCTTTTTTTGAAAGAGTGTGTCAGCAGTAATGTTCGGTCAAAGGCTAAGCGTTTCAAATCTCTGTCGAAGCCATACAGTTGGCAGAAAATCACAGGGTTGCAACCAATCATTATTACCGTCTTTAGCAGCACAAAACGTTTAATGAAGAAATAGTGTGAAGAACGGTGAGAGCCCAATTCGAATCATCATCTGCTCCGAAATGAAATTTGATATCATTAGGAGGTAGCCGAAGATAAAGCCGCCGGATTAGGTACATGTGTCTCTGTGTCTATATGTGTGTGTGCTTTATGTTTATTTGTTGTGTTATTAATGCGCCAGCATTTGGTCTGCTTTTTGGTACCGCCTGCGCGGGTTTTTCGCATGGACTCCTCTCTTATGATTGCGTTTTAAGCTTAGAAAGCCTTTTTGTTTTTTTCTTATGTTTCTCCGTCGAACCGGGATTTGCAAAAATTGTTAGAAGCCATCAACAGCTCAACTTTTTTCTTGCACTTAGCGATTCGCTTCAAAGTATAGTTTTTTATATGTCCTCTTTTGGAGAAAGAAATCAATCAATCCATCATAAGAGCATTTATATCAAAAATAATTGTTGGTGCAGTTCCTACCGTTCACTTCTAAGCATCATTGGTTTATTATTTGCTCTGTCGGAACAAAAAAAAGTAACAAATTATTCATTATATTTCGCTCTCTCTTTCTTTCTCTCTCGAGAAGTACAAGTGTTCACCTAGCAAAACGCAGCGTTTTTAGGGCAAATTGTAAGCTACACATTATTTTGAGCGATACCATGTTCCAGCTGAAACTTGAAAATAAGTCATAAAGGATTAGTATTACTAGTAGCTCTGCAATAAGCCTTCGAATCGAATCCAAAAACGTCCGCTTTCATTATTAGAAATTCTCTGAGAAGTTGAGATCAAGTTACGCGGCGAAGATGACACTTACGCCGTAATATTCATGAATTTTATAACGCATTAACTCGAGTTTCAACTCCCTCAAATATTTCACATTAATTTTTATTAATACGTTTCCGTGTTGCTAGGTTACAAAACAAACATTATCGGTGTTCTTGAGATTATATTTAATACTTCTTTTTTTATAGATTTTTTTTCAATTATATGTCTTGGGATTTGTAGAATTATGAAAAAAAAAAGAATAAAATTGTTGGGAATATAATCTCGATGCACGATATTTATGAGAGATATGCGTATATACATACTCAAGACCCTACGATTAGTATGATCGTTTTCATTTCCACCTGCCCTACCTCAATTGTGCATAATTCTACAAATAGAAATTAACCTTGTTGGTTATTGCGTGTATTACGGTTCGGCGAGCGACACGTCTAGCTCATAATTGAGTCACGCCCACAATTTTGGCGATAATGAGCAGGCGAGCAGAAAAGTGCTCAAGAGGAGGACTTTTTCGACGCGCACATGGGCAATGTGCCAAGTTTGGCTTGCTTCGCTCTCGCCTACTCTTCAACAAGCCGCCTCGCCTATTTTTTTCGCGTTTTCGCCTCGTTTTTTTATATATATACCCCGAGGGCTAATGCTCACCGATTTTCGAACAAATTCATCATTGCGGATTTCTTCTCCGCTAGTGTTTCAAAATCCTTATCGATTTCGACGAAGCTAATTGCACATAATCCGCCGATTTTCCAAATTCCATTTACCTTCTTATCCGTGTCTCTTCTAAATGAATTGCTAAACCTCTCATGTCGTATCTGAATGACGTTTTCCATATTTCAAACATGTCTAAGTTAATAATAGTTTATATTAATGTTACAAATAAATTAGACTATGTAGTTTACATTAGCTCAATTGTATATGCAATTATTAATTCCAACAGAAGTGTTGCTCATAGCAATCAAGTGTGCCTCTCTTATTCCTATGGAATGCGTTTTTTTTTTTGTTTTTTGCTTCGTGGAACACATTCATCTCTTTCTTTTCTCATAATCAATGGAAAATGCAAGAGAGAAAAAAATTGCTGACAGATGCACGAAGACCAATTGCACTTGATTAATTGTAAAATAATAGAAAATTGGCTTTCATTTTTTTTTCTACAAGTTATGTGCGAGTTACATTAGCATAGACAGTTCATGTTTATTTTAACTGCTGATATGTTTTTTATATGACAGCTGTAGATCCAGATAATATTGTGAAAAATGGCTTATTTTGATGTTTAATCTTTAGTAACCCGATTTACCCAGAATATTTTTTCCGCGTAATCAATATTTCACACACTTCCACAAAAATAAAAAATTAGATCTTGAGGTAAACTGATTTCCCACTTGAAGGTTCTTTTAAAAAAATATCCGCAAATGAGAATGTTTTAATACAACTCTGTAATTATCTATTTAACGAAATTTCATTATTCTTCAAAAGCGAATTTCAAAGTTAACAAATCAAATTCGTCTTCGTGTCAAAAAAAACCAACTAGCCCACCACATTTCGTACTTCGTCGTCTTTTTTTGTCATATCGAACGGCTTCAGTATGACAACCGCAACTGAAGAGAGAAAAATGAGACGGGTCACAAAAAAAACGAATGTGATGTGGAGCAAAACATTTTTTCAAACGAAAAAGTTCAGATAAATAAGTAACCATCCTCCTATTTGTTTTTAGTTACTTTTTAACTCATTCTGGCTTTTCTCTATTGTTCATCATCAACGAAATGCTACCTAGTTAGGAAGTTACACCAGGATGATGTTGCTTCTTTTTCTTCATGCATACAGCGTTTGTATGTTTTTTGCTGACTGCTTTGAGAAATACCAATTCCAATTAATCTTCAGGGAATCCTTCTGAAAAAAAAAACGAGGAAAAGGAATGAACTAAGCAAAAAAGCGAAGATGCACGCATATTCGTTTTTTTTAAAGTTCTCAAAAGTCAAAACTTTATTCCACGCATTTTATTCGCCATTATGAGAATTCGCGAAAACGGAGCCTAAAAAGCAAATATCAAATTTCGCATTTCGCTGGAAGAGGCAATGTTATTTTTTCGATTAGAGATCGGACATCAAAAGGACGTATATTTCATTGAAAAAAAAGTTGATTTTGTCACAGATAATTCCTTGGTTCATCTATTTTTCATATATCATGTACTCGAACATTCCTCTCGTCTCACCAAAATTTTTTTTTTAGTTGAGTACACGCATTGAGATTTCGGAATACTACCAAAGTTTCGAGTAATAAATTAAACTGTAGATGGTAGCCAAAAAAACTGCAATGTTTATTTTTATATTGCCAAGACAAGATATTTAATAGATTTTGATCGTACATGTGTTCGTTTTTTTTAAATACCAGTTTTCAGTTTTCTAGAAGAAAATTTTTTCAAAAACACATGGAGCATTTCTTTCGAACTCACGTAATCATTGAACATCTCATACACTTTGGAATGTTCGTCAGTTTAGTAGGAAGGAAGTAAAACTATATCTTCCATGAGAAAGGTGTGAGATGATTTGTAAAGTCATAAATGTTTCCTCATGCTCACATTCCTCCTTCAGTTTGTTTGGCAAACTTTCACAAACAACGAAGTATTCTAATTAGATTCCTTATTTGTCAACGGAAAGTGTGACTTTTTAGTCCAAATGTTTTTGAAACGTAAAATTGCATTCATTATATGTATGCTACAAATATATATGCAAGACCACCCAGCGATGCCAAAATCAGGCATGTGTTTCCGGTACTTCAATAAAAATCCGGATTTCATGAAATCTAGCCAGCCTGGCACTCTCATATACATTTCGAACAATTCAATGGCATGAGCGACTTTTAATCAGAATGCCTCCACTTGACCAAACCAAAAGGGGTTCATATTTCCCATGATTTCGTCTTCTTTTCGCAGCATTTGTCCGTTCCATCGTTGCCGTCAACTCATTAGGTCCCACCCTCCGATCGTGGCGGCGGTCACTTGCTTCGCTCCCGCCCGCACGCCCCCCCCCCTTTGCCCCTAATGCTGCCTAACTCGTCGTTTTGCCTCCTCCCATTTTCCGGTGCTCGTGTTTGCGATTGTTGCATATGCGAGCTATATCGTATATCGGCTAATAATACACACCTAAAACACTTTTACGATATATATATCAACATTGTATTACCGCACGTTAATATTGTTCATATTGCAGACTATCTGAACAATGAGGATTCTTGCGGTTTTTCTTGCGATACTCCAGCTAACTCGCGCCGACGGCGAAGTCTCGAATGTAAGTATCTTTTTCCGTGAATCACAAAAAATGTTCAATGCCACCTTGTCGAAATCATAAAATGCACAGTGCTCTCATGAAATAATCCACTCAAGATTTCCGATTTCCCGTCCATCCTAATTGGATCTCCTTTTGTGACACGTGTGCACCTGTCCCGCATAAGGATAAGCAACCATCAAGACATGTCCCCCACACCACCTCTCACTCGATCTTCATAAGAATACGCTTCAACGATCTGACACATTGTCAAGATTTATATACAGCGCAAGGTTTCGTTATGAAATGAAGAAGAATTGAAGCAATTTTGCGACCTCGAGCATTTTTAATTGGTCGAAACCATTAGTTAGTTGTGCCGCGATTTGGTTATGATTTTCAATATTCTCAATAATGGTGCCAAAAAAATCTAGAAACCAAGTCTTCAAGTCAAACGTAGCGCGCCTAATTCACATCGACAGCTGATGTGATGCTAATGCACATCATTTTGCAGTAATGGCTTATTCTTTTTTATTCGTTGCGCACTCTTTTTTTTTGGAGTAGTAAAATATACGGACGTCAACCTTGACTGTGAATGGGAAGCCATAAATTACAGAAATAAAGCCCTATATCGGAAGGAAAAACGTAATTGAAAAGAAGCAAAGGTTAGGGGAAAGAATTTTATTGTTAATTGTATCGAAAATCTCATTCTCAGCCGTAAGAAACTAGTTATTTTATAAAATGCCGAACATATTCGTTCTCGGCGCATTTTTTGAAAACTAGATTTCAAGAATTTCAGTTGGTTAACATTGAATAAGAAAATTTCCAATATTAATAGCTTAGAAGTTTAATGAATTCTTAATGAGGAAGCAACTTCACCTGCCCTAAACTAGTATTTTATTTATTCATGCATCGATGAATTTAAATACGCAATATTGAGATCTATCAATTTCACCCCTCAACCCATTACCAATTGCAAAAAAAAACAGGAATAATTGAATGCTTTTAGTGTGATTACATCGGACTCGTCAAATGCTTTATTACGGTCCTTGACGACTGGGCATGGACTTTGTACGAATTGCGCGACAATGTTGTCACCATTCAACCGGATCAATGCGAGCACCTGCAGACTTTGGACAAGTGCATTAAGGTTAGTTGTGACATGTCGGAATCGATAGCATCTTTCGGTAATGAATGCGTTATTTGGGAAGGCGCCTCATCTAATTATATACTTGGCACCCAGCTATTGTCGGACGAAAAACAAACAACCAAATGATTAGCGCGGCGGGTTTCTACCGACCGGCTCACGGAACCCTCCCAAATTTGATTAGCATCGAACCCGTTCTTCGTTTGGTCAAAACAACACATATGCGTGAAGTGAATGGATGGTCCCAAGAGGAAATTGTTGAATATATTTATAGAAAGGCGGCATCATTATGGACAGTTTTATATGCATCAATGCGTGCAACTACCATAGATACACATATGTGTTACGGTCCCGACCTGGTGGCTCAAATTAAACATCATTTGCATATGAAATGCGTCGTCGTTCTCTCCGTGCTCATTCAAGCTTACCGTTTGTTGCAATTATCAAAACAGTAGGATGGATTATGGCGGCAAATAGGCGATTGAGTTTGTTGCCAATTGGGCTTATGTTAGAACTTTTGTTTGATTAATAGACTCTCAATATTTAGAGATATTTAGCGCAGAATGCGAAATAAAGTTTTACGCTTCACAAAAATCGTTTAATAAAAAACGTTTACAAACCATCTACGATTTTAGCCTTTCTTCCAAAAAAACACTCAAGTTAGCATGATAAACACTCAATGTCTTAGAATTGAATAAGGAATGACCATTTGCCAAATGATCCATCCGGCTGTCTTCATTGTTTTCGTGTGAACTCCGGCTCTCGACGCGAACACTCGTCAACATGTCTAATTTTCGGAGGAACAATGCGCCAAATTATTAAGTTGGAATTGCCCTCGCTGATGATATTCTGCCACTTCTTCTTAGCCTTCGATTCATATGAAGTCGTCAAGCGAATTAGGGGCTCTGTCGGTTGCGCCGGATGAAGCTAGTTAGCGTCGCCCTTTTCGTACCAAACGTCCGGCAAAAAGTTGTCTTCGAGACCTTCAAAGACGAATAGAAAGAAGGCGCTGATGGCGAAGTTGACGAAAAGTGGAAAGGGAAAACGCTTCGCCGAGAAGAATCCCAGTAATCAAATCAGTGATTTTCGTTCTTTCTCGTTTGAGCCGTTTTCGTCGTTGTTGCTCGTCGCAAAATTTCGCGCGATGAAAGAAAAAAGAAGGCTTCAAAGAATGATAAATGTAGAAGTGAGAAAAAATTGTTCGCCGAAGTTCTTTCTTCCCCCCCCCCATCGTTCACATTTTTCTTAGGGATTTTCAATAAGCCTTGCATTTCTTTTTCTACATATTTCTCAAGTTATGCACGACGCGGCGATGAATAGAAGAAAATGTTGCGTTTTTGTTGCAACAATAATTACGTGCAGCAAAAATAGTCAAAGCATGGCCACCCACATCGACATAAGTGTTTTCCAAATGTGCGAGACATAAACGAACTTGAATAAAATATGTATGTAGTAGTAGGTCTGAATAGTATTTATCTCAACTGCTGCGGGAAGCAATAAGCAAGAATTACAATAATGTGGCAAAGGTGTCTGAATATCAAGAAAGCTGTGTTCCACCGAACTGGTAATCTTCAGGGAACATAAATTACTCGATTGAAAATTCTTCTTCTTCTAAGCATCAGTTTATGTTGATGAAAATTAGATAGTTTGTTAGTTGGTTTTTTTTTCGAAAACTTCAGCAAATGTTGAACTTTGTTCGTTTTATTGCTCGACATGATGGTTTGTTCTCTTATATTGTTTAACAACACCAACACAACAACAACAACAACAACAATGGCTTCACGCTGCTGCACGTTGTTCTAATCCCGAGGGAAATGATCGCTTTTTTGCGCATTAGAAGCCCATTCACACCAAAACCTCTCCGACATCTCCACGCGAATTGAACGCCGCCGCACGAGAAAATATTTCCGGTGTTCGGGAACCGCATGAAAAGGATGCCGATATGCTTTACCAAACAGCGCTAGCCATATGGGCTTGTTTTGATAGGCTCATTGTCGAGTTGTCACCGATCACCAAGATGGATAAGGTTGTGGTGCTGTCGGAAGAGAAAGATGAATGAGCGGTAGATTGACACATTTCGAGAAATTATTCATTGAAACAAAGTTCGAAGGGACATTTAGATATTTATCTGATTCGAATGGGAATATTTAACGAAATGTAAAATTTACCTATTCTTGAATTTTATCACAAACAGTCGTGAGTGAGAAGGAAATTCTATGTTTTGATCAATTCGCGCTTCTGTTTGAAATTTAATTGGCTCAATCAGTTTTTCCTGCTCATTGGACCGATCTGAGCATGCATAATGTATGCAAATGTGGCTGGGCCATAAAATTAACCGGAAGATAATTAAGCAGAATGATTGTAAAATAGTCCGCCTTTCCGGCACACCCTTCTTGTTATAAATCGCGGGCTTCCACAAAATGAAGAGGAAGAGTCGACAGAAGCCATATGGTAAACGTCATTGCGTGATTCCGTTCAACGGTCCGCTTATTGGGGGTTTCGGTTGCTGCGGCCGAAGCCGGTAATTAAATGTTCACTTGAAGCGTGAAGAAACAACACAAATATACGGGGTGTGCTTGCCATTCGGCAGAAGATTATGCTAATGCGCTAAAAACAGTCGGTCGACATCAAAAACGGATTATTTGCAGGGCGAAGGCGCGGAAAACCATCAATGCACGCATAAAGAAATTATCGAGGTGTCCAACACTGTCTCGGATCTGCTCACCCATCGCAAAAACTCGGGATCTTTTCTCAGGGTAGATCATTTTGAAACCAAATTCCATTTTCCACGTCAATAATTTCAGAGTTACTACCTTTTGACCTATGCCTGCTCTGCTGAAGGCCAAGATATTCTCTCGAGACATCGCGAGTGCTTGAAAACGGTAGGTTATTAAGTAATATGTCATCGCGAGCAAGATTCTCATTAAACATGTCTGGCAAGGCGGAACAATTCAAAAGATACGGGGTTTGCCAGGTAGCGCGTAATATCATAAAACGTTTCCGCCATTGTCGCTGTAATCGACATCTGCTCGTCAATCTTACATTAATTGCGTGCGTATTCGCCAAGTTGAATATTCCAGGAAAAAATTGGGGAGATGACATTGTCTGCTGGTAACTATCTGAGTGAGAAGTTCCTTGAGCACAGTACTGATGCCGATGTTTGCGATAAAGTCAACGAGAAGCTTCAAGAATACATTGGAGCCATGTCTGGATTGTGCAGCAAGCATGAAGCTGCTCAACTTATGTGTCAATCGCTCAAGAATATGTTCACTGTAACAAATATACTAAGGGACGATATAAAAGTAAAATAATTGCAGGGACTTCATGCTGACAAACTTGACAAATGTGCCTTGGACTGCAAGATTCCCCACGATCCAGCTGAGGAAGAAAATGCCGTGGTATGAATAATCAATTAGAACAAAATTCAAAATTGAAATTGACATCGAAAATCTCATTTTAAAAATATTCTGATTTTAAATTAGGAATTAATTGTGCAGAGTTCTTAGAAAACTTGCTCTTAAAACAAAACATTTATTTATTTTTCTTATTTTTATAACCTAAAAATTATAGTCCAAAAGTTGATACATTACTGATTTATACAGCCATTGCAGTCGGAGTTGCAAGATTCACAAGCCATTGAGCAACAACAATCGGAGCAAGATGCCCTTAAGCCCGCTGATTCGACCCAAATCTTGACTCTCTGGATACCAATTATCATCATTCTTTTCCAGCGACGATAAATTGTAAAAGAAACCTCCTTAATTGGATGTTAGAAGAATTTTGAGTTAAATTTATTTTAAATATTTTTTTCTAAATCATGACCCAACCCAATTTGTCTAGTCCATCTTTTCTCAATGTTGACATTATTCAATGATCTATAACTAATTCTGCACAATATTTTGAAACTGCCAGGCTTTTCGATTTTCAGATTGGTAGGCTTGCTTCCATAATTTACTGAAAAATTACTCAGCCGGTTACGCCCATTTTCTAAATTTATTTTAAAAAAGTATATATGATTTACAATTTTGTTCCATATGAGCTCACAACCGTTTATAGTAAAAATATGTTTATTTTTCATTTATGGTGATATTATTTTGTTTTCAATTCTTTCAGTAATTTGACAAAATTTCCTAACATCTTCACTTTTTGGATCATTTTCTGAAAAAATATAATTTCTTCAATTTTTTTTCGAATTTGGTTGTGTTTATATTCAATATGAACCGATAGTTAACATTATAGCGATAACGAATAAATATATATAACCAAAAAATATTTGTTTGTTTGTTTCAGACTGATAAATTGTTTCAAATTGCTCCATAGCACAGTGATATTTCATTTACACATTGGTATGCAGAAATGACAGTCCTCAAGCAATTTAACAATCAAAAAATCTGATTTTATTGAAATAAGACACGCAATTAGTTTTATGAATTTTTCGGTTTTATCTATTTTTTTTTTCAAAATTTAACGTAGTAACTTTTTTTTAGTAGTAAAGATAATTAAGATGTTTAAAATATCTGCTTGAAGAAAAAATACTTCTTTCTTTTTTGAAAAAAAAAATCCACCCATCCTAATTTTTTTATCGCTTTTGCATGAAATGCAATAAATTGAAGATTTGCGCGACTACCATTAACTCGGTCACGTTTCCCCCCAATAAAACAAACTTGTTCAAAAACTGCTGTGTTTTTGTCGTCATCGGAGCAGAATACAACCATAATATAAAAACACTAGAAAAGAAAAACGGAATGACGTCACAGAATGGAAATATATATTGTAGGCACAAAGTCGTGAGAATTAGAAAACGCCCGATTTCCTAAATGCAATGCACACCAACCAAAGCATTTTCGCAGAAATTGCGTATTTCTCAACGATTGTCGGAGTTGGCACTTTTTGAGTTATAGTATGTATATAAGGATAGAAGATTTTGATTTGAAAAAAAAAAGTTTTTTTTTCAGAAGTGTAATAAAGGATTTAATTAATTGCATAGTGTTTTTGACATGTAAAATATCAGATAGTACATACATTTCTAGATATGAAATCCAACTCTAAAGTAGGTTGATAATGAACACTCCAATAAATGCTTACACATTATCAGTAACATTACTTTATTGGTCTTTTTTCGAATATTAGATAATATCGGAATTATTATATGGGTTTATTGATTATCATGGGAATTGTAAGTCGGTTATGGATGATTATTGCTTTCCAGTTGTTTCATTCTTTTGCCCCTCGTTGCCTTTTCGCTTCATCGACACAACTCGGCAGACTGTCGATATGGTCTCGTCAATGCAGCTTCTAGAATTTAATTTCATTTAATCATAATGCGCAATCCTACTTGAACTCGTTGCGAACGTCGACATCGCAATCGCTCGATTCGTCATCGCTTCCGATTTTCGACTCTTCGGCCTTCTTCTCATCGACTTGAAGTTTTGGGATCTCGGTGCCCGACATTATAAGGTCTTTTCTGAAAAAAAATCATAAAAACGCGACCGTTCAAATAATGATAGGAATTAGATGGAGAAAAGGGTAGAATATTATTTGAATGAAAACGCATATGTACATGTAAAAAAAGGAGGACGACATCAAGAACTTCGAAGATTGCAATGCGCAGAGAAGAAAAAAACAGAAATGCGAAACCCCAGTAGCAATTCATCGTTGAACGAATCGAGATCGTCGTAGCCTCTAATTCGGAATAATATATGAACAAGCTCTTTGAATATTCCAATCTGGAAAGACGGCAGTTAAAAGATACCATCAATAGAATACCAAATAAGAGAGAATGTGCCGGAAATTGGCAATTGCTTGAATCGGGAACTATATTTTATGCAGGAGGATTTGAATCGCATCAAAACTCGATATGCTTGAAACAATCAAATATTGTTGGGCTACAATCATCAACAGACTATAGCACGTCTTGCACACACATTTCTATGGAAACCTGCTCGTTAGCAAGAATCGTCAATTTTGGCGCGGCACCTACCAGATGAAAAGAGAAACGAAGAGTGGCGAAGATTTTGGTAAGAAGACCCGACCCCAAAAGAGATGGAGCTTCCTTTTCCTTCAACAAACCAACTAAATCTAAGGGAGCGGCTTTGAATAGAAACGAGAGAGAGAAGCTAGGAGTAATGGCAAATGACACTAGATGCTATATATATATTTTGGAATGTTGTATTTCACATGATGGAGAAGGAAAAAAGAAGTTTTTCTCGCCTTTCAAAGAAAAAAAAAAGCTCTCAGGCAAATTGAATGTGTACTTAATTAAAACATATCAATGAGAGCTGAGATGAAAACGTGCCAACTCGCACGAATTACGGGAGACTGTTTCAGAGCAAAGTGGGTTTCGAAGAAACTTTGAACAATCGTATAATTAATCATAATTACTCATGATTTCCGAATATGAGAATATTTTTTAATAAGCATATTGAAGACATATTCCGCGAATGCGATAATGGCTTATCTCGTACAGCTTAGAGTTCAAAGTGTTAAACTGATATCAATAAATAGGATAATCCTTTTAACGAGAAAAGCGTCAAATCAAAAAATCCATCATTGGATTGATTCTTGAGCCATTCATAAAAAACTATTGTTGGATTCTTATAATTTGCAAAAAAGCCCATTAGCGAGATTATAATTTATCTTGCAGGAGTCTACTAACCTAAAAATAGCATTTTTTTCATCAAATTTGCCTCCTTCGGAATTACTTTACGGATTCTTTGAAAATGTTTCTTCACGGAAAACAGCTTTTCGGCACCAGTTTTTTATGAGTAGAATTTGTTTGTTTTATTTTTATCTGCAAATTTGCTTTGACGATCTGAAAAATGATGTAAGTATGTCGTCAGACACATATATTTGTAACAAAATAATGATTAATAACTGAAAATTAAAGAAATTAAAAAAGAGGGTTGAAAGATTAGGTAATTACTCATGGATATCATTACTTTCAAATCCAGACAGAATAAAAAACTTGCCTATAATTGGGCACACACGTTTTAAAAATTGAAATCAGTATTCCAACATCATTCTTACCTATACCTCAATTGCTTATGTAAGAATTTGATTTTGACTGTCTATCCATATTTGAATTATTACGATATCTCACAAAAAGTGAGGGTGTAAAATTAGAAAAAAGTTAATATTCTTCAAACTATGTAATCCGAAAATCTTCTCAAAACACAACATTAAAATGAATTATTTGTATATTTAGTCGCATTTTTAACAGTTCCGACTAGTTGTAAGAATGTTAATCATTATATAGTTTATAATCGCGGTTTTAATCTAGACATCTTTACACTTTTTCTTATAAAACCAATATATTTGATGCATTTTCCAATCTTCCTGGTTTGCATTCAAAGGTACGTGCAAATGGTACGAAAGAAACTGTTCATATTTCTTGTTATCACAAGCATTCTTTAAACATACAAAAAATAAGAAAATAACTAATACGAAAATAAAAATTGTGGAATTATATCTATACTGATTTTCAACAAATTGCAAATTTCGCATTTTTGATGAAAAAGCAATGATTGTGCTCAATGAGCTGCATTCCAAATGGCATGCTTCCTTCTATTTTAGTCGATTTTCCTCCGTTCAATTTACTATTTTAAGATACTGGCCATAGGCGATTACCAAAGCAAATCAGATTTTTGTGTGTTTAAGAAATATGCGTAAATTTCAGGTAATTTAACATATTATGCCCACAGGTGTTCATTCGCCATTTAGAAACATAATAGGTATGTATTATTTTTAATTCATACCCTGAATCGATGGAAAATGTAAAAAACGTGCAGTATGTTGCAAGATGGAAGCCACAGATTTAGTAAATCCGATAAACTACACTTTATTAAAAATATGCGCTTTCCCAGAACGCGCATAATTTCCTTAACAGTACCTCCGAAGTATTTGTTTTAACGTAGTTCTCATATTATATGACTTTTGCCCTTATATTATTAAAGATCTTTTTTGGTGTGACGTTTTACATAGATCGGTTTATTGAATGATAATATGAATAGGCGCTTTGGTTTCCTTCATACTCATCGATAGTGAATCAACTATGACAAATATATATATTTAACAATTAAGGAAGAGATCGGCAATCTCGATTGGTGGATGACGCTTTTGATTACGCGACAGTTTAATTAAAAACAAAGCAAAAAAATTAAATAGCTTTACGTTCTTTGTTCGTTTACCATCGGAAAGCAAAGAGATTGCGTAGTAGAACTAATTTAAGAAAATCCGCCTTGCGAATTTATTCCATTCGAAAAACAATACAATTTCGTGGCAGCTCTTTGTTCTTGAGCTTTGATTATTGAATTTCGCCACAGTTTTTTTTAGATGAGCATACAAACAATAGTCATCTTCTGTTTTTCTACTAATAATTTTTTAAAGATAAATTTGCATTTTGAAATAATTTAATGGTAAAAATGTATCTGGTTCCCTTCAAATAATAAAATGTAGAAATTTTTGTTAAATATTTTTCACCTATCGTTTTTGACATCAATAAAAACAATGGATTAGCGAAAAGTTGCAAAATCTTATAATCCACATCATATATTCTTCAGAATTTACTCTAGGTTGACATTTGAAAAAGAATAAAGAAAAGATCAAAAAGCGGCTAATAATTCTGTGTTTGTTGTTTTCTACTAACGCATATACTTGGATAATCACACATAAATACGCATGTCTATCATTGAGGTCAACTCGTAACGTCGTCGGGAACGTTCAATGCTTATTAAAAAAATACTATAAACTCCATTCATTATAAAAACCTAACAGCTTGCAGTTAAATTTGGCTCGGACCACAAATATTGAAGTACCACGTGGAAAAAATTGTATAATAACGCAGTTCACAAATGTGCATAATTTTATAATTTGCATTGCCTTCCGTCATTCGAAATTTATTTCGAAGGAATAAAAAATTCCAGCTCAATCAATCTCACATTGTAATTATTTACACTTCATATTTACTCAATCAACCATATATTAATACGGTTTAACTATTAGCTAGGCCAAAAATCTGATTACGAAAAATCTTATTTTTGCTTTCTTAATTTGAGTGTCGTATTGTTTCCAAATTTTCCAAATTGTTATTTGTTTTCATATTCCTTAAAAAATTCAATGTTGATTATCTAATTTCCTATTTTAAATCGGATCCACTTCAAAAAATTTCCAATTATTCCTAAGTAAAACCATTTTCTCGAAAGAAGCAATGATTGGTAAACGACCAATGCTCATAAAACAGAACAAAGATGATCAGACATAGACAATTTCATCCGACTTTGTCGCGCAAGTTCGAGAACGTAAATGACTATTGAATTGACAATCAGACTCCCTCACAAGATCGAAAAATCTCGGATAATCTGTTTCTAGAAATGGAAATATCACGTCAAAGTTTGACTTTATATAGATGAACATATCACTGGTGTTCTACTTCCGGTAGGAATTCTCGTTTGAACCTTCGTGTTCGTTTTTGAAATCTCAAAACCGTTTGTTGACCCTTTTGCATATCAAATAAGCCAGCATTTGATTTGGTTAATATAACTTAATATTTGATTATACGGTCATAATATTATGCAAGTTGTCAAATTCTACCTCACAAAATAACATTTATATCTCGTACGAGTGTAGTTTTATTAATACAAGATCTAATTGACGTCCTATGAGAGCTCTTTACTAATTATTTTCTAATTAAAGAGTCAATTAATAATCTTTATATAACCGTCGTGTCCTAATGTGGATTAAAGCAATAGAACAGTCGTCATTAAGTGTAGATGCTTATAAACGCTTGGTATGCTCAACTTTTAGAAAAATTATTTATTACAAAACCTTGAGGCTCAATGAAATTATTCAATAAGAGCGGTCCGCGCTCTTTTGTAAAAAATTCCAGATATTTTATTGCTTTAAGAAAATTCTCTTCTAAAAAAACATTTCTGGCAATTTTCTTTTTAATTTTGGAATAACCAATTGTATTTCTAAGTAATATTTTACAAGAAAATAAATTATTTGTGAAAATTTAAAAAATTTGAAAATTTGACCACAATTCCAAAATTTTATGACCAATCTTCATTGTTTTTTAAAAATATTAATTTTTTGAAAAAAATTGACAAATTGAGCGAAGTCCTACATATCGTTATTGTCTCTGCTTCTATTTCTGATGAAATAATCTTCAATTTTCTTGTCACATAAACGGATATTTTATTGGAAACGACTTAACAAAGAAATTAAAGAATAATGGAGTTGGAAGCGCGAGATTAATTCAAATCTATCAAGTGATCTCGTGGTTCTGTCTGATATAAAGAATGAACTACTGACGACGTCAATATTTTAATTTTTAAATCTAACGCGAATAGTTTACATGTCGAAGCCTATCTCCCAAGGGGTGACGTTAAGAGGAGGCGTTAATAAACATTCACGTCAAAATGTTTTTGATTTTTTTCAGATAGAACTTTCATCAAGCTTCAAAAAGTTGTGACAAGCGTCTTAATTCTGTCTAATATAAAAATACAATGATCCTATTGTTTTATTGAAAAAAGCAGACCTTTGCCTAAAAAATGTGACCCATGAATTCGATTCAATGGTAGACCGAATAACCTATTGCAGTACTCCAACTTTTTGTAAATTTGAATCTTCAGTATTACGTCTTTTTTTAGTAAACATGGAAGAGCTATATAAACTTGAAATGATACCTAGTCTAGTATATAATATTTCTCCAATTTAAACATAAATAATACATTTTAGTCGTTTTTTCAGCTTCCAACTAGGCTCATTTGAAATTTCGATATTCACATTATTTTATTCTCTGAAGGAATCCCATTTAAAAAAAAGATTTTCATCTGTCTACGATAAGAAATTCGTTTCACTTCCATTTTGAAGAAACAACTTTTTGTGCTTGCTGAATGAAACATGTTCAAACTCATTCAGATCATTCTTCTTCACATGAAATTCCAAAACATTGTAAATGAAATATATTTTAATTCCTCCCATTTTTGCTTCTCTACTAGTCCCGCCCTTCAAATTAATCTCATTCTCTCCGTTCCTGCCCATAATCCGGTAGTGTGCCTAGTCGCGATTTGCACATTTAGCTTTCTCTCACCATCCCATCACAATTTTGTAGCGTTCAAAATTTCCAGTAAAGATTCCCCGTTTTGGGCTACCAAGCGCTCATCGGCAACATTTGAAAAAAAAATGTTTTCACTCGCACATCATTTATCACTTTTATTACTTCCTACTCTATTGCATTTGCACTTTACATCAGTTTTAGTAAGCCTATTTTCAGATATGCTTAATATGCAGGACAACTTGGTGTTATGGCCTTCGGAAATGGTCGCTCTTCCGCAACCAGTGTTCATTTTTCTTTTTGCATTTATTGTGTGCTTGGGACTTGTTCTCAATATGTATGTCATCTACCGTATGATTCTTCTGAACAAGAGGGATCGTGATCAAGTAAGTACTGGAAATGTTATTCATTTAAAAATCTAATTCAGTTCATGAACGGAACTGGAATTTATCTTCTTGCGATGGCAATTTGCGATACCACTTCGCTATTGCTTTCTTACTTCCAAATGTCATTGTCGCATTTCACAGAATCCATTCCAATTGATCTTTTGAAAGTTATGTGCAAGGTATCGGATTGATTTCTGTAATTAAATTTATCACTTCATTCAAGGCTTCGGAGTTCATTACAAGATGTTCTTATACCTACAGTATGTACTGTTGGTTGTTCATGTCAGGTCTGCGCTACTTGGCAGCATTCCATCCACTCCGCTATTCTACAGTATGGAGAAGCCCGTATGCAGTTCTTCTACCAGCTGCGGTGGCTACATTTGTCATGAACATGTACCTCCTTACCGCAGTTGGTGGCTCCAAAGAAAACTGCGGATGTTTCATTAAACTTGAAGTGAGTTATTGTCACGTGAAAACATTGCGGAGAAAATTTCCGATAAAGAAGCTGCAAAGCATTGTGAGAAACCTTCAAACTTTGCAGGCGCAAGCAGTCTTGTACAGCACCGTCGACGTCATCATCTCGACATGTGTCCCCGGAATTTTTATTTTGACTCTTGACCTTCAAGTTTTGTGTTGTCGAATGCAACGAAAACCATCGGACCCGTTATTGCAGATCGTATTCCATAAACTTGATGAGGATGCTGAAAAGGTTAGTGTAAGTGATACTGTTTTTTTTTGAAAATTATTATGATTTAAATCCGTTGTATATATATAATATTTCATGTCAATTTTAAGTTAAAACCTATTCATTGCGAATTATAATTGAAACACTATATTACTTTCTTAACAACATTTTTGTTTGTATTTTGATGATGCGAAAGTTTGTCTGATGTCTTTTGCATCTCTGCGAAAAAGGATGCAGGATTATCTTTTTTTCTGAATTCCGATTATCCCGAAAATTAACGGGATTTGCTTAATTGGCTTAAAAGGATTCGTGTTGCACATGTCGAGACGTTAAAAAAAAATCACAATTCTTACAATTTTTACAGAAGCGACTATTAACCATTCGCCGGTTCATGCTTGTCACTCTAGTAGCGATGTCGTCGTGTATCCCCGACGGTCTTCTCCGCGGAATCCGCCCGTTCCTTAATCTCAACGACGTGTTCCTTGTTTTCTACATTGCCAAATCCTTGTACTTGACGAAGGTAGGCCCTTAATCCCTCGAATCTACGTAGACAAACACGTTTTTGTAAATAAACAAAAGGATAAACATTATTTTTAACTCCGTAATTCCTCAAAGTTACAAAGTACATTTTTTTAGTTCTCCTTCAACGCATTCTACTTATCATTGTTCGTGTTTGATCGGAATCTCATGTCGAAGACATCGTCCTCAAGACATCTGAGCGTGTCAGCGAGACGATTGGAGGATGAGCCAGCAATTTTACCACGTGAAAGAAGTCGGACACTCTCCTGTCGCGGAACATCACCGATCCCAATTCTCACCAGAAACTCCTCATGTATCATTTACAACGATGGTCCAGAATGTCCGGGAAAGCAATGGGTCTAAAAAACAAATATTTCTCATCATTGAATTTGTGAACTTTCCCCATAGAAAAGTAGTCCGCCTATCGCTTTGCCTGTATATATTCTTTAGAACCACTTGCATATATTTATTTCTGGTCATCTGATGTACATAAAATGTTGTACATATGTATTTCGTTTTCCAACGAAGGCTTTATTTGAATAAACGGTTTGAAAATGGTGTATAATGGCAGATACTACAAAAAAATTTCATCATTGAGTTGATGATGTTTATTCCTCTTCCTCTTCCTCTTCTTCTTCTTCCTCTGCTGGAGCCGGCTCCTCTGCTGGAGCTTCCTCGGCTGGAGCAGCTTGAGCCGCGTCTCCATCCTCCTTCTTCTTCTCTTCTTCTCCTGTGGTAGCCTTCTTCGACCATTCTGGCTTTCCGTCATTTTTCTTCTGAAAAATGACGAATTTGATTTCTAGGAATTCCTCGATGTCAAAGTACCTTAGCCATAATCTCATCAATTCCAGTCTCCTTCTTAACCACCTTGAGGTTTGCACGGAAGTCAGCCTTCTCCTGCAATTAAACGAATGAGCATCACAAAAATTAAACCAATTTCCTTTATCACGATTTTTTATCTTTCAAGATATCTTTAATATCGAGACTATTGAGCAGATAACAATTAGCTAATAAATATTAGAAAATTGGATTAAAGAAGAAATAACGTGCTATAATGAAAATGAAGACAGATGTGTCATACCTTGCTCTGTCCAGTAGCGGACGCCTTGAACTTGTTGTCGTATTTGGAGACCTTCTTCAACGATGGTTTCACGCTACAAATGATAAATAAAGATTTCAGATTCCGTTGTTTAGTCCCCACAATTTTCCGCGGAGATCATTGACTTGGATGGTGAGCTGGTTGATTTCAGCCTCAGCTTGCCCGACCAAGTAGTTGATATCGTATTTCTCCTCCTCAAGAGCACAGACGCGTGCGAACATCTCCTCGTAGATTTGGATGAGTTTTCCTAGAAATAACTGCTCAAGTTTTGTAGTGTAATCACCTCATTGTACCTTGGTCGTCAATGGTGTCCAAGTTTGGAAGCGCGATGATTCTCTGTTGGAGTGTCTTTTGTCTCTCCTGCTCTTTGAGCATCTGCTGCTGCTTCAAATCCTCAGCTGCTTTCATCATAAGAAGTTTCTATAAAAACCAATTATTTTGGTATTCTAGTTTTATGGATTTCTTCCATACACGGAGCTTCTTCTTTCTTTCAGGGGTCAAGAAACCCTTCTTCTTGTTTCCCTTCTTTCCAGCTTCCTCGAGACGCTTACGGACTTCGGCCTTCTTACGCTCACGCTCCTCCGCCTTGCGGGCGGCATCCTGAATTATTTAAAACTTTCTCCAATCAAAGGACTATTGAACATACATCGCCTCCATCATCGGCTTGTGGGCCACCGTATCTGATAAGATCCTCGTCCTCGAAAATCATGCTTCGTGTCCAAAAACCTGCAATTATTGTTGTATAGGAGTAGGCCACGTAGAGTGGAGAAATATGAAATGGGGCCTTTCGGCAAGCCGTTCGAGCACATTCTGAAATCGGCGGGGACCCACTCGCTCGGAGGTTTGTGTAATAACTTGGGGAGGAGTGATTTTCTTCTCAGCAGATATGAATGGTGAAAAAAAACCAACAGAACGAAATTTGAAACCGCCCCGATGGCACATGTGCCAGAATGCTTAGTAGTGAGGCAAGAAACTTGACTGCGTTCGCAGTAATATCCTTTGAAAATTACACAAAATCCGTGTGGTGGTGGCACTGCATCCACGCGATGACGAGGCGGAAACAAAGAAAAAATGAATTGAGAGAGGTGTTTTTGAAGAAACTCCAAAGATATTGATACCAGTAGTATTGCGTTCCTAGCACAATGTGTTGTTCAACGGTTTGATTAATGATAAAAGATTTGAAAAGCAATAGACCCAATCTTTGATTTTTCATCATTTCGAATTATCATTGATGGTTTCTGAGATCAAATGCGAATTAAATGAAAAAATGGAGAATAAACAAATTTTCAAATAAATTACGAATTCAATCCAGATGGCGCTTAAACCTAAACACATGGTTCTAATGGATGAAGATAAACTTATAAATTGGAATTTTCTAGCTGGGCAAAGTAAAAAATTCAATTGTACAAAATAATTGTGAAGCATTAAATCAAGGGTGGAGAGTTTTAATTTTATGAAGCTATGGGGTGCAAGATAAAATTAGAAAAAATATTTATGAACTTATTAATGAATATTACATTTTCTATTTTTATGGTCTTTTATATATAATCATGTGCAACAGCTTTACTCAATTATCCTCCAATTTCTTTCCATCATGAATGGAAAGTTTCGTTTTAGAAATTCTTTCTGATGTATCAAACATTGGTTAAAATGTTCTATTTTTAATATTATTAAATTCGTTTTGCATAACACCTAAAGCGGAAATTATGTTAGGAAATTGGAAATTATAATAGAAATTATAATCTATCAATTACAAATCACAAATCCGAGTTTCATAATCGTACTGATTATCAGTGTCGCGTTTCCGGCAACGATGTCGACATGTCACCATGGCGACGGATCTTGTTCTACAACTAAAGCGTCATTTATTGATTAATAACTCCTTTAATGACTCAACCTGCAAATTTGGCAACTGGTAAATCGCATTACCTACTTATTGGTTTTATTCAAACATTTCAGATAGGAAGAGCTGGACAGCCATTCCAAACTGTGCCTTGTATTCTCCATTGCCACGAACAAACAAATCACTGACAAAGATATGCATTGTTACTGACGATCCAATTTTCAACGAAAGCCCTTCGGAGTTTGATACATTAGATGAAGTCAAATGCAACGTTCCCACATTGTATGACGATCGATTCGTTAAGGTTATTTTTTATTATTTTCCTGCGTCACCCTAGATCCTTGACCGACGTCACTATAAATCGTTGACTTGCGTTAACTACAGACATTACTGCCGCTTGACAGCGAATGATGAGCAGAAGCTGACAAGCGGGCAATCGCAAAAATACTCGTTTTCTTTTGCAGATCACCCCGGAACGTGTATTCATCAAACACTACTACTTCCCAGAAGATCGGCCAAAGCGGATTAGCAAGGAACAAATTCACAAGATCTTTGTTAGTAGTGGACTTATTCTGCGAATTGAAAAAAAAAATTATTTTTTTTTAGAAAAAAGTAAACAATAGGTATAGGTAATATAAAAAGAAACATGTTTTAATTTGCTATAATAATAGAAATTTATTGGAAGCAAATTCAATTTACCCGATAGTCTCAAATTTTCTTATTCTGAATATAAAAAAAATCGTCACAGAAAAAATTAATTACAAAGGTGTTCGCATTACTTATTTATTAACATGTAGGTTGTCAAAAATGTTCCAACCGCTCCGAAATGGGGAATTGATTTCGAAACGTGTACATGGTGGGCCAATGATATATTCAGGTTATTTTCGAAATTCGCCTTTAGAGACTTTGCATATTTTTTCAGAAATGAATGCGGTAAACAGAGATGTTCGATTATGATTGACTGTAGCGAAATGTTGAAAAAAGGGTTCACTGTGAAGAGATATGACAAGTTCCTCGAGGCTTTAAATTTATCCCGCAATAAAATAGAGATTCGCTGAATGATGTTTCTAATAATTATTATTTCAAATAAACTTTTTCAAGGCGCTCTATTATATTATTTTGTAGTTGTTTGGATAGATGCTCTGGATATGAAGTGTTGGTAAATGCTCCAAACTTTAGAATCGTATTAATGTTTTTGACTTCCCAGTTCTCCATGTAAACATCTCGATAATGCCTTCAGTCAATTATAAGTATAATTTTTCGAGCGAAATTACCTTATATGTCCGACTTCTGGATCCAAGTCAAACGTTGTAAAGTCTCCTTCAAATTCTTCAACATCGTGCACACCCATATGAAGTACCTGAGCAATTTTTTTTTGTATTTTTATTACAATTGCATACTTTATCATTATTAACAATGTGTTTGCCCCAACAACTTGGAATTTTGCTGCAGTTCATGCCGGGAGCACTAGTTTCGTGCCATATGTTCGTTGGGAGATTTTCGAAGAGCTGCACAGATGCTAAATAATGGCTTCTTTAATGTGGCACTCACTTGTTTTTTCGATGTGAATGCCTCCGGAGATTTCTTTCTTTTCATTATCCATCGTTGACGGAATAGTACGGATCCAATTGACTCATTGGCAAGTTTACTGCAAGAGAACAAATATTCGAGAACAATTATTGAGGCGTAGCACCTCAGAAAGCTTCCTAATGTCTCAGATGCGTTCACCATCAACATTCTTTCGTCAATATCAGAAAATATAGACCATTTGGCAACAGTTTTACTTCGAAGAAGGCAATCCTGAACGCAATATCAGAACGCTGCTCTATTAATACACTTTACAGATATTCCATATAACTGTTGGGAAATGTTGTCAAGGAAATACGAAGGAACATTTATGATTTCTACTTCGCCTGTGTCTTCGTAGCTCTTTAGCAATTTCATATCGTATTTGCTCAATTCTCTGTAGTAAACATAAAACTTTGTGACCCCCTGAAATACGTTCATATTTGTAGTCAAATCATTTTAACCGTACCTGCAACTTGTAATGCTCGATCATTTCAACAATATACATCCATTTTGGTTCGCTGCCAAAAATAGGAGCAACGCAATGCGCAAGATGATGATCATATTTCTCTTAAACAATCATGTGCAACAATTATCAAATAAGTAAAACGCATACCTTTAAATACTTTATTTTCAACAGGTTCGATATCATAGCCGAAAAGTTCCAAATTTGGGGTTTCGCTAATCGCAATCCCATCAATATTTTCCTTTCTCGGACAGTATATAGTGAACAATGGATAAATTAAACTTTGAACTGGCTCGTCAATTTCTTTTTTGTTTCTATCGAAATACCGGCAATAAACAGTAGCACTAAAAAAAAACGATGAATTTGTAGAGAATCAACAAACATAATACCCAATCGGCTTCACAAATGGTACAACGAAAACGATATGTGTTTTGAAGCTGTGCACCGACGTTAAAAAAAACCTATATGTTCCAAGATGCTTTAAATTTTGCTTTCATCATTCATAACTATGAACATAAATAAAATTACTTTTAAAGCTTTTCTCTTCATAAACTCAATGATGGGATGAGTTGCGTTCAAAATAGTCATATTTTCTTGTGTAGCATAATTTAGTCCTTTAATGTACGCAATGTTATTGTTATTTGTAACAAAAACTAGAGTTACAATTACAACCAATATCAATAAAGCGAATTTTAAGATTTTGTGACGAATTGATGAAATCATATAATATTTGTATGGAAATAGACGCATATTGGGGAGCTTTATTTGTCGATAGCAACTGTTTCAATAAGCATCAAACGCGGTAAATATAAAATCAAAATAAATGTTTATTGTGTCCGATTTATGCATAATATAATGTTGGCAAAAAAAGCGATTAGGAGAAACAAAAAAATATATTTTTATGCTTTTATACGTGTACAGTACAAAGACGAGAGAGCGGTAGGGTGATTACTGAATGCTGCAGCTCTTCTTCTTTTTTGGGTAGAAAGCAGTTTGTCCGCTTGGAGTAGTTGCATATGAACCATGCAAATCATGGCCCTGCTGTTGAGGAATTTGAATTTCTCCAGTTGCGTAAGAATTTTGTGGGTATTGACCCGAAGGCCCACCTTGATAACTTGCATTTCCATAGTTTCCTTGGTTCGGGTTATATGCAGGATATGGCGGAAGGGCACTACCACCTGAAAATGTTATCATTGAATTTGAGGCAATTAGTGACTCTATAAAGCCAATCACAAGTATTAAAAGCATAATTGTCTTTCACTAATTTCTTAAGTGACTAAGTGAAAGATAAAAAGAAGTTCTCAACTCAAAATACATGGAGCAGCGGAACAACAATTTAAATTCAAAAAGCAAAATTTGTTTCCATGATTTTATTAGTATCCCATTTTACTCTCAAAATTAGTTACCTTGTTGTGGCGGGTATCCACCCTGAGATGGAGCAGGAGGGTATCCGCCTTGTGATGGCGCCGGCGGATACGGCGTTGATTTGTCATCAAGACTTGGATAAGCTGGCGGTGCAGGTGTTGCATATGGAGTATATCCCGGGGGGTTGTTGGCTTTTTCGAGTCCAGTCACACGAAGAATACGGAGATGAGTTCCCTCTGGTGGCATTCCTGGCAGCGGTTGATCGAAATCTCCCCAAACGTAAATGTTTCCTGAAACTCGGCTTTGTTTTAATGATTTCGAAAAAAAACGACTCAGCACCAGAATGTGCCGAAGTAAGACGTGGCTCGATGAGTGGGCACGACATAGTAGCTGGAACCTGAGTCCACTGGAACGTTCTTGTGTCGAGAACCCAGTAATCGGTCAATCTTTCGAACACACCATTTCCACGATCAATTTCACCACCAGCCATGAGAATTGCGTCTGTAATTAAATGTCTCAAACAGTTGGTTTCTACAAAGACTAAGTTTGATTTCAAAATCATACTAGAGATGGAGTCTAATCCGCACAATTTCCGCGGAATCGGCATTCCGCGATTTGGATCGGGCGAACAGTTTTGAGAAGTAATCTAGAAAATTATAGTTTGTCGCGCCGATTGTGTTGATTTGCTTATACCGTTTGTGGGTTATTCAAGTTGATGATGTGGACTCGTGTATTGTCGAAATGGTTATCTGGTGTCGCTGACAAAAAAATGATTCTTCCATTGTTGACAAATCCGTCATAGAAATGAGTCAAATCAGCTCCTGGCACCGTAAAATTTGCGACTGGCTGCTGAGCAGATTCAGCCATACAGTCAATGCGCCATACCTGAAAAAAAAGAAAATTTATTGACTAAACGTTTTAAGACTATACATATTGATTAAAATATACACTATTTAAATATTTAGAAAGAATAAAATGCGAAAAATTTTAATATATGATAAAGGTACATAGATTGTTTTATATTCACATATGATTTTTGAAAGATTTTCAATATATTTACGGGTTTCTTTCCCAAATTTGCAAGAGGGCAGAATTTGATAACAAATGTGTTATATTTGAAATATTAGTTTTACAATTGATGCAAATCTAATGATGAATTCCAGATGTTATTGATTTCCATATGTTCTCTATTGTTAAGTATTTAAATGAAATCCACCTGGAGTCCTGGGTTTCCCATGACAATAATTTCGGGAATGTCATCGCGCATGGTGCAAATATATTCTCCACCAATTTGGAGTGGAGTGTTGACGAGTGGACGAACATTCGCAACCGACAAACCATCCTGGGCAAGATCGATGCGGAGCACGTTTAGCTGAAATATATTAAAGATGACTCTCTATAAATGATTCATACTCTAATTTGTCCGTAGATCTCTTCTTCAGTGATCAAAATGAAGGAAGATCCACCTTGTGGAGATGGGCACTTCAATGAAAATAGTTGCTTCATCTTTCCAGGGCAATGAAGAGAAATTTCGCCAGCAAAGCATCGAAGATTGAGATCAAAAATGATAAGCCCAGGATATCCTTTACGGAGTCCACTAATAATGTAAATTTTAATGGCTATGCTCTAAAAAAGTAATTACGTTGTTCCACTCAATTCATCCAGCTCCGGATCATACAAGAAGTAGAGTTTGCTAGCATCGACAGCTTCTTGGACGTCCTGAGAAAAGAATGAAAATGATGATAGAGCCGAAAAACTTGATTTACCTGGAAAACAGCAAGGCGCCATTTTCCGTATTGAGCATCCAGTGGGTGGGGTTGCTTTCCCCAAGCAACGGTGATGTCTTCGCTATTCACTTGCATCTGAAAAATATATCATGAGGTCTAAATGAATAGCGCAGTGAAATCTGAACGTAGAGGAAGTTGAAATGAAGATAATAAAAAAAAAACGATGTCCTTGATCGATGGAGGTCGAATACGATATTTATTGAAAGAAAGGGGTGTAACCGAAATGAAATGAACCAAAAGTGTGACTGTTACGAAATTATCGCACCACGAATCGATAAGTGACGTTATATTGTGTTCGTGGAACTTGGCAACACATCAACATGAACATGACACGAAACAGCAAACAATTGAATAAATCTCGGTAAACGATGGTGAAATGCGTTTCGGAAAAATTCGCGAATATTCTATGTGAAACCTGTTCTTTGTACATGCTATTGATTTTTTCTCGGAAAACTACAGTTTCAAGAAATTTAGGACACGTTAAGCTTGAAACTTATCACTTGAACTCAAAGTACTAATGAAGGTACGAGCAATGTCAGCTTGGTGTTGCGATAGCAACTTGAGCAAACAATGATATTTATATGTCTAGAGACATATCCAAAAAATATCTCCCATTGTAGATGGAGTGTAAGATATACGTGGAGCGAATTTGCTGTCAATCATGAGTCACCCTTACGAGATATTTTCACGTGCAATTCGCTGTTGATGGTTCGCACATTCAATGAAATGATTTTTGCAAAGCATGGCATTTGAAAGAGGTAATAGAGAACACAGAGGAAATGTGCGACAGGTGTGACAAATGAATGTTCTGGTGTATATTAGCGTCATTTTCTTTTATATAAATCATCGATAATTATTTCCTTGGCCAATAATCGTTTATTGCGAAATTTTAAAGAAAATCGGATGCATTTTTGCGTCAATCCGCGTGTGTGTCTGTCTGTAAAATTTTCTTTCGGTGTATACAAATAAAACGCGTCGGTGTTTGCAGACTTTTTGTGGTAATTCACTGCATTTGTCCAAATTTCTAGAAATTGCTAATTCACATATAAACGAAATAAAAAGAAACAATTGATTTTCGTTGTTTTTTTTTTCGAGTTTCTTTACTTCTAAATTATTCTTATGTCTTATTTTCTTTCTCTCGACTATTTTTGCGTTAGTTTTTTCTTTTTATAATTGATTGGTAATTTTAAGCGAGATAATTCTCAGTGAACCATGGGAAATCTTGACGACGAACTAGCACTGTAAGCAATAAGAATTTCTGAATTGTTCTATGTTCATTATTTTCAGTTTTGAAAGTGAAATCGCTGCGATTGAACAATCGGTACCAAATGTGGAGACTTCTATTGGATATGAGAAGGCTACGGGTGGCGCTCCCACTTCAGAAGAGCCCAAACCGTCAAAAAAGGTTCTTCCAACAGCACCGATGGCACCACCATTGATTCCACCGTCTTATGCTTCGCCATTCATTGCCAATACTCTTGGTAAGCCACTCTTGATGCCGCCAGTACTCATGACTCCGCAAATTCGTCCACACGTTCCGGTTAGCGATTCCACAAAAACGGTGTCCATTTCAAACAATCTATTTTCAGCCTCCCGTTATCAGTCAATCGGATGCTACAGCTACTATCGAAGGAGCACCGGCGATTTACGATACACCAGCTATTAACTCGATTCCACCAGAGTTGTGTCGAACTCAAGCGCTTCCATCGGATATTGAGAAAATGCATTTCAAAAGGCAGACAGATCCTCTGAAGAAGAGAATCAAGGAGCAGCAGTCGAAGAAAAAATACGTAAGAAGTGGTGGCGGTCAAGTTTGGGAAGATTCTTCGTTGGCCGAATGGGATGAAAACGATTTTCGAATTTTCTGCGGTGATTTAGGAAATGAGGTTTCATTGCGTATTGTCCAATTAAAAATGATTTATTTGTCTTGAGGTTTCCGATGAGCTTCTCGCTAAAGCATTCAGAAAGTATCCGAGCTTCCAAAAAGCAAAAGTTGTCAGAGAGTCTCGCTCGAACAAAAGCAAAGGATATGGCTTTGTGTCATTCCGCGATTCTGATGTAAAAATTTCTTTACCTATCTGAAAAAAAAGTGTGCATTTTTCAGGACTATGTGCGGGCTATGCGTGAGATGGATGGCAAGTACGTTGGAAATCGTCCGATAAAACTGCGAAAGTCGACATGGAAGGAGCGCAACATTGATGTTATCAAAAAGAAGCAACAAAAGAAGAGGGAGCTCGGAATTATCATCTAATTATGTACTTTAAAACTTCCTGCGAATTTCTTCAAATTTCATTGATCGATGAATGCAGATTTAGGATTTTTATGCTGATTTTCAGTGAACTCCCATCACAAACGTCACAACATCTAAAACTGCAATACAGCATAGTCCAGACCAATTCGTTGTGATATTTGTTATTCTTCTGTTTTTATATCATTCTTCAGCTTATGTACAGAAATATTTTTAAATTGAACCCAATTATCTTTCAATTTTCGTGGAATCTCATTATCAATTCATCGTCAAAATCATTTCTAGTTTTTTTTTATTCAAAGGTAAAATTACATTGTCATCTTTATTCGAAACGAATTTCTCAAGTATTTCTGCGTTTCCCAAATTTCGGGTTGATCACCATTTTTTATTATTATTTTCTTCGACTCGTCCTAAAATTATTATTATTTGAAAACTGGGAGTAACTTAAATAAAGTATTGGCAAAACTTTCCATTGAAACAATTTCACAAGCAAATCAACATGCTCACCGAAAACTGCGGAGTAATGAAAAATTAAAGCCAACAAATTTCAAAAATCACTAAGCTGAACGTTTCTGAGTAATGCTTAATTTTGTGATATATTTTTTGGTGTCAATGTATTATACAATATCCTCTTGGTTCCGAAGATCGCGTTCTGACTTCAAATTTGAAGATGTAGCATTATATTGTTTATTGTTGAAAATTAATGTTCAATAATTGCATAAACTCAAATCAGTAGTTAGTCAGCACTTCGTATATGAAACAATTAAAGATTCCACGCTACCTTGCAAAGTGTTAGTTATGCTAATCAAAAAGTAAACCTCAAAAACCCGAAGCTATATAATGATCACGAAAGCAATGTACAATCAATATAGGGGCTCTATTGCAAATCTATTAATTGGGTATCACAAAATTAAAAAATATATATTTGTTTGATAACACGTTAAATTAACTATTGATAACGAAAGATGATACCCAACAACTCATGCTGAAAAATAAAAAAAGTTATAAATTGTACAGTTTGATTATTCCATTGATATGCCAAACTAGAATATACTTCATAAGTAATAAGTTTATTCATTTCCTTTGGGCCCGATATCAGGAAGCGGGCGCAATGCGAATATGGCCGTTTTCACAGCTTTTGCGCATTCTCCAGCTTTCGGAATATAAAGCCTGAAATTTATATTTTAAATTGTTGAAAAAAAAACTATCAAATTTTACTTGTGAATAGCGGTTATTTTTGATTCTCCGTTCATTTCATAGCCAAATTTGAATGTCAATAATTCTGGAATTGAACGACGACTGGTGACGGTGAGCACCGTTGAAAGCGGATGTCTCGCTTCAGTTGTAACATATCCTTTCTAAATTTGTATTACTAAGATTGCCAAAAAAGAAAAAAAAAACGCTTACCTTTCCCGGAACATTGTGCAGAACATGAACGTGAGTTCTAGTCAATCCAATGTGCCCTTCAATTTCGCCATCGCGGAAAATTTCCTTGCATTCAAAAGTTTCCGTAAATTCAGCAGAAAGAAGGATCTTAAATTAAGCTTGTAAATTTCTCTCAATCGTTTACTAAATAAACTTCTTCTTTTGAGTTCTCGACAACAGTTGGCAAAACTGTCTCGTCATCAGAATTGTCATCTATTGAAAACACTGATTTCTGTTTGTATCGTTTGCCATGTCGCTCTTTTGGATCAACATGATGAAGAGCATTGTCAGAAAGAGAGTCACTCATTCCAGCCGACGGTGTGACAACGGATTCAACTTTTTCCTTCATTTTATTGGAAGTTGAAGAAAAGGCAGTTTTCATACGTGACATGAAACCCTGAAAATGTATAAAATTAATTTTACTTGCAGAATTTTATTTTAATGTTTAGTTTCATCATTTAAAAATATAGTCGTATAATATAGAAATCCATAAGAGGCGACCAGTTTCTCACAGGAGATATATTTTTGTGGTTTTTCATTATAACACTTTACATGGAATAGAGATACGACACAGTTTAAAAATAATAAAAAGGCAACAATATTGGAAATGATATAATTTTTTTTATTTTGAAATCCATATATCAAAAGAAATGCTGATGTATCACCTACCCAGCCATTCGAATCCTTGCGATTGGTGTTGCAAAACTGACATTTCTCTTCTTTATGCATTGCCAGCAAATCCCATCGTTTTAATTCTCCAACGCAATCATGCAATTCTGTAATGAATTTTTGAAAAGAAAAAGTAAAATTTAAAGATGCTTGAATTCACTTTTGAACCCTCCTTGTACAAATGAAACGTATGGTTTAGACTTTTGCATCAACATTGCAATCAGCATATTCATATAAGCATCTTGCACATCATCGCCATATCCCAGAAAAAGATAATGATCATCTGGGCGACGAGAGGCTTTGTACGATTCAATACTATTCAACGCAATCTCGAACTTATCCGGAGCATCAACAATCTGAAATAGTATATCTAATTCTACACCGTTTCCTGAAAAGGGTCTCACCGATGCACAGTCAAGATTGAAAGATGATACGAAATGACCATTGTCAAAATCCTTGTTCGATCTTGCATCCACGACAAAGAAATTTACTTTACCACTAGAGATCTGCAAAAATCAATAGTTCGAATGCTGTTAGCGTCTCATTACCTCATCGTCATTTGCAGTAAGGTCGATTGCAGGAATTGGAAGACATAACATTTTATTAACCTGGAACTTCGCGAAATACGAAATTGATTATTATTTGAAATTTAAACGTTTACTTGAAGATCACCAGCTTCTTCGTCGAAATTTGCACCAAACAGCAAATAATGGAATTCCTTTCTGACGCATTCAGGAGTTTTATCGGAATAATAGGTTGCAAGTTGAACAAAGTCGGGCACGTCTTCAACACTCATTTGGGAGCTCATGTTGCGCAAGGTTTTAAGAACATCGTCTCTAAAACAAATCAAACATTAGATAAATTTGAGATGTTATCGCAAGCCTGTTTGGAGTTTCCGATTTATCCATGATGATGTCTTTGGCATTAATTAGGAACACCAAAGAAAGATGAAAAACTAGGAACGGGTCCCCAATTTCAATGTAAATTTCCCAAAGTTGGTGACATGCATCAGTAGGCATATTGGCGGAAAACAACGTTGAGAACCAGTCACTAGCGTAGTCATGTGGATTACAGTGCATCGAATCCAAAAAGTTGCTGAAATCTTTGATTTTTCGCCGAGCAGCATTGCCAAAAACAACCTTAACTGCGGATCATGATATTGAAGAAGTAGACGGAAAAGATCGTACAACTGTGACCCTTTCTTGGTATCTCTTGGAATATATTTAGTGGTAAACGCAAAGAAGACATTGAATTCATCATCAGTTGGTAAATCGAGCACCAGAATCTTTTCCAGTATCTTAATTATTATATTATTGCAAGTTGTTCAGTACGCAGCATCAAATATACCTGAAGCCATCCGGAATCTTTCACATAATCCATATTCCGCCGTTTGCAGTATAACGTCAAAAATGATTCTAGTTCGGGAACACTTCTTTTATTCTTCAAGTCTTTCGCCAACTTTCTGCAGTCGTTACGAAGAATACACTGACTATTCAAATTATACAATTGGTCCCAATCATTCAAAGGATTTGGTTTTGTTCCAACATTTAGAAGTTTCTGCAACACTAAATTTTCATTATTTAATAATGACTAATGATTTACCGGCCATTTCGAAACATCGCGCTCCTTTTCGGCCACATTCAATTCCTTTACATCATTTAATATATCATTGACATCCGTATCCCTGCATTATAATTCAATTATTTAATTTTATTAATTCAACATTACCAATTATCGTCCAAATTACTCGTTCCAACGCTAAGAATTTCCAAATCGTCCATTTTTTGCTCGAATCATGCAAACAATGATACGGCGATTTAACAAAACAAGTGGTGATGCCAACGAGATTTCGTTTTGGACACTGCCCTCGTTTTATACGCGTGGTCTCGTGCGGAACCCCTGCATTAGAGCCCGCTTGCCACAGCGTTTAGCTTAAGCTAATCCGTGTTGGCTTAGAGAAAACCAATACGATGTTTACTTTGCCGTTTTTTTTTTGAAAATTGCCTTTTTTTGCTTTGTTTTATTGGATTTTGTTTTTAGTGCGTTGAAAATCAATAACACGTTTCGCCAAAATTCATTCAACCAAAAGTCGCATAATTCTTATTCCAATGGTTTATTTTATTCATCAGACGTGTGTATTTATATATTATGAATATCAAAAGAGCTATTGTCCGTGAGAATCGAAAATTGCATTGAAACCTTTATAGAATTTTCGCGTATTTTTTTTGTGCATATCAGTTTATTGATAACATAATCAACGTCCCGATGAGTAGTCGTTTCGAGTTTCCTTCCTTCACGTCAATTCGATTATCGATTTTTTCCGGTTTCGTTTACATTTTCTATCGTGCCACATAAACATTCGCCAACGTATATTTTTGATTTTTATTATTTCAGCCAATTATGGGAGCCGCTGCGTCTGGTGTTAGCACTCAAATGCAAGCCGAGCATGATCCAAATGCTGCGTTTCCATGGTAACAACATTTCCTAATTAAATCAAAAAGTTGAATACAATAATTTCAGGTGGGTTCGTTTCTTGGCGAAAGGAGTCGCGATTCTTGGAGGCTTCCTCTCATTGTTCTTTGGTGTATTGGGCCTTTTGACCTTTACAGCAACATGTATGCTTGCAATTCTCCTTCAAATGTAAGTTGTTTCTAATTTCGTAATAGATATAAATAATGAATCGAACTAAAAGTGCCGTTTGGCGCGCAAGTTTCCTTATCGCATGAAGTTGTTCCAACAAGACAAAGATTTTATCTAACTTTCGCGGAAAATATTTCTTCTTTTCAATCTACGTTCAAAAACAAAATATATTTTAGGGCATCCGGAGCATTGGTCATCGCATTGGAAGCGCCATTCTGTTGCCAATTCGTCGATTTCATCGAGAAATTGGCGAGATTCAGCGAGTCGCGACAGCTTTGGCATAAGGCGGCCATCTATGGAATGTAAGAAACCAAGAAAATAATACCGAACTTTAATGAAACATTTAATAGAATGGGAATTATTCCGATTATTCTTTGCTTGGAACTCAACACCATTCTTGGAAGTGGAACCATCTTCGCATCGGGAGTCATTTATGGATTCATGGCGCTTGGAAAGAAGGCTGATCGCAACAACATGATGGCCGCTGGAGATCCAGCCTGGAGCCCACAAGTCAACCAATCCAACATTCCATAAATGACAAACTAAGAATGGATATGAATTAGGAGAATAATTCATTCTATTTCAATTTATAACAAAAAAACGACCAACAATTGTATTTATTTTGCATTATTTTTTATATATTTATTTATTATTGATCTTTAACGACTAATTTATTCTCAAAATCCTTTAATTTCTCCCAGCGAGTAACCAGAATCTCATCTATTGGGGACCCTGCATTATGCTTTTTTAATCATTAAGTTTATTTGAAAAAAGGAAGAGATGTTCTCCATCAAAATCGTACATTTGTGATGTATTTCCAGTCGCTTTTAACTTTCAAATGGTTCGTGAGTTAGACAAAAACCGTAGTATACCTGACTACTATCAATTTAAATTCAAAAATAAATATTTTGTGAATATTTCGGTTTTTGCATGACATCATCCTCATTGTGGAACAAAAATTATTTTCCTTCTTACGCAACATTCGTTTGTTTCGAGATGACAAACATTCAGTATGTTCAATATTTTGGAATGCCTACATGCTGTTGGAACGAAGTTAATAATGCAATGAAGAATTGGCAGAAAACTTCTAGAATTTTTTACTGTTGACATTGCGGAATTAAATACATAGCAAGAACAAATAAAAACAATTCGGCGGGTTTATTCACAACTTTCATTCTATCAAAATGCTGAAAACAATTATTTATTTTTTTTTCAGAAAATCCCTAAAAAAATTTTTTTTGAGAGTCAGCTACCTTCTTGAAAATTTTATCGAACACAAGCTCGTAGAAATGTTCAGTTTTTTTACACTAAAAAAAATTTCAACCTCAATGTTCCTAGACAAACACTATTACATTTTATGAGGTTTCCTAAGAAGTATGCGCGTCTCTCCGTTTTCGTTTTCCCAGAGAAACACTTGACCATGTTTTAGCCAAATGAAAAATAGCCTCGAAGAATGTTTTAGTTTTGAATGCGAAAAGCGCCAATGGCTATATTTCTTGTGGATGCACATTTGCATAAATACTTTGGCATGACAATACTGCGGGAAAATTACACTGAGAAGGGCTCGGAACAGACACAACTTGTGCTTTTCGCCAATGTAATGTTTGATAGTCCATCTGTTTTGAAACGCACTTGCTTTGTGAAGCTGAGTGATATCTGTTTTCTCGTGTTATTTTCTTTTCATCTTTCTTTTCGTTTCCGTTTTTTTCGATGGTGTACAACAACCTGCTCAGTAGATAAAAGGTCGGAAATCTCTTCACTAAACCACATATCTTTCATTTGGTTTTTGCGACTCGTTTTGTTTGATAAACAACGTGAATCGCCTGATTTCTTTTTTTTTCCTCACATTTTTTGAAACCATTCGAAAAATTTAATTTTAAGGATGAAGGATAATAAAGTCTTGGTTTCGATATCCGAGATTCGTCCACACTTGTTTCTTGCTGGATATGGGTGTATTACAGCATCAGCGGTATATTCCCATATAATATATCAGAAATAAAACAAATTCAGTTACGACAACATGGAATTACTCATGTGGTTGACGCAACCAATCTTAAATCCAAGCCATTAGATGGCATCACAAAAATGGAAGTGCCAATCGATGATTCTCCACTGTCAAAAATCTCGCCATATTTTGAAAAAGTCGCCGAATTTGTAGAAAGTGCCAAAAATCAAGTAAGAAAACGCCTAAACAATAATCATATTTTCCAATATTTGAGGGTGGGAAAACAGTTATTTATTGTGCTGCTGGTGTAAGCCGCAGTGCTTCCCTCGCCATCATGTGCTTAATCATATCTGAGAATATGCCATTGGATCAAGCATATTATACAGTGAACCAGGTAATTCAACAAATTTGGTTAACTGGAAATAATATTTTTGCAGAAACGTCCAATAATTTCGCCAAATATTGGTTTTTGGCGAGAAATGATTGATTATGAGAAAAACAAAACGGGATGCGCCACCGTTGAACTAATAACTGGACGCATGGCTCGGCCGATACCAAGTGTTTACCTCCATAGATCAGTATCATCCAGCGCCTAATTGAATTTTTTCCACAAAAATTTGATCGGGTATTCCTGTACAATTTAGACATCGTGACCACAGAAAATTAGCTTTCAAGCATGATTGAATAAAAAATTGAAACAATATAATATCAATAAGAACATCCCGCCCGCGAAATCGAGAACAAATGGTTCGAGCGGCGTTTTTTTTCTCAATCGCGCACTGTTTATACTTCCTGCTCGCCAAATGACCAGCTGACAGCACACTGAACCGAAACCAAATAAGAATCCTCGGCAATGTGTCACAACACGATATTTTGATATCGCGATTAAAAAAACTGACATTCTGGGCGGTCTATTTCCGGAAAGACTATTCCATGATTGCAATTTCATATAAAAGGCAGATCGGCGTGCATTCGAATCATCAGATTCAGCACCTTCCGATCAAAGCATGCAACAGTCTATTCTTACGGTTTCTCTTTTGGCCATCATTGTTTCTTCGACTGAACTTTCGAATGAGGTGATAAACCAATTATATAATTTGGAGAACGTCTCCCATTTTAAAGACAAGCATTGCTCCAGTTGTACGACGCTGGAAGCGCCATTGCGGCAGTCAAGGTTGCGCTCCAGCGGTTTGCCAAAAATGCCCATCTTGCTGCAGCATGCAACCAGTCTTCAATATCAATTTTGTTAGTTTCATTTCACATCCCATTGACTTTCTGGCCATTTAAGAACTGTTGCAATTCCCCAAGACCAAATCCATCTTGTTGCTCAGCTCCAGCTCCACCACCGCCGCCACCGCCAGCTCCATGCTGTGGACCAGCTCCACTCCCACAGCAGCCATGCTGCGGACCAGCACCACCAGCACCATTGCCGGCGCCAGTTCTCTGCTGCAAGGCAGCTCCAGTTCCAGAAAATCCGTGCTGCCAAGCATTAGCTGGTCCACCACCACCAGCTCCAGTTTCGCCATCGTGCTGCGCCGCGGCCCCAGCTCCAGCCAACCCGTGTTGTCAACCAGTGCAGCCACCGCCATGCACTTGCAATGCTCCAAGACCAGTCCCATGTCGTTGCGCAGCTGTTCAGCAGTTTGCGGACTGTCCAAATTGCGATGCCCCACAGCCAAGGTAACATCAATTGATGAATCAAAGAACCTTCATTGACAGTTTACAGATGCTCTGGATATGCTGCACAGTGCACTTACAGAAGAATGAGACGCGATGTCCATCAACAAATCCTCCAATCGTTCCACGCAACCTATTAAACCATCTCATAGATATCGAGCTGTGTCATCAAAAGAGAATAACATAGCATAGTGTAAATTTATAAGATTATTAATTATTTAATTTAATGAATAAAGGGTGAAAGAGTTTAACTACTTGAGAAATGATTTCAGAAGAGTATATAATGGTCATTGAACTTAAAAGAAAAAATCTTACTTGTAATAAAGGGTATAAGAACATGGTATTAGAAAATTAGACAATTGGAAACCGCGTTGCGCACTGTAGATTTTCCAAACAATATTAAAATCAAATCGTCCATCTAAAATTTTAAATATTTCACGCACAAAAATGAAATATATCTTTAACACATGAAGTTTTACTCAAACAAAATTGAATACATTTACATTTATCAAACAAGTATCTCTGAATGAACAGATTTATGAATTTTTCTCACTATTTAGACAATCATTAGGAATGAATGTTCTAAACCCTTGTGGCAAGTTTTCTAAACGCATGCGATATTATTTATCAAACAACGTAAAAAATGCGAAAAAAAAAATCCTCGACTAAACAATGATTATTGCAAATGTTCAATTTTTGAATATTAGTAATTTATTATAAAAATAACATTGTGAAACATTCCAAATTCAAACAGTGATTTTACTCAAAAGAGAACTCAATTCAATTAAAAATTCGAAGAAACTTGTACAATGAACTCTTATATCCTATCATGTTTGCTATTTTCATTATTTGAATATGAAGAAAGAATGAAAAAACAATCTAATAAAATTTGATTTCTTTCTTTAATTAATTAAGTGATTTCTTTATTCACAGAATTCGTTTAATTGACATTTGAATTATAGCAATAAATTGGCCCAAAATTACTTGATGCCAATCACAAACGTTTCACCGATTCTTTTCTCACAGCAAACTTCAAAGTACGACAGAAGTTTTTAACTGATTAATCAAATTGGTTCATCCTCTCATTCAAAAATGTCAATTTATGGAGCTCCTCAATTGCTCCCCATTATGGGAGAATTCATCCATAATAGTCGTTTTCACACTGGATGCATTAATTAACATTTTTCATCAAATGCTCTCCACGATTCCGTGCGCGTTGGTTCTAAATCACCAATCCCAATATAATGACTTTCACCCACTCTCCACGCAAGTTACCGTACATAATTGCGAATAGCCGACGAAAGCTCGTTAAGATAATGACTCGCATAAAAGTATGTGATATAATAGTTGCTGAGCATCCCGATTCCGACAAGCTGAATGGGCATCTCAACGGTTTTTTTTTTTTCAATTTTCTTTTGACTTTTCTGACAGTTAACTGCCTTTCTTCTCGAATCTTTTTTTTTGTCGTTCATTTTGAACGATGTGCGCGATATATCCCAAGACGCACATCTATATGCATAATTTCGGGCGCCGCAAAACGATAGCAGTAAATCTGCAAATTAGGTGCGAATTGTGGAACTTGTAGTAAAATCACTCCCAAAGGACGAAAAAATATGGTGATTTTATGTATTTGACGAGTTCAACTTGTTTTTGATTCAAATCTCCATCTTCCTCAACGGATTTTGATACCTGCATGTAGGTAAATACCGTTAAACGTCCATATTATATTTTTTTTTTGAAAATTATGATCATGTTTGTTTGAAGTTTCCTCATAACAACAAAAGATAAATCATAGATCACACAATTCTTGAATCGAATTTTTCTAAACGGTAAAAACCAGTGAAAAGAGTTTAAAATTTTCACCTTTGAAACATCTACTGGGTGGTTTAATTTTTATATTGCAATTCCCGAAAAAAACAGGGTTTTGGAATAACAATATTTTTGTCAAATGATGAAATTGATTGATATCGGAATAATATTTTTCCGGATTTTTTATTTGTTTTTTATAGGTATCTCAATTAATATTAAAACAAAAACAACTAATTTGAATCCGTCAAAAATGTTGATCGAATATTAATATTGCATTATGTACATGATATCAATTGAATTAAAAATGCGCACATGATAAGCAAATTGAAAGAGTTTTCTCAATTAGTATTTCGGGTGTCGAAAGATGTGCACATTATTTAACAACTATTGGTATTGTTTCAACATGCTCTTGATTAGCTGCTCACTGAGGAAAACCAGTTCTAAATAGCTAAAATTATGCCACCGAACATGTCATCTCAATAAGCACTATTTTACAACTCCCGAATATTACAATGACCTAATTATACAAAACGATTTAAAATTCATTTAATATTGTTGACAATTGTCTTTTTTGTATTTTGGCCACAATGCAATGGTAACTAAGCAAAAATTTTCGAATTTTTTTATGCATTGTTCTGGAAGTAGTCGATTTGAAATTTGAAAGGGAGCAAATCAGTGCCATCTAAGAGATTTTGACATGATCTTCTTCTGTGTGGTCTGGCAAAATGTTTAAAAAAGGAAAGCCAAACAAGCCATGAACATTTTAAGGTCCCTTACTAATCTTAATTTACAATCTAATGTCATGTTCAGTTTTTGAACCCAATTCAATTTTCATTATCCACCCTTCCTTCTTCGCGTATATCCGCTACCGTAGTTTTAAAGGCATTTACCCGGAAATGATTGTTGAATGCAAAGGATCTCATTTGAATTTCGCCAAAGTCCATGTATTCGATTATCTTTTTCTTTTGTTTCGAGAGTGTCGAATGCTCAATGAAGAGTCAACTCAATTATTTGAAGATACATAGAAACATACACACAGACACTCGACATTGGATCCCTCAATATGGGCACCGCCGTCTGCCTACAGTAATCCGAGCCGCGATGCGCGGCTCACATGAAAGCCGCCCGCCAACCGCCTGTAGAGCTAATTGGCGCGCGCCGTACAAGATTTGAGTGGACCATCCCTCGGTGTACTGTATCAAGTGACCTCACGCTGAACCAATTGAGGAGGATGACCCGCATGCAAATTGTCGTGTGGGCTCATCTTCTATAGTTTCACTTAATTGGCGATACGCGGCAGCTCTTATGTAATCCGTTAAAACAATACCTGCTATTGTGGTGACTTATCGGCGCGACCCCTCTCATTATAAACTACTACACTGATACAACAAGAGCCGATAATTAGATCGTGCGCATCCGCCGACTCAAATCTTAATTCAAATAGAGTTATGCGTGTAATTCTATATAAATGTGATAGAAAAATAATCCTCTTGATTAGATTATTGTCCTACGAGGTAATTACTGTTTGGCAACGTATAGCCCATCGCATCTACTATTGTCGTGTGACTTCCCCCCCCCCCGCTTTTTGGATAATTGACTTATTAAGCGTCTCACGCAAAATGAGAAAGGAAAAGAAGAATAAACCATGAAACGCGTGCGCGAAATGATGAGCCTCTCCTCATCTCGCCTCCCGTATCCATATACAGCTGTCGTGCGGTAATTTTCGCCAAAAACCAATTTCGGAGTCGTTAAATTTTGACAGTTGGCATATTCGGATATAATAAAAGATGTGTACTGAGCCAATTTCGACAAGGCCTTTGGAGTTAACACACGCTTCAGAAGCGCCATTTACGAAAGAACATGTTGAATAAGGAATATTGGAATATTATTGAGAAAGGCGAAGAAAATGCTGCTGAAATTGTTTTATTAGATATTGACACATTTTCAAACTAATTATGTCTTCGTAAAATTTCATAATACCAATTATTATCTACAATTTAAAATTGCAAAAATTTGGTGAAACTTAATTTTCTTCTCCAATATTTGACGTTTCTTAAATTAGGAAATATACTTCATTGTTTTTTAGCGGCCCTGCTTTAAATGCCAATGTTTTTCTTTATTTTCCTTATGAGGGTTTCAGTATTTATTTCTTGATGAACTCAACTTTATAATTCATTCAATCCATCATTGTCAAGTAAACAATGCGGTAGATAAATACCGAAAGTCGTTAAAAATTAATAATCGCCTTGTTTGGGTGAGCTTTTTTGCAATTCACCGCCGTCATTCGCCGGAGAGCTCTGATATAGCGAAGGCTGGTAACTGACGAAAGCATCTGTCACAAATTCATCTTGCGACACGCCATGCATCTATCTTTACGACCGCGATTCATATTAACCCATATATACATGACTTTGCCGTCTATAACTGATTGGGAGTCCCAATTCATTTTCTGGATTATTGGTATCCGAATTTTATGCAAAAATCAAGTGCGTTTTGACTTTCATTCAATGGCGGATTCAAATTACATACTACACAATTTCTGCTCAGGTACTTAGCACAATCAAAGTAATGAGCAAACATTAGGCTTTTATCGGCTCCCCCCCCACACACATCTTATTTATGCATACTGGTTTTATTCGCGCCACGAAACCAAAACGGAGAATTGGAATTTCGAGCTACCGTAGTCGCAATGCAATAATAATAGGGGTGGAGTGGAAAAGACGAAGCCGATTTTGGTCGGAATTCCCTCGTGGGCCCTTCTCAAATCGGTAAAAGCGCCAAGGTGATTGGATTCGGACGCGACGAATGGCTTATTTGTGTGCGGTGTGCAAATTTGTTGAATTCCAAATGTGTGAATTCCAGAAATGTGCATATAAATTCTCGCGAGAAGTGTGGTATTGTAATCGGAGAGGTTCAACTTTAATATTCAGTATGCCAAATGTGAGGAAACGTGTGAAAACTGTCGTATTGTATTTCAATTTGGGCGCACGTTTTTACGAATCCATCCCGTTCGCTTATAATAAGGCACTGCGCATCCTATCACAAATTACTCAACAGCCGCTCGCATCTCGGTAGTCGAGACCAATGCATTTTTAAGCAACTCATCTTCAGGCAATGTCTTGGAACCAAGACGAAATGAGACGAAATATGCGTAGATTGAAATAAATTGGCTCGCCAATAAGACAATACTCCTTCAATGCATTTTTTTTTTCAATTCCACGCTCACTCAACACAAACTGAATACTGTAATGATTTATAATGTTGTTTATCGCAACCCATTTTAGCTAGTTAAAAATTGAAAAATGAAGCGAAATGAGGAGTGTCGTCCTTTTCGAAATTGCCTGCCAGTAGTTCTCAATCACCCTAATTAGTATACACTGGAAGGAAAGCTCAAAATTCACGAAACCTGCCTGAATGATTTGTATTCCTTGTATGTCGCGGGGAATTAGCATGCGAGTGCAATTGGATGTTGCACTATTGTCCAAGGTATCATTTTTCAGAGCGATGCGCAACCAACTGAAATAATAATGCTCTAATATGTAATTTGGATTACGAAAAGTTGATGCTCAATTTTTTAATTCAACAATGACAAAATTAGAGTATTTTTTGCAAGTTTTTGCACTTTGACGATCTATTTCGAAATGCAACGCTTTTTCGTGCATCCAGAAAAAAAAAGATTTTCATCGCTTTCTAGATCGCACAATCACAACTTAAAAATTCTATGCATGTTCACAGTGCATCCGGCGATACTAGGAATCATTCGGCGGAAAAAATGCCTGAGCACTTCAGCTTTTTCAATTACAACTTTCAATTCATTCATTCATAACCATGTATATCAGATTATTAAGACATATCGAGTCAAGCATACAGAATATTTCATTGCCTATTGCAACATTGATGTTTCCTCAACCACGATGAGCAACAAATGCTCTTTTAATTGCGCGCGGCCCACAACCTAAATGGGCGGAGTCAGCCAATGAACGCGGCTGCGCGAGATTACGGAGGTGTGGTGAGAGTGAGCTTCTCTCGAGCCACCGTGTCAGTTCTTGCGGCCACCATGAGATTATCAAACCAATCGAGGAAGGTGCCCTTCTATATTTTTTACTTTGAAAGTAACCCATTTCTCACTATAGCATCTACTTCACAATTTGAATTATTAGAAGATATATCACAAATGCAGTGATTTAATTTTCTGTCACATTAAATTCCCTAATATTTAGTTAAATTTTATTTTAAATAAAAATTTTAATATATAGAATGTTTCATTGAATATTCGTACGAATTCAGATTTATCGTGATTTTTGATTAGGTGCTCCATTTAACATATACTCACCGTAATCCTTTTCAAGATTCGAATCCCGATTGTAGTTTTTTTGCCAATTGTTTTGAAAAGCAGTGCCAGGTAGTTCGAATTCACTTCCGTCCCATTTGTCTATTATTATGTTACAGCATGATTTGTCGCGCTTTTTGGGAGTATGCGCGAAGTGTGTGCCGCATCTTTTATTTATACGTCCATTTTCACACTAGAATGAGCTCATCCTGTCGGCCATTTCATTTGGCGACATTGCATTGACTTGACACGGATTTTTTCAATGCATATATATGTTGTCGCGTTTGTTAATATTTGAATACGTGTTTCTTTTCAAATACCAATTCTCATTTTCTAGTGTTTTATTTTCTGTCTTCCACTTTGTGATTTAGTCCAAACATCATTGCGTCAACTCCCCTTGGAACCATGCGTTTTGTCTAGCAATCAGGCCGCTTTTCTAACAAGCTCGACGCTCATTTAGCAATGATTTTCGAAAACTTGCTTTCTTTCCCCCCGACTAACATTCTTCAAGTTTTTTGGTTTTTAGGTGTTAGTCAAAGGCCGAAAGACCAAACCAAAAAATAAACACTAAATTTCGTTTCCTCTTCAAAAAGGATACTGAGAATGAGCACGGATCACGCTACCTCAAATATCTATTCTGTTGAATCATTGTTGGCCAATGCGGACAAAGCAAGCATTTCCCCAACAGGTGACCAATCAAGGAGATTTCGATAAGGAGTTGAGCCTTGAAATTTCAGATAGCATAGACGATAAAAATAGTGAGAAAATATCTGAAGAAACACTCGGGTGCTGGCAGAAAATGGCCGCTGTTATCGCATTTCAGCAGAAAATGATGATGCTACAGCAAAGTGCAAAATAATTTTATTAATTGTTTTAAGACAAGTATTATTTCAGCAATTCCACAAGTTCGAGCTCCTTCCAGCTCTCCATTGCTTTTTATGCCTAATTTCCCAATGAATTTCATGAATGCGGCGGCGCCCATGTTGTGGCAGAATCAGCTACGCTGTATGGCTATGAATTTGATGATGATGAATCCTGAATCCCCAACAGGTTGGCCAACGATCAATTTCAAACAAAATAATGATATTTTCATTTTCAGAAACTACTAATACCGCTAACACTTCAAATAACTCTCCATCGCCAGTGAGCGAGGTAAAACCCTACAATTGTCAAAAATGTACAAAAACATTTTCGACCTTAGCTGCCCTTGAGGTGGTCCATTTTGTGATTATTTTCATTTGAAATTTTAATTTCAGCAACACCAACAAGTTCACAATTGCGACAAACAATTCGAGTGCAAACAGTGCGGGAAATGCTTCAAAAGGTCAGTTGCTACCGTAACCCGAATATCGAATTTGAAAATCCTTCATTCATCAATTATTCTTGCCTAATAAGTGTGATTTCAATGAGAAGCATATCGATCGTATTGCGTTAATTTAGTCACTGCGGGGTGTCAGTCAGCAGCAATCAACACGTTAGGCTTCAAAATCCCACATTCCCCGCTCCCCCCCTTTTATTGGCTGGTAATGTTATGCAACGACATTGCATCTTCATGAATATACAAACGATCACGAAATTGAGGCATGTCATATTTCTTTCAAATCTTGTCAAAAAATCGTTTTGCATACATATTAGGATGACGGAGGAAGGGAGGGGGGCGACCACTTGCGTGGCAATTTATCAAAACCATAACCAAAACTTTTTTTAGAAGCTCCACCTTGTCGACACACCTGCTTATTCATTCAGACACTCGTCCTTACCCTTGCGAATATTGTGGAAAAAGATTCCACCAAAAGTCGGATATGAAGAAGCACACCTACATTCATACAGGTTTAGCTTGACCCCATTCTAATTTTGCCATTAATCAAGCATTGCGAGAGGGGGAGGAGAAAGAAATAGTTGGAGGGAGATGAGTGGGCGAGAATTCACCGCCTCGTTTTCCATATGATTGATGAATCAGGAAAGCGTTGAAGAGCAGTCTTCATGTCACTACCGTGCCGCTACACACAAATCTAAATGAATATCCAAGCATGCGTGCTCGCCCCATTCACCAATCTTTTGATGATTTACTGCCATCTCCAATCGCATATTAAAACAAGTTCATATTTTTCACGGATGAATGTGTGTGTGTGCATGTGCATATAGAAAAAGAGAAGAGGGTTGATGACCAATTAGTGTGATCGCTTCTCCTGACCGGAAGTAATATCAGACCTTTCCGGAAAGCGTACATATTTCAATCAATGAAAACGTCTTGGATGCTGTTTTTTGCTCAAGCTTTCAAATTTTTTTCCTCCGTCTTTGCTCCTTGATTGGCAAGTCGCGCTCGTGCGCGCACATACACACACACACACTCCGTCCTCGTCCCGAGGTTTTGATGATAGCCGGTCGCGGCAAGAAATTGGGAGCGATTATTTGACACTGGAAAACAAATTAAATCCGCTGGTGATGCGAGGCGAGTTGTGCGCTGCTTACCTAAAAGCAAAGCAAAATGCAATCGCGGATAGCAGAACGACGCAGGAAGAAGCAGAAGGCGAGCCGAAGAAAATGAAAATGAAAGCGATGGCATTTTAATTCGACACTAACAAATGATGGCTCGAACACGAGGAATCGAGGAATAAGATTCAATAGTTTGAGCAACTCATGTAAACCATAAGGGGTTGGCTAGAGAAAAAAATTCTGAGATTGTGTTTGCTCTCCTACAGTATACCTAGTGATCAAATAACTTCTTAAAACGTGAAAAAGGTATCAAATATCACACTACGCGATACTAAAATCTTAAATTTTTTTTAAATTATGAGAATTTAATTATAAAAAAAATTTTTGGTATAAACTTAAAATATGCCGCGAGATGTTATTTATTCGACATTTCAGGAGAAAAACCTCATAAATGTACAGTTTGCGGAAAAGCCTTCAGTCAATCTTCGAATTTAATAACCCATACAAGAAAGCATACTGGATTCAAGGTTTTTAGCTTTTTTTCAATGCTCCTTCAAATTAATGTAATTTAGCCATTTGCCTGTGATGTTTGTGGAAGAACATTCCAGAGAAAGGTTGATCGTCGAAGACATCGCGAGACACATCATCCAGGTCATCCAGACGAATGCGGTAATTATTCAATTGCAATACAGTAACCATTATTGTTTTGGCTCAAATTTACAGTAACCGCATCGCAAATTCCCTTCGATATATCGCCCAAAGGATACATGACACCGCCGAGCAATACGACTGTTGACTCGTCCGAAGATATTCTCAATGCGTTCAGGTTCGTATTTCTTGTCGTCAACATACTAAAAATAGGCAATCTTGCAGGCTCCCAGCACAATTATTTGGAATTAAGGCCGAAATTCGAGACGCCGATGAAGATGATGAGGCGCTGAACCTGAGCAGGTCTTAAACAAATTTTTTAGATACGCACAGTTCTTTCGTTGCATGGAACTTCGAATGTGATCTCTTTTATAACATTTTGTTGAATTGAATCTGTCCCTCAGAAGTCATGTTGATCATTAATAATCCAAACGTTATAAAAATGCAATTAATGCATATGCGCTGATTTTTCTGTCTTGGCTTTTAATCATATTGGGTCCATACATATCTTAAGTAATTGCTAAGGATCCATCAAATTTATCCATAACATTCAGATTGTCATTTCTTCCACCGAATTTCACCTCGTCCTTTTCAAATTCCGCTTTTATTCTTTTTTCAAGCTTTAGAATTCCGGTGAAATCAACACCCAATTTTTGCATTTACCCCTCCTGTTTTTGATTGTTCAAATCAACTGCTTGTTTTTTTTGCATAAATTTATTTAAACAATTCTACTTGCACAAAAGCAGGGCATTATTATTTTTTCCGACAAAACGTTAGTGAGGTCCGGAAAATACTCAAGGGAAAAGAGATTAGTAAAGATTAAAAGTACTGGAACATAACAGTGGAAAAGAAGGCACACAACAGAAATGAGGCCATTTTTCGGCTAATGAAACACATAACCTAATCATCGCCGACGAGTAAGAAATGAGAACAACGGCAGAGCGTTGAAGAAAGGATTTCCGGACTTTGGAGAAGACTTGCTAATGAAAAAAACCACTATACTTGGAAGAGAGGTACAATACAATAATAACCATATTTGAGGCGACCATTCAATTTGAAAATATGATACTGTCGGTTTTTTTAGAATTCGGCAAACTGCAATAAAATTCTGATAAAAATGATAAAATTGTCGACGGATGTGCATATGGAATAGATTTTGAGAAAAAAAAACCCTAAAAATGGTTATATCTAGTGTTTTAAATTGATTTTTAACGGCTTTTGCGAAATTTGCAAGCGTCACGGTACTATACCATTTTCCATCAAAAATAAAAAAAACCGGTTTCAATAACGCCTCTAAAAAGTAAAAATGATATCCCCAGATTGCTGAAAAATAGTTTCATTCGGTTTTTTTTTGAAAAAACAAACCTCCACTGAACCATAAAATATTCTTTGCAAATTCCAGTGAAAGAATAACCGTAGTAATTAATCTTTTTATTTGTCTTTTTTTTATTAAAAACGACAGAAAGAGAAAAAATCTCGTCACATAAACAGAAGCGACCATGCATAAATACGAAATTACTGCAAACGTCGCATTGTTTTAATAATTAAAAAGCTAAGCAGGGAATTAATTAATAAATTCATATTGAAACACTAAAACAAAAGCCGGCCATTGTAGAAGTATGAAGTTTTTGCAAAATGAAGAAAAAACATGTTTGAATTCAAATTGTTGAAGATTTTACAATATCCGAATACCTGTTATTCAATTCTAGCTAAAAAAAAAGTAGTAATTTGAGTATGAGAATAATTACCACAGACAAACAGTAAAACCAAAAATCTCTGTTCTTTTTAACGAGTTCATTGCAAAATGCAAGATTCGTTGATAATAATAAATGGAAGCATTCTTAATATTTATACAATATTTCTAAAACATAATTGTATAAGACATAACTTCAAGCTTCAACTATTTATTAAAATAAATGTGGTTGTAAAATAATAATGATAAAATAATACAGCAGTCATAAATTTTTTTGTCATATTCAAGCGAAATGTTCTCCTATGAAAGCTGGCACTAAAACTATGATTGATCCAGAATTATAGTAAATGAATGGTGTGGTTATAAACGCCAAAGAGAAATGAGCTTCTATCAACAATACCGAGTGAAAATAATGTTACGGGTTGACTACAATATTGTAAAAAATGGATAAATTGGAGTGGGGTTATTTTGGTTTTTTCTTTAACAATTATGATAGTTTGAATAAAAAAAATCGAAAAAAAAACAGATGAAGTCATTTAATAAAAAAATAGGGTAACTAAAATAAAAATTTATGTTACACTTGATGTAGACAACACTGAAAAACAAACAATTTTTACTTATGTCTCATCAGTTTCATCCATTTAAGAGCTCGCTTCATCAAATATCCCTGTTCAGGATCTGTACTTGGTTTTGGTTGAGCTCGGCCGCTTCGAGCTCCGACACGCGAGTTTTTATTTACAACTGCTGAGGGCATTGCAGCTAGCTTCGATCGATCACCTTAAACCTAATTGTTAAAAAAAGGAGAATTCTTAAGGTTTTGCAAATTTACCATTTCCGACAGCCTTGCGAGCTTGTGAAAGCTCTGAAGCTGATGGAGTCGGAGCCATCGAGTGAGCCAAACCATACCTTGCTTGACGTTGACGAACGTTACGCGGTGTGTGGGCCTCGGCAATCAATTGCTAACAAAGAAGCACAATTATATAAATATTTTTTTTTCATTCCAACACCGTGCGTCTGCCGGTGTCCATTTGCTTAGCTTTGTCGCTGATTTTTTCAGTTAGTCTCTCAAGACGATGCTGTTCTGATTTCGCTTTGTCGACGACGAGATGATCATAGAACGTTGCCCATGATTTGAACGATTTTGGAAGAACTGTTTTAGTCGGAAATTCGCGTGCAACCTCCGATTTGAAAAGCTCTTCAACGTTTTCCTCGTATTTCTTAATAGCAATAAATATATTCAATAAATCAATAAACGATCGTACATGATTAATCCGAACAAATAACTTCAGCTCCTCGTGAGATGCTCTCTTGAGTGCCGGCTCAAGAACCTCAAACGGGGTCTTCCTAATTGGTTTCATCACTATAAATTATATTGAATTCCAAGCTTATTCAAAAATAAGCTAACATTGATTTGGATGATTAATTAAGATATTCTGTGACAACTTCAACAGCGATAGCACTTCAACGTTTGTATTCTTCTTGCGGCCAGCAAAGACTTTCCGCACATCCTTTCTTGGCTTGAACATATCCTCATCGTTGACTGAAATTAACAAAAAATATATATATTATATATAATTTATCCAACATGTCGCAATCTTCGGCTTCAAGCCCTTCGGAGTTTGAGTAAGTTTGACAATCTAAAATTATGAATTGTCCTAGTAATTATCGCAAACTCAGCGCTTTCAAATCGCACACTTTTATAGTCAGCTTCCGACGACTGCTGTACGCGGGTAGATTTGCGACTCTCGAAATTGTCTCGTTACACGTAATACTTTTTTTAATGTATTATTATTTTTTATGAGTATATCATTTTTCCTCCTCCTCCCTCAAATTCTTAATATGTATCACTGAAAAATTAAGGGTACTTTAAAATGCAGAACAATCAGTTAGTTAGTGCGGGGCCATAGCGAATGCACGTAAATATTCTCGTGTACAACAGTCGCCGGACGTCGACTATACTATTCCTACGTATTGAAGGTCTTACATGAGTGGCAGTCGATGACGATGGCAACGAATTGTCATATCCAAGCGACTCGTAAGTCGAAGCATTCAGTCTCGCAGCACGTTCGTCTCTTCTGCGCTGCTTTTTTGCTTCTTGCTCCAATTCATATTTCTTCTTGAGCGCATCGTGCTCGGCAAAAATGTCAACTTCTTCCATTCGCATTTCCAAACTGCTTTTCTGAAAATTTTGTTACCTCAAAAGTTATGATAATTGTTGAAATTTCTACCAGTTTTGGAGCAAAGTTCGACTTCTTTTCAGCTCCTTTTTTCTGGAATAAATATTATTAACACATTGTAGAGTATATATATATATTTTTTTTTTACTTTGGGAATAACATCTTCTGCATCTTGAGATCTCTTCCGCTTCTGCTCTACCAATGGCTCGTTGTGCTTTTTAATCAACGGTGATGGACTGCGATGTAGAGGTGATGGGCTATGTCTCGACGCCGCTTCAGCTTCTGCACGTTTCGCTTCTCTCTTCTTCTCTTTTCTGCAATATATCAAAAATTTTTGAAATTTTTCATTCAATGATGATCTACTTTAACTTTCGTTGTTCCTTCACCATGTCTTTAACCTCTCTTGCCAACGTTCCAACGTTCCTATCCAACAGATATCTTGATGATAGTTCCTTGATATGATACTTTTTGAGCCATTCGTGGCATGGTTTCATTGCGAGAATCTCGCGAAATGTTTTCTCTACCTGCAGATATCATTTGACATTTTCAACCCAATCTGCCATGATTTTCACCTCCACATTGTTGTTGAGATTCTCTTCCAGTCGAGCAAGCTCTTTTTTATAGATATTCGCATCGACCATTTTTTTAATATGTCCTGAAGGGAACTGATAATTATCGTTCAAAAACGCACGAAAAGTGAAACGAAACGATGTGTTTTAGGTTAACTAGCCAACATTTAGATCGATGAGAGAAAAAAGATGAACCGACAATATCTGAAGAATTAAGGCAAGCCATCGAAGATTGTACGATATGGTGTAAATATTGATGAGTGATTGTCATAAACACCATTCTACCCAGTAAACAATATACAATATCTTTGGATCAAACTATTAAAAAACAATTATCCAACCATTGAAAAAACAGCAAAAACAATGTTTTAGAATGATTTTCCTAGAAAAAAAAACTAAGACTTATTTTTGGTCACCTTGTCATCGTAATATATTTAAACGCGTACGTCCTTTCTCATGACATACTCGCTCACTTTGAAAAAATGTACGGAACGACCAAATTTAAATTACGTGAGAATTTTAGGAAAAACCGAGTTATGCTTCTTATAAACCAATTTGATGATATGCAATATAGAGGAAAGAGTAAATTTTAGCGTCAAATTTGATAAATTTGACTTGATTGTATTGGGTAGAAATTGCAAATTCGATAGTTTTGCAAGCACCACACTATAGATCAACTATAGAACTTAATTGGTCACGGATATTGATGAATCAGAATATTATTAATTATGTGGCCGTGAAGAAGAAATCGATGCAACAATAAACATTGTGATCGATCAGGCGACACATACAAACCGAATACGGGAAGAAGATGGCTAAACGTGTTTCTGTCTCTATTTCCCATTTCAAATGACTAAAAAAATGTCGAACGACTTTAAATGGTGTAAATCGTTTAATATGATGAGAAAATCAAAAAATTACTAAGCCATAATATATATGGAAGGTAGGCAAGGAAACGCAAAAGAGAAATTTGAAAGACAACATGTTATTTAAAAAAAAAATTCTGACCGTATTTTCGCGGCTATGGTCTTAAAGTAAACACATTTAATTTTTTTCCGACACTTTTATTTAGAGTTTAAACCCGAAAAAATAAATGTCTGATGTTTGGTAATTCATTAGTCATATTGGATTCAGGGCCAACTGCTTGGCCACTGGATCTCATTGTGTGGGTTGATGAGATAGCTGTTTCTCACCTAGGGACGAACACATTTTTTAACAAATTGATTTTAACAAACGTTGGAAATCAGGTAGTCACAATGTGATGATAATGATACAAATTCAAATGGACTGCCGAAATTGACATGTGTTCATACATTGTTTATATATACTCATACTATTATTTTTTTCTCGAAATTTTCTCAATATTAAAAAAAAGTCACATTCGTTAATTTTTTGAATTAATAACTACACACTGCCGAGAAAACAGAAGAAAGACATTTTTTAACAATACTATTTTCTGATTTCCTCTCAGAAATTATTGAAATCGGAAAAAATTACTTTATCTATGAAATTGATCCTAGATGAACCCAAATATATGTTCATTAGTTTGCTATCATTCAATAAACCAAAAGACACCGCTAAATTTTTGTTTCCAGCATTAAATTGTTTTGAAACAATACAATTAGCGATATAGATTTAGAAAAGGCAACGCAACGTGAGATTATTTAAAAAAAAATAGACGCTGTCTATCACTCTCAAAATGCTTTACGACTTCCTTAGCAGTGCGGCATCACACAAAATGAAGACGTACAAGATTAGGGTAACTTTTAATCCGAACAAAGACACTACTTTTATAATCCAGTACCGAAACAGCGTAAAATGAAAATCCCAATATTAATTCTTTTCAAAAAAAAACTCTAAATAGGATTATAATTGCTATATAAAAAGGTTATGAAAAGATAACGCTACATTTTTGGTATTCTGAAATCATATCTATATTTATTTTTAATCTGCAATTGGGAATCTCGATTTTGATCTTCTTGGAGGTTTTTATTCGCAAAAAAAAAACAACCATTCACAATGAACATCGTATAGAAAACTGTAAAGCATTCATAATCACAGTCTTTTTCTAGAAATGTTTAAATTCATAGCAATAATTCTATATGTATACGTGAAATAAGAAAATGGTAGAATCGAAAACTTTTTTGAGCAAAAATTTGAGCAAATTTAAAATACCTGAATGTGGCGATCAGTTTTATTTAATTTGTTAACTTGTAAATTTAATCATTTACTCATAATAGTCGTTTGTCAAAACTATTTGTAAGAACAAATTCGAATACAGGGTGTCATTTAAGTTCCCGCACAAAAGTTTGACGCCATGAAGAGCTTGGCTGGCGCACTTTTCGTGCACCAATACAATTTATTTTTGTTAAATAAGGTATATTTTACTTACTTTCCAAGTTTCACCTCTTTCGGATGTGTTTCCGAGAAATGGCGAAGGCTAACATCCATCGCGCTTCCATTATCGAAGTTCATAAGCAAAATGTGAGCCCGAGAGACATCATTGAACGCCTCGCTGTGCCTCGTAGAACGGTTTGCGACACCATCAAACGTTTCAAGGAGCTAAATACGACCAGTGACCGTCCCAGACAAGGAAGACTCGTCTCAGTAACCACTCCTCAGAAGATAAACGCCGTCAAATCGAGGATCAGGCGAAACCCCCACAGGAGCATGAGAAAGATGGCGTCAGACGTGGGAATGAGCATCTTCGCTATGGAACAAATCGTCAAAACGAAGCTTGGACTGACCCCATATCGTGTCCAAAAAGCGGCAATTCTATCGGCCGTCAACAAGCAGAGACGCTTCGAAAAAGCAAAACAACTTCTTGCTCGCACGCAGTCTGGAGAACATCTCGTCACTGTCTTCTCCGACGAGAAGCTATTCACTGTGGAGGCGGCATTCAACTCACAAAACCATCGAGTACTTGCCCAGACATCCCAGCAAGCTTCTTAGAAAAGCAGAACAATACATCGAGCCTCACATCCTGCCAGTATGATGGTTTTCGGTGCCATCTGCTCAACCGGGAAGCGCCCCTGGTTTTTGCAGATCAGGGGATGAAAATGAACAAAGAAGTCTACGTTCGGGACTTTTTAGAGGAGCATGTGATGCCCTGGACCCAAACGCATTTCGTTGGGCAGAAATGGGTCTTTCAACAGGACGGAGCACCCGCCCACACTGCCAAAACTACTCAGGAGTGGTGCCAGACCCATTTTCCCGACTTCATCAAGTCATCCGAATGGCCTGATTGGTCCCCAGACCTGAACCCGCTTGACTTCTCCGTGTGGGGTCTTGCAGGAGAAGGTCAACGCAAAACCCCACTCAAGTGTAGAGACTCTGAAGAAGACATTACTGGCGGAATGGCACAATCTTTCCATCGAATACCTGCGTACCACAGTCGCATCCTACCCGAAGCGTCTCTGTGAAGTCATAGCTCCGAAAGGAGGCCGAATCGAAAAGAGTTAATAGATAAATATTTGTTATACTATAGATAAAAAATATTTCGAGTCTCGTTTGATTTGGACCTTTAGTTTCAGAAATATACGTCTTCAAAGTTGTGCGGGAACTTAAATGACACCCTGTATGATTCATCACGAAACAGAAAAGACGGCACGTATAAATTGGAAGCGCCGCTGGTGTAATATATGTGGGTCTTTTGACTTTTGAAATTTTGGATGACGTCCATTTTGAAATTTCTTCAAACATTTTATTTCGCAATTTCCAGGACTGTAGGAGTAATTCAAAATAATATAATCAGTTTCCGTATTCATAACGGAGTTCGTAACACTAACATACAATTTTATCAAAAATGGAATTATACTTACTGAATTGCTTGTTTGAATCATTAGTTTGAGCAAAAGTTAAGAGAAATTTTTTGGATATTTTAGTAGGCTGGAATATGTGCATATAAATATTATTGTTTGTTTAAAACTACAAATCGCATTTTTCATTTTCTCGTTCCTCAGATACGTTTTTCCTACATTTACCGGTTCCGTGAAATAATGAAAGTGACTTGACTTCTCAATACTATACTATTATATAAAATACTATACTACTGTATAAAATTTGGAAGTAGAATTGGAAATCCCAAATATATACAAATTTAAGAAAAATTACTTTTGACTCGTTTTTCCAGTTTTTGGGTATTTCTTCGAAAGTAATTTTAGTAAGAGTTAATCAATAAGTATATGTCTTCATTTTTCTGATAATCACAAATCGCTTGAACAGAAAAAAACGCATTGTCAATATAACGCGTCACACAAGGTTGCCTCCACATTTCCAAACCGTTATCGTAGGCTGTCATAAGTACAAACTATGATAACAAAAAGAAATCAATGAATTGGGGTAAATAAAATCGTTTTTTAATCAATGAACTGCGAAAAAAATCTTCAAAATCTCGAAAAAAGGTCGAAATTCGATCACACGAAAGTATGTCTCAAAAACCACATAGAACTGAGCAATATATCAAAAACAATCATCTTGAACGCGTCTGTCCCATTTCTCATACATCACACAGGTTGCTGTCATTTCGTGTTGTTGGAAAATTAGCAAGAATGTGATGAATGTAATTGCGTCAATCATCCAAAAATAGCCAACCGAATCGTCTGATGTGAGAAATGTTCAAACGAAGCCAATTATGAACAAAATAAAGTCAAATTATTAAATAAAAATAGAAGTACTTTTTTGATATCATCAATATTCAAAAAACATACGAATATCATGAAAAGTAGGGCGATACTGCCAAAACAGTTGTCATACAAACCAGTTTGTCGCATCAAATCTAAGCGAACGGTTTTCAGGTTGCATTCAATGAAATTCTCAATCAATATGATTTGAGTAACAGTACAAAATATCGATTTAATTGGTGGTGATGGAAACAAGAAAGTCGGGTTGATGTATTGCGCGGACAATTTTTTGTGCGTAATGAAATCGATTTCTGTTTGTCTTTGAACAAAGCGAACAACTGGCCTGCTTCGCTCACCTTTGTTTAAAGGCAAAAATTAGAAACCCGCTCAAAACAAAATAATTCGCTTTGGCATCATTAAAATCCAAAAATATGAGAATTTTGAATTTGAATAACACATGGAAAAGTTTATTTGAATTGCCGAAACTGTGCCTTTTCATGCATTTGTTTGCATGTGGAACCGGAAAAAAAAGAGCAATCAATACATATTTCGAAGGAAAATGCCTGCCGAACACTTGCCACTTATGTGGGACTTGTACTAACGAAGGTACAAAAAATTGTAAGAAGATTAGTTGCAATTGCACTTATACACCCGAGTATACATTCGACTAACCTCTGGCTGTCGATTATTATGGATTGCCAATCAAATGACAGCTAGAAGCACAGAAATTAGACGTGTGTTGTTTACGTGCCTTTTCTTCATTTATATTGTTGAATATCTTGGTTCATCAAGAAAGGGACGTGAAAGCAGAATTTGACCAATTTCAAATGAGAAAAAAACACCTTCACATAATACACGCTAATTAGGATAAAATTTAATTGGAAAATATTCAACATTGATTCACCAACCCAATTAAATAAAATATTTAGGATAGTCAATGTATTTAAAATAATAATTACTCACGCGATGCTCTATGAGCAAGCAAATTAGCAATTATGAATGAAAATTATTGGTCATAATTTTTTTAGTCATAATTTTTGCAAGCTTCACTCATATCAATCAAGCGTACCTTGCAAGTAGTTATTTGCCAAATCTTAAAATTGTTGCTATGTCGTCGAAAATCATATGATGTGGTCGAAAAACGAGTGAGCTTTGTGATTTTAAAACGGTTGATGTTTTAAAACAAAAAAACAAGTTTAAAAACACCGACAAAATTTAAAATTTTTTGAGAAACAAGAAATTTCGAATCAACATGTCAGAGAAACTTGTGATATTTCTTCTTGATGGCTATTTTTCTAACCAAGTTGAACATGTGACACAGTTTTTTCCACAAAACCACATCGAATTCTTCAAACTATAAGAAGATAAGAAAAATTATAAAAATGAGCATAACAATAGTTTTTCTCTTTGAACCAAATGATCCCTCTTATTCTGCCTCACTATAATGACTCAGTAGAAATAATAAAAATTTAGTGACTTGTAAAGTATGTCCGATGAGGTATTAAGAATGGTTGGACATCATATAATCCCCAGTTACTCACATGCTCATTATCAAAATGGAGTTTGAGAGTATGAGGTGCTGCGCTGCGCGTGCATACCTCTTCTTGACTTTGAAGTACATTTTACAACCTTTTCTTTAGAAAATGAGTACTCCGTGCGTATTTTTTGAATAGCACATTACAAATTGGAATGATAGGAAATCACTAAAACTATCATGATTTTTTAAATTTTTTAATTATACTAAATCGATATAATTCCAGAAAACGGAAATAAATTTTTAAACATTATATTTCCCTTAGAAGCTTATTCAATTTTGTTTGATAATGCATAAAATCCTTATGAGTAATCACTTTTCTTTTTTTTTTTCTAAAACCCTCTTCTTGCAATATCCTATTATTCAAATTCTGATTAACTCGGTGTTATAAAATTTTCAATTCTGTTTACATCATATGCAATCCCAAACATTTTAAAACCTTGGTCTTCAAAATAAAAAAAGGGCAAAACCGTTTCATTTGCTCTATCTTCATATTTCCAACTTCCCTCTAATATTTTTGATTCATTTTCAAACAAATTCCTAAAAAAAAAACAATTCCCAGAATCAGTTCACTTTTTTTTCAACAAATCAAACTGAAATGTTATATATTTTTCTATTGGTTCTTTATTTTTCTGAAACATCTCGCGTTTGTCATTTTCATCCTCAAAATATAACTTCTTGAATTCGGCCTCGTTGATTTTTTTCTTTTTTTCAGCATAAATTTCTAAAAATTTGTGAAACAAATAACGCAAATCGACTCCTAAACTTTTCTATTTTTTTTTCTGAAAAGAATATAATCTAAAACATTGTATAAACGAATACTATGGGATATATACGTGAGGCGATATTCATTTCCTTCTATTTCAATCGAATGTTTAAGTTGCTCTGGTTTCTTTTTCATTTCGGGTTTCAGATAATGTTTGCATAGTAGACGCTTGGTGCCATAAAATGCATCAATTTCGTAAAACACTTTGGTTTTATTGCTTAATTTCAGATACAGTAATCCTAACGTTTTCAAATTCAGTCTTAAAGAATTCTTAAAAAAACATCTAGTTGGTAATTCATAGAGAGCATAAATTTAAATGTCTAAATTAGAATCTCATTCTCAAACACCCCAATGACTTGACGAAAAATAATTCTTTTTTGTTGCGAACATACTTTGCTTGAACAAATCGCGTGATATACTCGTGCACGCCAGAACACTTCTCGCAATATCTCCGCTCGCTTGGCCTGCGACAATCCACAACAATGCGTGCAAATATGCTCTAGTGCACACAATCTGTTTAAAATTTAAAAAAAGACCAGGCGTCCCTAATTATGCCAACATTCATTCGCCCTGTTTAATTTTTATTTTCCTTCCCAAATTTGTGATCGCTTTCCAATCAGTAGCACTTTCGTTTTATTTCATTGAATTTATCATTTTACCTTGCTGATAAGTGCCCAAAAAAGAACTTTTATCAGTTGGGTGAGAATTTCATCACATAACGATAATAATTGTGTGAAACTGAAACTGCTACTGCCACCTTAATCAAACCCATCACACATCACAATTTGTAGAAAAAATTTAGTGGAAATTTTTTTCCGTATAGGCGTCAGCCAGCGACAGATGATTTGATTTTTTTTGCTTCCAAAGGGTACCATGATTTTAAAACGAGTGACAAACAAGCAAAACGCGTGTAAACTAATTATTTTTGAAAATTACTTGGTGAAATATTTAATACTGGTGTGAAAAGATTGCTTTGTTTAGGGATTAATTTCGGGCAAATAATTTTTTTTTCAAGAGTTTTATCAAGATACATCCAATGAGTCATTTAACGACAAAGGAATTTTCGAAATAACAAAATCAATACTCGATTTGTTTACTAAACTACGCCAAATATCCGTTTTTTTTTTTCCACGAAAAGGGATAGGTCGCGAAACCAATTGATTACAAATTCCTGGGAAAATCTTACTTGGGTTTGTGTTTTTATTGACTTAACAATGGAAAAAAAGAGCAAAAGTTCTAAGCAGAAACATTCAAACTTAAATTTTTATTGAGCATTATTAAACGCACGCTATTTTTGTGTGTTGTTGATTGTTTTTTGTGTTATAGTGCAAACGCTGGTGGTTCTCAAACGACAACCCTCTATGTTCGTAGCACTCTCGCCATATTTGGCGTCACTAGTTTTCGCATCTTCGTGCGATATTTTCAGTGGTCTCTCCGTAAATAGTTGACTATTATATCTTTTCATCAGGTTATAATATGATGCAGTGCTTTCATATCTGACACCTAGTATATCAGTTGATGTGTTCTTATCTAGACTATTGTACGGAAAATAAATTCGCACAGGTTTGATCATTATCAATTGAGTTGTCGTCACTGGACAATATTTCAACTTAAGGTTAGGAAGTCACGCATGCTTCATTTATTTGCAAGATTCTTCAACTATTTCACAAAAAGTTCTTGAATGCAGCTAACAAGCATTGATTATTGAAATAATGCTCTGCTAATGAGAAGGAATTTCCCACAAAAAGCAAAGCCATAACCTTCATGATTTATACGAAACTCTTTTTCTTATTTTTACTCCTCCTTCTTTCTTCATTTTCAACACCTTCTGCATTCTTTTCTTCCTCGAACAACATTAATTGAAGTCGCTGCCCTCTTGTTTGTTTCAAGCAAGCAAAATTCATTCGAAATTTGAGATAATTGCAAAAACAAGCGGGGAGGAGGAGCCAATGCAATGCGAGAAATAGTGTAATTTCCTATTAAATTCATCAAGCTTGACGAATTGTACTCCGGTGGCTCTCGCGAATTTTTATTCCATAATTACATACGACATTGAAATCTGACAAGCGTGTTGCAGCAATTATTAAACAGCCTACCTACTCAATTATTTTAATGAACTCTGCTATATGAATTCAATATACTCCCGTATCAAAAGGTTTCTCTACAAGAACCAATTTACAACGTCCGGGTAATTCATCACACACACACACACACTTATATATGTGTATATATATATATATATATTTATTTATTTATTTATATATATATATATATAAATTCCTTTCTTCTATTTTTTGTCGTGTCACGGTTACTTCTATTCTTTTATTTATTGCATGACGTTCTACTTTTAAGAAAATACAAAAAAACAGTGGTGCCGTCACCAATTTGAAAATTATTTCTTTTTTCAGATGTCGAAAGGCGGCGACGAGGGTATATGCTTAGAGCCCTCCGGGACCGGTGTGTATGAACGAGTTGTCTATTCTAAAGAGTAAGGCATCGATTTAAATCAAGTTTGCTAAAATCATCTGTACCGTTTTAGAAATCGCATTGCGCGCTATGCCGATAAGACTCATCGCCGTAAGAACTTTGGACGTTATACACCAGCAATGAAAAGCATGATACCATTAAGAACAACTCACGAGTATGCGAATTATTCATATTTCCAGTGTTCCTCTTACATCAATTTTTAGGCATTCGAAAAGTGGAGGATCTGCTATTGATGACGCTGGTTTACTTTCGTTTGTCACTTATTCATGGGTTTTTCAATATCTCTTGCAAGCGTTGAAAGGCAAAATTGATCGCGATCGAGTTTGGGGTTGCAGCTTCTACGACAGCTGCGGACTGAACTTGGCAAGGTTGGTGACCAAAGAACGTCACATGCAATTTGATTAGCGCAATCTAAGACACAGCGAAACGCAAGGAAAATTACATTTGGAATTCTAACTCTATTTCGCGTCACTTCAACAAGGAAAAAAATGAAACACAAAACGTTTTCAAAGAAAAGAGAATGCAACAAAATTGCACATAATTCTGACTAAAAATTACATTTGAGAACAATGGATATTTGAAGCTGACGCAACAATTCTAGATATTGCGCGGATATTATTTCCTGAAAGTAGATTGGGGCAATGCAATACACGTAACAAACTTGCGAATTAATCGGTAGATTGTGCTAAAGTGAATTAACGTATTTATCATCATTTATATTAAAAACCGTATTCGAGTTAGGAAAGAAGAAATATAAAAGAGAATGAGCTCTTTACAATCGAATTACGAATATTAATTAATCATTAAAAATAAATTGAATTAAGTGTACAAAATCAAAATGGTACTTTGGAATAATCCGATCCTTATTTTCGTTTTAGACTTGAAGTGCTCTGGGAAGATGAGTTGAACCAGCATCCAAACGCCCCATCATTTTTCAAAGTTATTTTCCGGTAAGAAATTGATATCGTTTAATTTTGGTGTCATTATCTTTTACAGTTTTGTCAAAACCCGTCTCTGGTTTTCGTGCGCCGTCTTTCTCTTTTGCCTGATTTTCGGATTTATCGGACCAACAAGTTTTATTCGACGTACGCGAAAATAGTAATTTTGGTTTATTATAATTTGTTATTTCGCAGGCCTAATCGCATTTGCTGAAAACCCGTCGCGTGACGAAAATGACAACGTTCTGTACTCATATGGAATGTTCTTGGTGCTGGCAATCGGATTAGTCGAATTTGCACGAGTGCTATCGTATGGTGCAACATGGGCGGTGTCTTACAGGTAAAATTAACCTACCTTCGAAACATGTTGAAATGTGAACGTTGAAGAACTGGAATCCGTGTTCGTGGAGCTGTTCTTGCTCTTCTCTACAAACATGTTCTCAATGCTAAAGATCTATGCGGTAAATCGTCATCAGATGTCATCAATATTTTCGCCAATGATGGACAACGTCTCTTTGATGCGATTACATTTGCTCCATTGGTTATTGTTGGTCCTCTTGTGCTGATTGGTAATTTGTGGTAACTAATTACTAACATGCAAAACATTTTCAGGTGGTGTGGGCTATTTGCTTGCTGTTATTGGAAGATGGTCTCTACTTGGTATTTCCGTGTTTTTCTTCTTTGATGCGATTCAATACGCGCTGGGAAAAACGATGGTGAACTGCAGAAATCTGGCGATTGAGAAGACTGAAAAACGCATCAGTTTAATGGGCGAAATTATCCGCTTTATTCGCGTAATTAAAGTTAATGGATGGGAAGATGTATTTAGCAAAAAAGTTGAAGGTACCAAAGCTATGGGATACCAGTAAAATTGATAATTACTTTTTAGAAATGCGACACGAGGAAAAAGTACAAATTCGAAAATCTGGATATGCTCAATCCTTGGCTATTGCCTGTGGACCAGTTGTTCCAGTTGTTGCAGCAGTTCTAACTTTTCTGGGAGTCGTTCTTTCTGGAAATGATCTTCTTGCTTCTGATGTGAGATTTTTTGTAATTTTTATTTTTCAGAAGAAAACGAGAAATTTTAGGCATTCTCTGCAATAACAGTCTATTTTGTGATGCTTTTCGGTATTCGTATGATTCCTTACGGATCGAGATACCTTGCAGAGGCGATTGTGGCTGTCCGCAGAATTGAAGAATATCTTTTGGTGAGAAATAATTGAAAATTATCTCAACGTATGGAGAATATTTACAGTTGGAACCATGGGATCATCGATACAGCACTGGTGACCCTGAGTATGTCGTTGAAACGAAAACTGTCAATTATACTTATCAACCCACCAAAAACGAAGCCAGACGTAAGCTTAAAAAAACGAACAAAATTCAAAACATATTTTCAGAACCGAGTGAAACTGAAAATCTTAACAACAAGGAGCCGTCATTTACGCTGACTGTTGAAAATTTAAAAATTCGTCGTGGAGAGCATGTTGCAGTTTGTGGACCCGTGGGAAGTGGAAAATCGGCGCTTCTCAAAGCAATTTCTGGACATGTAATCAATGTTTCAATGCGATTACGTCATTTTTATTTTTGCAGATGTTTACCAGGGATGAAGACATGTGTGTTGACAGAAACAATTTGGGATATGTGCCGCAAACCCCATGGATTATCAATGGAACCGTGCAGGATAATATCTTGTTTGGCGAAAAGCTCATCAACGAGCGCTATTATCGAGTGGTGAGCGGAACACAGCTCACCGAGGATTTGAATACATTCGCTCACGGAGATAGAACTGAAGTGAATAATTTGACGAGGGATCTGTAATTTAAAAACCACGATTTCAGATTGGCGAACGTGGAACTACTCTATCTGGAGGTCAGAAAGCGAGAATTTCCCTTGCTCGTACTGCCTATGCCACCCGCAATCTTTATTTGCTCGATGATGTCTTGGCCAGTTTGGATAAGAAAGTCGCTGACAAAGTGTTTGAAAGAATTGTCTGCGAGTTTTTGGACAAAAAGACAGTTGTAATGGCGACTAATAACACCAAGGTTGATATTTGATTTAGTCAGACTATAGGCAAACAATTTACAGATTCTTTCTCGATTCGATCGAGTTCTTTACATTGAAAATGGGCGTATCGTTGCTGATGGAACCCACGTGGAACTAATGGATGAGAGTCCAGCATATGGAGATTATGTTATTGCTTGCAGTCATGGTAGAACAGTTGCAAACATAACTTATATGTATTAGCTTTTTTTCATTCAGAGCACAATCCAAATGAAGGAGACTTCGATAGTACTCACGTTGTTGTGCCAAATACTGTGGAAGAAGAATTCGAAAAGATTGGAGCTCCAGCTCCACACGATTCTTCGGAAAACATTGTTCAGCATTTGGAAAGAGGTATCAAACTATTTGTATTAGTGCAATAAATAAATATATTCATTTAAGATCAATTGATTAGCGATGAGGAAGATTTCGGAGCTACAGCAATGTCCTGGAAAGTTTACATGTGAGCTGCCATAATCATAAGGAAAATTTAAATATTAAAAAATCTACTACAGGCTTTACATAAATGCTGCTGGAAGCTGGCCAATCTGGACATGCCTGGTTATTGGATTCATCATCAATGTTGTTGCATCAATTTTTTCAACATTTTGGCTTTCTCGCTGGTTGAAAAAGGGTCACAACGAACAGGTATGTGGTTAGTATTGAAATGTCTAGTCAAATTCTGTAACTCCAGGTTATTATAACAAATGGAACTGCTTTCCTTACTGCTAGCAAAAGTCTTGCGAATAGTGAAGACACCTACTTCTACGCTGCTGTTTACGGAATCTCCCTTGTCATTCTCACATTCTCCGGGCTGTTCAAAGCTTGCGTTTTCGTCAAAGTGTCTCTCAACGCTGCCAGTAAACTACATAACTCGATGTTCAAAGCGCTTATTCGTGGAGCGACAAGCTTCTTTGACTCCACTCCAACCGGACGAATTCTTAACAGATTTTCGAAGGATATGGATGAGAGTAAGATATTGTGAATATGCTAGCCAATATTTGATTAATTTAGTTGATGTGAAACTTCCGTTTACTGCTGAAGTCTTCTTGCAAAACATGATTACTTGCCTCGGTTTCTTGGTCGTCATTGCCTGGGTCTTCCCGTGGTTCTTGGTAAGGAATGATCACATTGAACACTATAGTTATTTTATTCTTTAGGTTGCTTCTATTCCACTTTGCGGCGTTTTTGTTCTTTTTGTCTCGTGTTTCCGAGCTGGAATCAGAAAGTACAACAAATCAGTCACAAGGAAAATCGAGTTTCATTTTTTTTTTATTTCAGCTTGAAACGTTCGGAGCATATTTCGAGATCCCCTCTATTTGATCACGTGACTACGAGCTTGGAGGGAATTGCATCGATTCACTCTCTTCATCAAACAGGCAGATATATGGACAACCTTAAAAAGCATCTCGACGCAAACAGCGGAGCCGTTTTCATGTTTCAATCGGCAATGCGCTGGCTTGCTGTCTGGCTTGATCTTCTCGTTGTTTTGATGACCGCTGTCGTTGCATTCTTTATTATTGCTCTTTCTGGCACTGTCTCTCCCGCTGACGCAGGAATGGCTATCGCATTTGCCGTGCAAATGAGCGGCATTTTCCAGTTCGCTGTGAGAACCCAAACCGAACTCGAGGCTAAGATGACAAGTGTTGAACGCGTTTCCTATTATGCCGATGTTGGATATATACGAAAACAATTTTAATAACAGTTTTACATTGCAGAATATCACTCCTGACGGTGAATTCCACACCAAGAAAGGTGTTGACGTTCCGTCAAACTGGCCACCTCATGGGCAAATCAACTTCCAGGAAGTCAAGTAAGAAAATTTCAACCTTTCAAAAATGAAGCGTTTTTTTACAGACTTCGCTATCGTCCGAAACTTCCGCTTGCCTTGAATGACATTTCATTTGAAATTAAGGCTGGAGAAAAAATTGGCATCATTGGTCGCACTGGATCTGGAAAATCTTCACTTGGAAGCGTTCTTTGCCGTTTGTATCCACTCACATGGGGAAAAATATTCATCGATGGTGTCGATATCACCACAATGGGTTTGACAAGATTGAGAAGGTGAAATCTAGAAATAAGACCAAAACAAGGAATGGTTTATTTTAGAGCAATTGCTGCCATCCCCCAAGACCCATCGCTCTTCTCGGGAAGTATCCGTTTCAATTTAGACCCTGGAAATGAATTCAGTGACTCTGATATCTGGCAAGCTCTAGAGAGATGCTATTTGAAAGATCACGTGAGCAGATTAGAGCATAAATTGGAATCGGAAGTGAATTCCGGCGGTGAAAACTTTTCTGTTGGAGAAAGACAACTCTTCTGTCTCGCACGTGCTCTTTTATCGTGAGATTAACCGTAATTGATTGAAGTGTCCATAATTCTTTTCAGAAAATCAAAAATTGTCATTCTTGATGAAGCGACAGCATCGGTTGATCTCGCTACAGATAAATTAATTCAAAAAGTGATTCGCGAAGTTTTCATCGAAGCCACTGTTCTCACAATTGCCCATCGATTGGACAATGTTAAGAAAATGGACCGCGTTCTTTTCCTTGAAAACGGAAAGGTAATCAAGAATTCATAATTAATTGTTTATTATTTTCAACATCTCAGATTGTCGATTTCACGACTCCGCAAGAATTATTCAGCAAGGGCTGGGATGATTTGAAGAAATTTGCGGAAAATGGTATGAGTCTTTCAACGGAAAAAATCTATTATTAAATTAATGAGTGTGCACATAGATCATTAAATAACGATTTTTGGAATTGCGCATATTAGGGGGCATTTTGCAGGAAGTAATGATTCGGAATCCGCTGTTGTCATTAATGAAAGCTCTAGTCAATCGTCGCCGGAAATCTTGGAAGCACACTCGCAACATAGCGAATCGGACAGCATTGAGAAGCTTGAAAAGGAAGATGGAAAAGAAAGTAGCTCGGACCCGGATATGGAGGTTATAGAAAAATAAATCATGTTTCGATGTAATTAACTTGTCTTCAATCAATCAATCAATCAAATAGTTTCGATTATCTCCGTAATATTTAACACATTCACTAGAGACCAGTGAATTGCTGTAGTTTCAAGCTTTCAAGGCTATTTGTAACTTACAAAATCTTCTTGAATCTAATTTGCTTTACGTATACAATCCCATTTAATGTATAACTTTTTTTTCATTTTATGTGTTCATATTGTAGTATTCACGTGTTAGCTCGCAGTCAAAATACACATCAATTTGTCTTAAACGGTAAAGAAACCTATTGCGTGTTTCGGTAACAATTATCATCTGTATCCATTTTTTTCATATGTTCAGTATTTTATCTGTTATATTGTATTGTAACTGTTTTTGTTTCAAATCGCTGTCAGTAATTTTCGAAATTTGGGAAAAATCTGAATTTTGTTATTCCCCCCCCCCTTCCCCCCATACACACACAAACCTCTTTCGAATATTTAATCATGTAATGTAATAATTAATAATAACAATTGCTATTTTAAGTGATAACTGTTTAATGAATGATTCTGAATACTTACTGGGATGCGTTTTTATGATGGCAACCTTTCTTTGCCCACTTTCAAATTCCGAAACAATAAAAAGGATTGTCACCCCATTATTATGAATTTTTGGTAAGGCCCATAGCATTCAGTAGTATGAGACCACGCCGATCACTTTCTTTTGTCTAATAAAGAAATGTCTGGAGCTGTTTTGAAAGCGTGAAAATTTATCAAAATAAGCCTTTTTTGGAGCGTGTTATTGCATCAATAGTTGGTTTTAAGAATTGTTTTAGCACATCTTTCCGGCTAGTGGATTAATTTTTTTGAATATAAAAACAAAACCAAATTTAATGTTATTTTCTTTTCTTCGCAATTACAATACATAATAGTTTGGTTTCAATATATTGTTCCATGTCACTTGATATTTGTTCCTTCTCTTAAAATTCTTGTTTTTTTCATTTTGGCTAATTGATCCGGAACAAATATGTTAATATTTCCTTTTACTAACATTCCGTTTTTCAGAAGGCGTTTTGATAACGTGGGTCTAATGTAAGAGAATCGTAATGGCAAACGTGTTTTTGCTTTCAAAGTTAAGAAAAAAACATTTTTGAAATGCAAAAATACGTATTATCCAAGTTTAGATAATGCATTTCATATTATCATTTATAGGTTAAATTCGAATCGGTTATTAACTTACGTGTTAAATACCAATGATCTCTCACAAAGAATATTTCGAAGTGTTGTCACCACCTTCCAACATCCATAATTATTTTCGTCATAAGAAATTGTGACGGTCATTTTATCAGAAAATAGTATTTGATTTGTTCGTAGTTTCTACTTAAATACAAATGCATGTATTAATCAAATTTCGAATATTTACTTGGAAATGTGTTTGAAAATGCATAGTTTGTTTCGTTTCGTTTAGTTTTGTTTCTTTGCTCCAGATCACAATTTGAAAGACGTTGAACTGAAAGTCATTATACTTGTGCACATAACGTCTTAATTAAAATTGAACTTTTTATGCTCCTCATGACAGCTCGGTATAATTATGTGGAAATATGATAACTGAAGCCATTAACTTTTACCAATAAAAGTATAACAAAATTCTTCTAATTTTACAACGCATTCTCTAATTTTAACATACCGGCAATCGATTTATGTATATGTAACGTAAATTATTCTTGCTTGTTAGTTCATAGTTTTTAATTTCAATAATAGTTTTTTCCTATAATATGATAATTTTCTAAACTAAAAATCTAAATATTGTTTTGTCAAAATATGAAAAGCATCAATTACTGAATTCAGAATAGACAAGAATCATACTACATATTTTAAACCTCGAGCTCTTCCATATTCATTATCTTTTTATAGGAATTCAAAGTTAAATAATTGTGGTAAAATTTTTCTACGAAAGCTTAATACAACGAATTCAGCCGAATGTCGAATAACAAATATTGAACGTCTCACTTAAAGTATTCAGCCAGAATTACAATATATATATATATATACATACATTACAATATATATATATATATATATATAAATGCCTGGGTGTTATCTCGTTGTTTTTGAGAGATCAAATCATTATAGTATTTATTACTGGAATGTTTCACAAAAACGTTAATGAAATTGTGTGATTAAGAGTCACCTCAGTGTGATTTTCCGGTTTTCAGACAAATTCTTCACGCTTTTATTTTTGAAAACCGTTTTTCTTATTCTTTTCTTCCAGACTTGTTTATTCGATGTGGCTTTCAACTTTTCAAACTTTTGAATGCCGAACATGATTATTTTTCTCAGTTTGTCCAATCTGACCTTTTGGCTTTATGCTACATTTTTCATAAAAATACTCTCAGTTGCAGAAAATTTCAAATCGCTATTAGAGCATTACGTTTTTGAGGATCCGGATATAATTTCAATAGCACTAAAGTGTGCAATAATGCATCAAAAGATTCATTTCCCATCAAATTTATTGGAGAAAAAAACTAACTAACGTCAAATGCCTGAGTATTCAGATTTTAGGGCCATTTTTATGGCCAGTTCCTGCAAAAATACGAAACTTTCGTTTCTTGTTTGCGTCATATTTCACAACGAAAAGTTCCTAATGATTAGCTGCGCTTAGCCCTATTCCGTTCTGGTACTCCGCATGTTAATTTTCTTTTTGGAAGCATTTTTCTAGAAATTGCATTTTTTGGTTGAAGATTCTTGGTATTGGCCATTTTTTTCCAGCGTTTTTATAGGATATTTAAGGCTTCAATCGTCCGAACATTAGACATTTATGCCAATCCATGCAGACGATCTTCATATCCTACAGAATTAATAGTACATACATTATCTGGTCTTACCTTTAAAATTATTCAAAGCGTCTTGCATTTTTTGATGAACGAAATAAGCTACACGAATTCTTTGAAACTTCTTAAAATTGCCTGAAGTTTTTATTTATTCTCTCCAAAAATGGGCAAGTACATTTTCTCTTCAATGTGGCCAATAACGTGTGCTAGGGTCATTCTTCCATATCTACAATATGGAAGACAATGTGACGCAATGATTTTAATTGTTTTTTTGTTAATTGTTGTTTGCCACTCATACAAAAGAAGAAATTCCCCCTCATTACAATTTTCAAGCTTCTAAACGATGTTCTTGTTTTGATGTGGCTCTAAATGTTTGCAGCACCCCATGTAAGGGAATGAAGGGATGAAAATGGGAATGAGCATTCACTGAACATTTTGATATAGCACTATCTAGTTTGAAAAAACAATACTTATTTGTATATATATATACATATATACATCATTATCAAAATATACATGTTTTTTTTTTCATTCCTGACGGCATTATAAAAACTTGCTAACTGTGATAATCGTGTAATAAAAAATGTCCTATGAGCATTTATTTTATTCTGTTCACACATTCCCAGTACTTAATTATGTAATCATCCCCATATTTGTCAAAAATGAAGAAAATTTAGCATCAGGAATGATCTCAATTATAAAAATATTCACACAATCAGTTCCATACACGGTGTGTAGCAAGTAAAAAAACCAGCAATTAAAAAAATTAGTTTTTTTTTTAAGTCTTCAAACATAACATATATACCCACTCTAGTTTTGGCGTTTTTGTCGTTTCTTCTTAATAAAAGTGAAATTGTCGACCAAGTACGGAATTTTCCAGCATAATTTTTTAACTTTGCCTATTGAAACCATGCACCATGTTTTATCGAAGTTCAACATCATTAAATACAGAAAATAGGAAAAGCACAAATGCTAAAAAAAAGCATTTGATGAGTTTATCACCGCTTTTTAGAAATAATCAACTGGGAAATTAGTATAACTGTAAATGTTATTGAGTTGTTTCTTTTCTATAAGGTATTTTACTGATTAAGGATTGTTATATATTGATGAGTCAGGTAGTTACATATAGTAATACTGGCATGATTTGAGAAAAGAGAAACTTTGGTTTTCACTCGGAAACCTCAAATGAGACGCGCTCAGCTCCCACTGGTCAAACTAATGTTTCGAAGAAATTAAGTGCTTTTGATACGTCATGATAGGTGGTGTGCTCTACTATTATTTGGCGTAAATATCAACCCAAAATAACTCGTATTGCGATACGTGACATCGTGCTCTGCAAACCGTTCGACCAATACTCCTTCATATGTAGAATCATTATTGTCGTTAGATAAACATTGTTTATATTTGAAAACTAACTGTTTTAAAGCTTCTGATGTAAAACTAAATTGTTTTTAAGTTGGTGGCTTATTTTTTATCACATAATTTTTTTTTAAATAACGACTTTCGCTTTAGTTGCTAATTTAGTCAAATTACGAAAATTCAATTTATAACTAAAAAAGCTATTCGCGTTTTCGAATTTTGCGACAAAATTAGGGTGGTGATATAATTATGTGAACCGCTGCAGTAAGCATCTGCCAAGGAAAACCATGATGTTTCGAAAATTCGCATTTAATTTCGAATAGTTGTCTACATCCTTTAAGCCGTTTTGCGTCGCATGACCTAATAAGCCATTACCAGAGCTCGTGAATTGTGAAGATTAGTGGTACCATTCGATAATTATCCATCCGACTGAGTGCCAAAATCTACATTCCCCAGTACCACAAATCCTTTACTCGGAATTGTTTTAATTGGAGTGAATGAAGCAATGTTTGGTTTTCATATTGAGCTTCGAATGCCTGGTTCTTGGTATATAATAAAACAAGATTCAAGTTTTGAAAGGAAAACTGCAAGCTGTGTAAAAATTGTTTTGAAAGCTTGTTTAAATCATACTCCCTAATGAGATGGAGTGCCCGTCTTGGAACAAATCGATTTTTCTGAGCATTGTTTCTCTTCTTTTATGGATATTCAGAACTATTTATATATTTTTGGATTGACATTAGTTAGATGCTACATCATTTTCCGTAGTCATTATATAGAAAATAGTTTGAATTCATTCGATAATTACATTTTTTGTTCTCTTCGGCTTTTCCGTACTTACTTTTTAATTAATTTTGTTCTCTACTGACTTCATCATCAAAGTCATTCGGCAGCTCGGAAGAACAAAAAACTTTTGGTAGTCTCCAATGCTGGATCTTGCTAATTTTAATTACAAATGTCGCTTAATTTGCTTTATGGTCCATTCATTAATATTCTATACTGGTTGTTCGGCACATCTTTCATCGCGTGAAAACCTGTTTGCCATTAATTTTTTAAAATTATTCGTTAAAGGTTCAAAAGTGGGTTCTCTCAACACCAGATGAATGGTTTTTCCTTTGAGCCGCTCTGTTTAGCTTAAGTGTTTCTCAGACCCTACAATAGAGTAGACGCACACGATTTCATTCACGATAATCTAAAATTATAATTAATTAAAAAAAAAATTTAAGTATCAGGATAATTATAATAATTGTGATTCTCCAGTAAATCTCCAAGGCAACCAAATGAAGATAGTAAATTCCTATAGCTTAACATTTACTCTGAAAAACCCATTACTATAATCTACCAATGAATATTTCTTTGCTTACGTATTCATAACCAACACTGAAGGGAAATTCTGACGTTTTGAGAAAATCAATTAAATTTACGTTTATTTGGTTAGTAGATTTGAGTGGATGTATGAATTTCACTGCATTCCATTAGTGATTCCCAGCATTCAAAACAGTCATTTCAAAAACTTTCGAGTTTTCTGAATGTTTGACCCCTAGCCTTTCCGATATTATAGATTTAATATTCATTCGTTTTTTATATTTTTGTTCATTCTTTCCTTCATTTTTAAATTGAAAGCACCAAATTGTTGTTTTTTTACTATCGGTTATTTCTTCTATTTTTCATTCAATAATATTGAGATGTCTGAATTTTTAAAACGATATAGTTTTATTATTCGCCTCTGTTTTGGTCTTTTCCTCAATTCTGTTTTTTTTATTTGTGTTGGACGTAGAAGGGACCATCAAGTCCCGTTCAATTGTTCACCCCCTCATTTTCAAAATCGCACCTACTCCTCACTTTTATTATTTTCCGATCTTTTATAGAAATTATAATGACGAATATATCGATAATTACGTCATGACGAAAATCGAATTTTCGTTTTTTTTCCATCAACTCACCAAAGACCATTAAGATATTGCACTTGATATTCTTTGTGCATAAAGTGCCATTATGCGCTTTTCACCTAATTTTTATTTTTCTTGTTTTCCTTAGATATTATCTTCAACACCATCGTTAGCCCTATTATTCTTTCCACCTAAAATACATGAATATAATCAATAATGGTGAACCGATTCCATAAATGTCACTTGCGGATCTTCTGCACCCCCTTCAAATCAATTTCTCCTATTGTCAATAAATATAATAACCAAATATTAGAAAATTCTGAATCATCCCTTGTAGCGAACAAAGAAGTCTACTATGAATTTAATGCTCAACATTTTTAAGGTACTGCATAATTCGGTTGCTAATTTTCTGTGAAATGCGAGAAAATCTGATTATCGTCTGAAATACGTTTACATTGAAATTCCTAGTCGTCTAAAATGTATCCTATGCATTGTGATTCAGGAAATGTTTGCCATCAATCGTTCTTGGTTGTCGTACGATTTTCTAGAAACTGACCTGAAATAATCAATCATCACGAAACATGCACATGAGAGAGCATGAAATTCTCCGCTTGGAACGAATCACACAGCGTGAATAGTTTGCAGAATTACATATTACGCCGTCATAATGAATTCTTATATATTCAAATTGTGTGTTTTCATTTTCCTTCCTGGAATCTGAAAGCAGAATTTTTCTACATTTTGACTACATTGTGATGCTCTGTTCGTCATAATTTTTTTCAAATCTTGAAATTTTTGTCGTAATTTTTTCTGAAATGTTCGAATTTTCTACTAAATAAGAATAGTGCAATGCTACAACATTTTATTTAAAAGTAATATAAGAAGTGCAAAAAGACTGCAGATTGAAAAATAAAATTCTTTTTGCATATTAGAAACAGTTAAAGTGATTTGATTCATTATTTTTCTTAAAAAGATCACAAATTTTTGGGCGATATTATCGAGCCGTGCGCTCGATATACAAGAGTTGAAATCCAAGACCTGAAAGAAAGTGATTATAAAACATGCTATTGTGAATTGACACGGCCTTATAACTTTTTGTTTTTTTTTTTTTTTTTTTTTTTTGAATTGTTGGCCCAAAATTTTATTCCGTTCCAATAAGCATTATTCTATATACGGGTTTTCATTTGCTTTTGGCAATCTTGAAAACCATTCAAATTCATCGCAAATTATCCCCGATTAAAATTTACTTTCTCTATTAAACATTGCCTAGAAATTAAGAGGCTAGTGTGGTGTCAGAGACCTAACAGAAGCTAACCAAAAATCATTTATTTCCTGGAATTATTGCAAAACTCGAATTTTGTCCTCAATGATATGAAGGCCTCTCAAAATTGAATTTATAAGTACACTTTGAGTTTGAACTCCATAATTTTTACGAAGAAGAACATCGTTTTTTTTTTCTCAATTTCCAATGAGCTTCAACACATGTCGTTGCTAAAAACGATATGTTCGTTAGCTCTTTGTTTATGAAAATTCACATTATTTAATAAAGACATTCGTGTTTACAAAATTCCTGTTTTCCTGATTTCCTAATATTATTTTTTTCAAGATTAGCAGAAATCTCAATAAACGACGAAATAATAGTTGAGTTTCATTCAACATAGATCACAAAGCAAAACCAGCTCGCAAGCTTTTCGCTTAAAACCATAAAATCCTCACTAATTGCTTCTGGGTTATTGAACTCCATCGACTCTTCGCAATTGAATAAATACATATTGTGCTACTTGGTGTTCCATATTATTTGATTTTTATTCACTAATGCTTTGCCGGATAATTTGGTTCTCAATATTGTTCATTCTAGAAGATTTCTGATCTACATTTCATTGATGCTACATTCCATTCAATATTAGTTCATTCAAAAAATAAGTTTGTTTATGATGTGTTTCTGACCAACGAGAGCTCATAATTACATACAAGTATAGTAGTCACACGGGTACAATTATGAGTAACACTCTATACGTATTACTCCTTTTTTTTCAAACCAAGTTTAAAATGTTTTGGTTTTCTTTTCAGATGGTACGCTGGAAATGAGGGCCATCAAATGAATTAAACACTTTCTGTTCTCTTTCAGTTTTCCTTTTTGAATCGGAACGAGCCACTTTTCTGAAAAAAAAATAATTGCGCATGGAACTATTAGGCGCTCATGATTTATCGGCTTTATACCATTAGCTTTATATTCGCATTCAAATGCATTTTCACATTTTCACTTAAAAACCTTCTAACATACATTTAATGAAGTGTTTATATTTTTTAGACGATGTACATTTTTCAGTCGTATGTATTCGATATCAACGAGTGTAAATTAATTATCGAATGTTTGAGGGGGAAGTGAGGGTCTCATTTTTGGGCTGCACTAATTATGCAGAACATTCCCTTCATTTTTGTCTTCCGATCCTTCATTTGACCGCATATGGACTTTCAATTTTTTTTTATTTTCAGTGAGTTTTTAAAGAGTCAAAAAGTTCAAAAAAGAGTCAGGGTTTGAACATATGTTATATTCCCAATTTCAAAAACACTTTAGTAAAAATATATATTTTTTAAAGTTTTTCTTATAGAATAGAATTGAAATTTGGTCGTCAACGATACTTACATTCATCATTTATATGTTTCTAGAGACTTCGAAGAAAAACACACAACTTGAAAATTCGAATGTAACGTATTTGAGCGTTTCTGTATCTTTAAATAATATTATTATTAATTTTTTTTTATTTGTTAACCTTTTGAAATTTTTCATAACCCTTTTTAAGAAATATGTCTACATATAAAAAAATATTTCTTGAAAATCCCACTTCCATTTTATGTTTTAATATCGCTACTATAACCGAAAACAACATTCAAAAACAAATTGTGCCCGAATAAAATATTTTTTTCAATATTTTTCAAGCTTGCCCTTTGTTTTAGCGTTGAATAGAAAATATGCGAACTTTTCAATATGCTATATATTTTGGCGGGTAGAGCCATTAAAAAACTTCTTACGTTACTATTTACTGAATTTTATTTGTCAGAGTCATTGTAGCATATATTTATCAATCTAATTATACGCAGGAACCCATTCGTTATAGTTCTTTGTTAAAGTTCATTTACTTGAGTCTGCGTGACAGTAATTGGCATGTTTGATTTCTTATAATAATATTTTCTCCCAACGTTCCCGATATTTTATGTTGATGTCATTTGGAATTTGCGTTGCAGATGGTTTTTTTTTCTGATTTCGAATTTATCAACACTTGTTTGTTTCGATTTTCAGATTTCAGAATGAGCAACGCGAAGAGCCGGTACGCTGAGCAGCAAGCTCAGATCTATCATATGATTATCCATGAATCGATTGTGATGACCTTGTCGATTCTGGGCAACATTTTTTTGCTTTTCGTTATCATTCGTGGCAACAAGGTGGCAAAAAGAAGAATTTCTCCTGTTCAGGTACATTTGAAAAAAAAACTATTATTTTACTGATTCTTATTTTTCAAAATTTCCAATATCGTTATTTAGACAGGAATTTCCTTAAAGGGTTCACCACATTCCTAGAACTTGCGAAATTTGTTTTCTTTAAGAGAAAAATCAAGCTTGTCACCAATGAGTAATGGAAGAAATTCGACTCTTCAAAGCCTCAAAAATCGCAGATTTTATTTCATTTAAGAAGATTCATTTTTAATGAGGCACCTGAAAATGTGCTGCCCTTTAACAACTTGGAGTTTTACAAGTTTGAAATAATTGAGAAAATTTCAGCTTCTATTGATTCATACATGTGTTGCTGATCTTCTCTTTGCTACTTTGGCATTGGGTACGGAGATCATAACATTGGTAATGCTTTAAAAAAATTACAAACTCAACATTTCATCAACATATTCAGTTGACATATCCGGAGTTTCTCGGTTCCGACTTCGTTTGCAAGCTGATGAGATATGTGCAAATGTTTCCTATGTATGCAAGCCCATTCCTACTTGTCGCCATTAGTGCGGATAGATACCAAGTATCAAAATAACATATGTGTGCTTCTTATACATGATCTTTGAGGCAATTTGTCGACCACTTGCACATTTCCGATCCTCCAGATATCGCCGTCCTAATTGGCTCGCGGCAATAGCTTGGACTTTGGCGCTCATCTTTTCCGTTCCCCAATTCTTCGTATGGGGAAAACAGCGGTATGATGATCTTTAATTTTCGACGAGCATAATAGTATTGAGAATTTTCTAGGGACGGAATGTGTCGAACAGTTTATGGAAGCGAAAAAAGTGTCCTCAAATATGTTTACATTATTGGTTTTAACACGTTCGCATGGCTTCTTCCTTCCATTTTTGCAGCTGGATTTTATTGTGGGATTCTGTCTGTTGTTTGTAGTTTTATTACACTTAATTCTTAAAGATTGTGTCTGCAAAGCGGTTCGAATGTCGTCGGCAAATTTGACGGTTGAAAAACAGCGAAACTCGACGGTGGGAGAAGAAGTGAAAAGGTGTTGACGTTTTAGGGTCTTTGCTTTCTCGAAAACACGCCGTTTGTTTTTCAGCGGCACCACCGAAGACTACATTGAAGAGCTGCATAAAAAGTCGACAGGATTCAGGCGCCAAACATCGGAATTTGACAGGAAACGTGTGCAAACCGGTAGAAATCAGCAACATGTATATATGGAAATGTATCGCATTATTTCAGTTCGCCTCACAATTACCATAGTTGCCTGCAATTTCTTCCTCTGGATGCCCTTTTGTCTCGCAAATATTATTCAAGCACTATGGCCGTCGCTATTGAGTGGGTATTTGCGCAAAATAATAGAATTAAATTTGCTTTCTTCTAGGTCAGAACCAAACACTTCTTACTTACGCAGTCATTCTGGGAAATTTGAATTCCTGCCTTAATCCATGGATTTACATTCTTTTCAATAGATCAAACGTAGTGAAGGCTATTTGCGGACAGAAAAAACAATATTTGGACACCTCACGAAAAGGTGAAGCATTCTTTGAAGCTATTATGACATAACAGTTTATATACAGTGAGCTTTAACCGCACCGAATTTTCTACTTCTGTCAATCCGTATGCTGTCACAAGATCTGCGCGCCTATCGCGCTTATCAACTCCAAATGGAATCGCTACATTGTCTCCGAAATCTGCTATCCGTCGAAATGTTTCTTTCAACACTAACCTGAAATACAAACCAAAGACCACCCAACAAGGTAATTCCACCCTCAAGTGACAATAAATAAACTATTTTAATGTTCAGTCCTTCTCGCCAGAAACAACAGTGATGCTGGAATTCCTCTTGTCGTTCAGGTTAGATTTTCAGAAAAAAACGAACTCGTATGTTGGTTTGAAGTGTGCATTTACTAGCACATCTAAACCAAGCATGTTTTCCTCTTGCTATTTTTAATAACATTAGCTTTATTTTGAATCACTGTTTGCAGTAAAGAATTTTGATACCTATGTAGAAATGTCAGCACGATTGGAGTGCTTTCTCTGGATTTCTCAACAATGTGTGCCATTTCAGGGTAAAAGCATTAGCACCGTTCTCAATGGCAACGGGTATCAGCAGAGTGAAGAGACCGAGTTCAGATCATTGAATTAATTATTGAATTTATCAGTTGCATGATATTCTCGGGTATATTATAAATAAAGAGATCTTTATGTGTATTTATATACTTCGTATTATTGAATTATTAATAATAATAATATATAATTTACCCGTTTTCCATCTGTCCTTCTTCGTTGGATACGGTTAAAGTTATTACAGGGTCTTCAGGAATTGAGTTAACTTCATCACGAATCATTGGAGTATAATCTGGCATTGGTTGGCCGACTTCTATAACAGGATGCCGAGATAATGCTTGATCCTTTTTCAGAACATTCGGATGATAGAACGAGTACGAAATGCACAGGAATACAACTCCTAAATAACTTGACATATTGTAGATTAATTGCAGTTTTAAATACCTAAAGCAAAAATACATAGTAATCCGTAGTGAACGTAGAACAAGAAACGAATGTTGATTGTTTGAAAATGAAGGACAACGAGAAGTCCCTAAAAAAGAAATCAAGAAAATGTCGAAATTGTATCAAACCATCATCTCGATAAATTCCAGGGTGTACGCCACGAAGTATCGATACCGTGTGGGACCTTCCGCCATATTAAAAGGTGTAAATAGATGAATAATTACATTTACTACAAGAAGCAATCTCTCTAAAACGGTGCATGGTTCCATTTCTAGCCCCTAAATATTTGAACAAAAATATGTGTTAGAATCTACGGATGTTCAACATACCTGCAAATACACTATATGAGCAAATGACAATGCCATGTGTGACATAATTAAAACGCCGGAATACAATTGCAGGAAAATTACGTACAAACTGAGGACAGCAATTCTCGAGAAGACCGTGCAGAAACGCCAGAGAAACTGAAAAGTTTTTTGTTTGATTAAAAAAATATTGAAATCTTACCATTGAAATGAGCAATATGCGATCGTAATTCTTCTTATCCTCCCGTACAATTCTCAAGCATCGATTATGAGCAACAACCGACCACGATATGCTGATAATTGATAGAATAACAGAAGCGAATTGAAAAAATGCCCAGAATTCAATGTGACTAAATGGTTTTCCAGAATCCAAAAATTGGAGCAAATATCGGAAAAGAATTGTGCTTTGCACAATCAATTGTGGCGCCGTTTCCATATAAGATTCCATGAGTCTTCAAATTGATTTCACACAAGTGCGTGATTTTTGAAATTCTTACCGTAAAAATGTGACATCCCTTTCAGCTTCAGCCATTTTTTCATAAAACTGACGATTTTCTTTGTTTTCTCTGTAGGCTTCTCGCTGTTTCCTTCCGTAATAAATTGCTTTCAAGTAGAAAATAATTGGTCCTAGCTTAAAAATTTGAACTTTTTTTTTATTTATTGATTAATTGCGTACCTGCAGAACACACAACATTGTGACAAATGAGATTGAAAAGAATTTAGATTTTGTGTCATTCTCTCCTCTCAATATTCTGCGAGGATGAGCTCTTTCTTTGATATGCAACTCAGCGTCAATTATCCACAATAATGTAAGCATATTTATGAGCAGTGAAGGTATTAAAGCGAACGCTAGAATACAGTAAGCTTCGTTAAACTGAAAATATTGCATCTTTTGCATATTTAATATTGAATTATAATGACTTACACGCATCGCCTTATAATGAATCCAAGCAACAAAAAGATCCGACATAGTGTCGAACGCATACGACAACATTGAGAAGAAAAAACAGAAAATATCCAGTCTGCGTACTTTTGGAATTCTCGGAATTTCATCAACAAACACCCCATGGGGATAAACACCAACTGAAAAAAATTAATTATATGTGATTAGTAAAAATATGTTTAAAAAATTTCATACAGTACTGTCTTGAAAACAAAAAATTGTATGTATAATTACTGTTTACATCTTTAGTTACATAGTAGATAAATAATAATTAAATTAATAATAAAAACTTGCCATCATTACGAAAATCCGAGCTGTAATATAGTGGGAAAAATTTTGGCGTCCATTTTGCACATTTTGGCATCGTTATTGATTAGACCAAGTAGTCGACCAATTTAAATGAGATGGTCCGCAATGTGTTGTGTGTACATTATGCAAAGCCCGGCCGATATTGTCTCTCGCAACCCCTCATTTACTCCCTGCTGTATCGTCACATATGTCAAGAAATGGCACATCCTAGTGTTGCACATTGAACTCGATTGAATATTACAGTGCCTTGTTTTTTATGGTACTTACTCCTCTATTTCTTCTAAATGTTATCATGTTATAATTTCATGATCGATGGAGACAATAGTAAGAATTATTTTCAAATACATTGAATATTAGCCTTTATATAATTTTTGAAATCAAATAGTGTAGTAATTTTTCTTACTTTTTTGAACATTTTCAGGCAATTGGGTTAGAGTGGAAACATAAAATTCGAAACCATCGTTGTTGAAATAGAATTTTATAGATTTCTCGTTTTTTTCAAAATTAAAGAAGCACATCATAAACGCGTTCAAAATTCTTTAAAAACTCAGTGAATCGAATATGAATAGGCGGAAAAGTAACGATTTTGATCAATGTTCGTTAATGAAAAATCAAATAGTTTGATCAGGTCTTATCTTTTCAATTCCATTTACAAACGCTACAGTGTGTGTATATTGATTTGAATTGTCATTTTTATGTTTTAAAATTACTACAAATGAGCTTCGTCTTGTTTCTTTACAAAATTTGAAAACTTACTAGAGAGGAATTTGTTCAATGTATTATCATCCTGAAATCTTAATAAATATTGTTGAATTTGTTTACAGCGATAGCAGAAATCCGCATTTTCCGACTTCCTTTTCTAAGATTATCTCTTTCTTCAGCCAAATTGACATACTTTGGTCGTTATTTATTTCATCTAAAACATGCTTGCTCTTATCTCTATTTTTTTTTGTTTATTCCGTAGTTCTTTAATCAATTTTTCAGAAAATGAGCCAGCGAAAAGTTGTTTCCGCACTATTAAAATCAACAAGACCATTGATTTTTGGAATGATTCATGTTCCTGCTTTGCCCGGGTTTCACTTTCTTAATAATTTAATGACAACGACCAATTTTTATTTAGTACTCCATGTCACAAGCTACCAATGAATGCTATCCTAAAAAATGTTCGCCAAGAAGCCGAATTATATTCGAGAAACAACCTTGTTTGCATTGAAGTTGAATTTGAACTTAAACAATTGAATTTTTACAGGATGGAATAATTGTTGAAAACATGCACGATATTCCATACATGAAACCGCCAGCAAATCCGGAAATTATAAGCGCTATGACCCTGGCTTGTTCAGAAGTCGTCAATGTAAAGGAGAAGTTTAATACAAATATATTTCTTGGCATTCAAGTGCTCGCTGCGGCAAATAAAGAAGCATTGGCAATAGCACATGTCACAGGTGTAGGCGCTCATATCAGACGTCATTGATTGAATTATAATATTTTAGGTATGGATTTCGTCAGAGCTGAAGGGTTCGTGTATTCTCATGTTGCTGATGAGGGGTGGATAGATGCGTGTGCAGGAGCTCTTCTCCGTTTCCGCTCTAACATTAATGCCGACAATATCGCTGTGTTCACTGACATCAAAAAGAAACACAGGTTTAGATATATTTCGATAATTTCCGGAAATTCAACAATATTTTTCAGCTCTCACAGCGTAACAAATGATTTGAGTATTCAAGAAATGGCAAAAGACGCACAATTCAATTGTGTTGATGGTGTTATTGTCACTGGATCCGCTACTGGGTGTGCAGCAAACCCAGAGGAACTAAAACGTATCACTTTAATTTTGAGTCAGATTCAACATTTAAAGGCAATTTACAGAAGTTTCTAGTCTCTCAAATCTCCCTGTTTTAATTGGTTCCGGAATAAACTCGTCTAATGCCAAAAACTATAAGAAAGCGAATGGCTTCATTGTTGGAAGTGAATTCAAAGTGGATGGCAACTGGAAGAATCCGCTAGACGAGAATCGAATCAAAAAGTTTATGCGAACAATAAAACAATTGGATCGTTTCAATTAACTAGTTTTATTATAATTTAATTACTGTTATTATTACATTTTTATACATCTCAGCAGAATTTGGCGCACACTTGCTTCGGTTCGACATGTGATTTGACGTATTTGATGATCTCTGGTAGCTCGGACTAGAAAATAAATCATTTAAAATCAATGTGAACATTGTTTAATGAAACCTTGACAATATCTTCGCAAAACGATTCGCGACGCTTATCATCTCCGAAGATACGACGGCAGACTTTATCTAATACTTCTTCTTCTTCTGGCTAAATTATATTTCATATGGCTAAGCGATTTTCTAAACATACCACGTGATTTAAAATGAGCATTCTGGTAAAGCTCACGACATCTTTACAGGTACTACAAGCACATCCAAGCGGGCTTCTGGTCTAAAATCACATGCTTGACGTGCTATTTATGATATACCAAGTAAGCAAAAACTTTTAGAATGCGTCGTTTTGCTCAATTATTATCTTACCAGTAGACAAGTGTCTTTTTTTTCCTTCATCATTCCATGTTTTGAAAGTTTGTCCTTGTACAAACCTTCACAGTTGGTCAAAACAACCACTTAATATGAAATGATAAATCAGCAAAAACGTTAGAAACTAACTTGAAACAATCAAAGTAATCAGATAGGCAGAATGCATAGCGGTTTGATATCGCAATTGGCGAAAGAATATTTGAATAAGGAAATCCGAACGGCTGACCCATTTGCGGTTCTCAACAAGCCTTGCCTCCAAAACGCTGCAAGACCAGTTTTATGATCTTGTTTCTTGTCGCCAGTGAAATTCTCGCTTTTATTATCGTTCGTTACCATCTCAAACCAAACAACATTATAATGTTTATCCCGACAATTACATAAAACAATCATTATAATAAGTATTTTTTTAAAAAGTGGATTCAATAAATAATCAATCACAGAAAAAAATCGATAGTTACGAGTGAGTTTGACAATATATTCTAAAGCTGGAACGAGTTTTCACTAAATATTAATCAACTTTCAGTGTAGCCACAGAAGAACTTTTATAGTAACCCCCAACGAAATGTCTAAGAAGTTCGGTAAACCCATAAATGAAAATTTAATTATTTTAAAAGGAATGATTGGTTATAATAACGAAAATGATCTCAAATAATTGACGAATGACTTAGTCAACTTTGACAGATCCGTAAATCTTGCGGACAAAATAGTAAGTGGCCAAAAATCCAATTGTTCCGCACATCAAGAAAAACATGAAGACGAAAATGGCGGTGTAGGCAAAGTAGAGGATTGTGGAAATCTGAAATATGACTTGATTTGCATTCCGTTATGAAATGTTGTTTCTTACAGCTCCACCAATTGTCAATTTGGTTTGGAAGAAATGCACACAATAGAGGAACAGGTAGACCGCAGTAAATCCACTTGTCAAAAACGATCTCCACCACCAATGGTAATCCTATAAAGTTCCGTTTCACACAAGATAATTTGAATTAAAGGTCAAGACAATTCGATCAATGTTCAAAAAACAAACCTCTGCACATAAATGGAAGTAGGCCAACAGAATGGTTGCTTCCGAACACGTGATAATCAAGATGAGATAGACGAGGAACAAGAATCCGAACATGTAATAGGTTTGATGAGCCCTATAACAGAGATATTTTGTTCTACGTATTGATGACTTTGGACTAATTCCTACCAAATGCTATTGAGAATGAAGAATAACTGAATGAAAATGCAACCAAATGGAAGAATTCCGCCCATAAGCATTCCGGGCAAAGCTTTAGTGTAGAAGGTCTGTTCTGGAACCTGTCTCGGAATTTTGTTGGTGCGTACTGGCGCCTCGATTCCTCTTTTCTTGTATCCAAAGAATGCTCCAACGAAGGTCATCGGGATCTGGACAAATAGCCAAAGAACCAATAAAACCACTAAAGTTCCGAATGGAACAGCAGCCGACGATCCTTTAATCCAGAGAAGGGTGTTGGTGAAAAAGAAAACGGTGAACAAAATTCCAGGAACCAAGAATGAAGTCATGACAAGGTTCGTCTTCCAATGAATTCCTTCGAAAGCTGAAAAAATGTTGATTCAAAAAGGAATGGTATAGGAATTCATACTTTTGTAAAGTCTTGCGGAAATATATCCAGCAGCAGCTCCAAAGAATACGTAAAACATCAATGCGAAGGTGATCAATGATCCACGGTTGGCCGGAGACAGGAATCCAAGACAGGCGAAAACTGTAAAAGACGATTTTCAAGATTCAAAATTGATTTTCATTTACTCACTAAGAGTAACGGAAACCATCAATAGTGTTTGACATCCGGCTCCGATGAATACGGAAAGAAGCATTGGATAGCGTGGGGTCCGGAAAACATCACCATGCACGAGCTTCCAACCAAACTCTTCCTGAGCATCCTCTTCAGTATCCAAACGATTGTACCGATCGATATCGCGATGAAGGGTTCTCATAATAATCATTCCAACCATTCCAGAAAGGAACAAAACAATAACAAGTGAGTTCATGATTGAGAACCATTGAATGTTGGTGTGTGGCATTGATTGAAGAATGTAATCCCATCGAGATGACCATTTAATATCAGTCTTCTGAAAAAAATTTTTTAGTTACTATGACAAAGCAAGATTAACATACAATCCATTTAACGCTGTAGGAGTAAGTAATCTCAGCAGACTCTGACTTGGCATCGATTCCCAATGGATCAGCAGATTCACTGCAATCCAAATTGCTGCTAGACTTGTGCTTGATCGATCTCGGTTTAACATCAATACGAATTATTCTTCCTCCGACGTGGAACTAAAGAAGCACAAGAAATCACTAATTATTTTTAATAATTAAATGTTTACTTGTTTCTCGAGGAAGTTTGCATCATGACTTAAATCGCGGTAGTGAATTTCAATATCGACATGATTGAAAATGTAGAAGTGATTGGGCGAATTTGCTCTCGCCTGAAAGTTTCGCGATATTTATTTAAATCTTATCTAGCAGCTGAATTGTTTCATCTTATGCCGACTTACATTCAAAACACATGCATCATGTTGTTCTCCTCTTTCATCAACAAAGCATCCAACAGGGAAGCCAGTGGTGCAAATATCCATACTTTGAGAATTTTTGAAGCAAAACGTCACCGGCATATTGTCAACAATCCTGAAAATTTTGAAAGTTATTATAAACTTCCGACATTTCCGATTTTACCAATGATGTTGATAGTTAAGCATCATCGCCCGCTGCAAGTGGCGAAGTTTCGACAAATCATTAGAATTTCCTTTCTTGTATGTCTTTGTGTCACAAAGCTTGCGGCATTGTTCCTCTTTCAAGAATGAAATCTATATCAATTTTTTCGATATACGATTAAAGCAAGTATCATTTTTACTTCATAAGGACTTGGCCGAATTCGTTCACCGAACAAGACTTGTCCGAGGTTTTCAACAGGCGATTCATCTTCGTTTGCAACACAGAAATCAAAACTGAAATTATTACGAAATTTTCTATCTGCTATACTAATATGAAAGGGTACCTATGATATTCGTACGGAATAACTGATCGGTCGCTGTCTAAATGATTCACGAAGAGAGAAACATTGCTCTGTAATAGCGTCATATAATTTTGTTACCGAATATGTGATATATACCGGACAATTTGGTTTTGGAGTTTCGCAAAAGTTCACAGGTGCTAATCCAGGCAAATAAAATGCAGTTGCACAGGCAAAAAGTGAAGTCAACAATATTCTTACAAACATCGTCCGCGGTTTCAACATCCCTGAAAATTCGAGCTCAAGTGAATTGTTTACAAAAAAGTTCGGTGCAATAAAAGAGAAATCGAAATGCCACGCATATGCGGCGTTGTGTCTGCGCTCTCTTCAACACGACACACAGCCGCGTTGCGAGACTCAACAATGCTAGCTGTGTTGTGTTCAGTTTTGGGGCAACCAGAGTTGTCTGACGTTGAGCATATATAAAGAGGATCATTTAAATGTTGAAAACGATCATCTAGATTTTTTAAAAAATTGAACATCATAATCATTTAAGAATATCAACCAAGATATTTCTATTTTAGAAAAAACCATCTATCTAGAAACAAAATGATGTGATATGATATTCTCGAAAGGTCTTAACGATTAATCAGCAATGAAAAATGTATTTTTCTAGTTTCATTTAAATGTCACAAATTTTGAAGAACTGTTTATTCATAAAACAAATAATCATTTAATTTGGCGATGAAATGAATTTACAATTGGATTAAATAAAGCATATATAGGACAAAGTGAAATAATATATTGGGGCATTGTGACACCACAAAAAATTCGAATGAGAACAACGACGATCTCGGTGGCGATACAATGACATTGTTGGTGTGTTGGCTTGGAGTATCTGGAATTGATTTTTATCTCCGAAATGCATTATGTTTCGAAATGTGGAAAAAATGAGATAGAATTCGATCCTATCCGTACCTTAATTCTCGTTTTGGCAGACGCACACCTCAGTGGTGACGACGGGCTCAACGTGATTGAGATTGGTTTTGTCAAAGGACGACGCCATCTGGATTGTCTTTTCACGAGCGATGTCGGTTGGAGATGGTAGAACGTTCTGAAAAATCAATATATTCAAAGAAAGTGACGTTTCTTTTTTATATATGCAATGATACTCTGGGAAAATACGAAATCGGTTCAAAATTGAAGGAATAATGGGTTTCACTCATTAAAACATTTTGAATATTACGAAATATAAAATTACCTTTTCGGACGTCTCAGTTTTGTGAAGCTTCTCATGCGGGAAGTTGTGAATGTTGTCTTGAAGCTCAAGCAACTGCTTCTCCTTTTTGATATCCTCCTGCGATGGGAGCACAACCTTCTCCTTGACCGGAGTAGCTTTGAGCTTGGTGGAATCGAAGTGTTCGATCTCATGAATTCTCTCGACAAGCTTCTTTTCGCATTCCACATCCTCCTTGGTTGGAAGCACGTTCTTTTCCTGGGTCTGAACCTTCTTAAGCTCAAGACCGCTACGCACGGCTCCAGCAAGATCCTCGTCCATTTTTGGAAGCTGACTAACGGCTGCCATTCTTACACTTAAATATACATTGTTTTTAATAAGACGATTATAAGACTAATTGAATTGGAGAATAGAACGAAATGAAGGAGTGAATGAATATTGTAAAGTGGGTGGAATACAAAACAGTAAGCAAAACAATGAGTCACTGGTCACTGAGAGAGAAAAAACGGCGATTGCGAATGTTTGATCGAATGTAATGAAACTGAAGTTGCAAACGTGGAGGCAAATGCATTTGGTGCGCATATGTGAGAGTGTTGCCGTTCGTATGTGTCTGGTCGATTAAAAAACAGAATGAATAAATTGGAGGCCATATTGCACAACAACACTGCCATCGATTTAAGTTAGGTTTTCGGGCCAACAACAATACACCATTTTTGATCTGCGAGCGATTACTGTGGCAAATGTCAAAATGCAAACATTTGACAAATATTTGTATATGGGCAAGTAACATTGATATACGAGGCAATTTGTCGAAAATCATCGCCAAGTGTTTGTAGTTGTAGTAGACAATTTGAAACGCATATGATTGACAGTTTCATATGCTAGAAATGCAACGATGTGAACTTTTATGCATCTTCGAATGTAGTCAGATATTCAGCGAAAGTATTCGTATGAACATCTATTTTCCAACTGACCTGTTTCATCGAAAACGCAATTAACAACAGGGGAGAATATGCCCTTGGAGATATTGAATCAGCAAAGGTGTGGCTCTCAACGATTGTTGACGGTGCTCAAACATATTGCGAAATTAGCTTGCATTGATTTTGAAATGAACCAAGAGCTGGTTTATAGTGTTGCAAATGAGGCGAAAGACGGATTTGTAACCGTCTGTTTCGTGCAAAGGTCACACACCATATGAACAATTTTCGCGGCGGGGCCGTTCGTTTATTGGGACCGAACCAATAGGCTTTCTCTCGTAATTAATAAACAATTCTCAATTTCTATTGAGAGATCATGTTACAATTCACGTAGAATTATTCACTACATAGATAGATAGTGTAATTGAACCCACGCACAAGCTCAACTGTGGATACTTAAAGGTGCATATGGGCAACGCAGATTCAATAAAAATTATTCTATTTGAGAAGTGGGGAATGAAACAACTGATAATTAGCAATGAACTGTTAGCTTTTATACAACAAAAAATGACTCATCTCTGCCATCTTATAATGTTTGAATGCGATTAAAATGGAATAATGATCTGCTCACGTTTTAGGAAGCTTTTAAATTAACAAATTAATTTTAATCTATTTCAGATAAACATCAATTCGAGAAAAAGTGTACCACACAAAAATCATTGTTCTTACAAATGAACAACGATTTGAGGAAAATTGTAAAATATGTACCAGGTTTTTCTTGACATTGAATAGACACTTGTACGTTAAATACAATGTCTCATAAGGCAAAACTGCGTAATTTGAATGTTTTAAATAGTCATTGACGTGTTCATGGCAATTTGGCGTCTCAGGGAAAACGAAAAGAATAGCAATTATGTGAAGATGTTCCCATTGAATATGCAATTTACCTAGGGGTCGGTGGAAATTTTGGTGAAGGAACTATTAAGAGCTTTGCGACCATTGGTCTCGCTGGGAAAAACAGAGGCAAAACAAAACCGATGTGGGGAAATGATCGCAAATGAGCGACACCATATAACAAGCGGTTATGTTATACTGTATATCAAGGACTAAGTGACCGCTTTTGGAGGACGGATCGCGTCGTTATTGTCAAGGTTAGGAGGCAGAATCCGCGGGGTGTTATGAAAAACGACATAATGACGACCATGAGAGGCTTTGGCAACAAGGGTTTGGTGCGTTCGTGATTTTATGTCTGTTTGTAAACGCCAATAGTTGTTCGTTTATTCAACGAGTCATAAAATTAACACCTGACTCAAACCGCCCAAACATTGATGAGCATCCTTGGACAAAAAGCTACAGAACAACGAAACTGAATGAGTCTAGTTTTAGTGTGCAGAAAACACACTGCTTTTTGTGCTATTTTGGGTGGGAGTTGGTCAGCCGACGAATGGTAAACATTGACACCTGGTGCTACTGGGAGAGCTGGTTCACTGAGCGGACTGTTGGTCATCAAAACTGGAATAGGCCGCAACGAAAACTAATTATTGGCAGGTGGCTGCGTAATTATTACCTACAATCTCGATCATCAAATTTTTGGCGATTTTCTGGTCGTACACATTGAAAGTGTTTCGAAAACATCGAGAAAATTGTTTGGGAATCTAACCAAAAATGAGAATGTGAGTACTACGAATCTAATTAAAACGTTTCGTAAAGAAAATAGAAAAACAAGTACATTTTTTGTTCATTATAAAACACTATTGTTTTTCTTATATAAGATCATATAGCCGATAATATTCTTCACAGTTTCTCGCGTCACTATATTATGTTTAAATATTATCTAGGTCACGGGTCGCACTGCACTACTCGACCAACAGTAACGACTCAATTGGTCCAAACGCTGTTCTGTTCAAATTTATGTGAGAACATTAAAGATTTTAATTTATTAGTTGATCTAAATTGCCGACCTTTTCGGCACATGTGATCCAGTTTTGCCTTCAACGTCGTCCAATTTTGTTTTGTAACAAATTGATTTCATCTTAAAATAATGACTTTTTAGGGTTGTTGAAGCACATTTAGATTATTTGCTCACTCGAACATGAAAACAACTCGAGAGTCATTTGATAACGCTATACGTGTCTTATCTTTCCATGCCGGTATTCGTCGATTTATTTCCTTTTTTTTCGTTTTATGAAAATTGTATGAAATTTGTTGAAATGTTATGGACTATGCTTTAGAAATAAACAGCTAATTAGACACATATTAATATAACACTAAACATGCTGTACTTGCGATACATTATATGTAATCGGAACGTTTATTTTAGTTTTGTATCATCTTCATAGAAATTTAAGATTACACTTACTTGTGATACCTGTGAGTTTCATATTAATTTTTCAAAAAAAAATTACGCACGTGATTTTAATGTTATTGAGTGAAAATGTTCTATGCTCAAGAAAGTGCATTCATTATGAATCGCAGATAACATTTTATCAAATTAAATTTTGTTTTATATGTTTCTTGAATAATGAAAATTGAAAACTTTTATGAGCACAAATGAGTGTCAAAAAAATCTTTTTAATGCACATATTTCAATATGTAATTTTTTCCAGGTAAAATGTGCCCTCATGTATTATTATTATTATCGATCATTGTATTGCCATTATATGCCGAGACGATCATTCCAGCAGATATATTAGAAGACGACTTTATATCCACCAGAGGTATACCTACAACCACTAACAACAAACGAATTATACTTTATTAAATATTTTATTGTTAGGAGCTCTGTGATTACAAACATTGAAAAATTTTCAAGGCTTTGCATACCTCACAACACTCTTCATTCTCACTATTCTCGCCGTCGCCGTATTCTACCATATTGCCGATATAAGAAGACGACGCCAAATCGAACGTGAAGCAGCACAGTACGTTTGCATTCTCCAAATTTTTACGAAGGTTTTTGAACATTTGCAGAGGAATGTATGTTGAATGGTCGCCACTTCTAATCAATAATCAAAAAAACATCCGGCCGCCTCCACCGTATGAGCAAACCGTTTGAAGCTTCATTTCATTGTTTCTTTTTTATATCGATTTTGTTCCGCCGTTGAAAATACAAATTTCTCTAAATGCTGGATTGTGCAAATTAAAAAGCAAACTTTTAAAAACGGATATTAACTGTTTTTCAATGTTTGGAAAAAATAACTATATAAATTTGAAATTTTCTAATTTATCAACAACCTACAGTTAAAAAAAACGTTTAATTTCATGGCAAGCACGCAAACTGAACACTGACAAGAAAAAATTAAATAAATATAGTAGATCAAACAGAAAGCTTCAGTTAAAAAGTGATAATTGCAACAGTAACTAAATGCAAATAATGCATCAAATGTTTCTTACCATTTTTCATGTTAAAAAGGCAGAATGAAAGTTTTTACAAAGGTTTTTCAATTTTCATATTTTCCAGTCTCTTTTTATCGTATATGCTGATTTCTTTTTGGATTATTTTATATAATTTTTTATAGCTGATCACATGCATGATGATTTTTAGAAACATTTTTTGTGTGAAAGAAAATACAAAAATCACAATCTTGGTAGGCTCAATACGCTTGTTCGCGATTTTGATTAATTTTACCAATATAATTTAAAAATGCATATTTTTTTTTAAGTATTTGAATAGTTTGATAGTTAACAAAAGTGCCACAAAATATAAGCTGGTTATTGGGACCAGTTAGAATCCAATTTTTCAAATTTGACCGTCCCGACAATATTATTTTGCTTTTGTGTTATAATATTTTTATTCAAACCACTTTGACTGAAAATAAAAATCTTCCTTTTATAGTTTATGAATAGAGATATGACAATACTATCAAAAATATGAATTGGTATATTGCGAAACAACCTATGAATCAAAAACGTTTTAATTGCTAAATCCGCGGAATCGATGCAATTTGTTTTTTGAATTTCAGCAGAACAATATCACATTTTTAGGGAAAGTAAAAAGCGCCGATAAATTTCTTCTGCTTGATCATCCATGCGTTTATCCCTTTCTCACACAGGCATCGAAAACGCATCACGTCAAAAAAAAAAATAAATGAAGGCTAAAGGAAGTTTGCCAGGGTTGAGTAAACAGTCTTAGGGCCGACAATTTGTGGCGTTTTGTTAACTTCGTGAAATTTTTGAGCGCTCGTTCCATTTCGATACCGTCACTGTTTTGATTTTCCGATTTTATAGTTTTCAACAGCGGCGAGTTTGATTTGTGCGATATCTAGTAATATTTCAATGTTGTTTGTGAACGCCCAAAAAATAATACAAAAAGATTATCCACCGAAAGTTTGGTTATTTCCGTTTTCGTCGAATGTTGTTAAACCTACCAAAATTTTTTCATTTAGAACAAAGTCGTATAACTTTGTTATTTTTAATTTCTCAATGTAATTCAAAATTATCCAGAATAATGGTATTTCACAATTTTTAGTAATTTCGTCCAAATTTTTAAATCTTTTGATCCAAATGTATCTATTCCTGTAATTTTTACTCAATCCCCACATTAGATTACCACTGATAATGTTGCCCGAATTTAAATTTTCTACAAATTTTTATTGCATTTCTGCTAAATCGTTAAAGTTACATCTTTTTGCCCTTTATGAACATCCTCGTATAATACACTTTTTGTTTATTTGATCAATACCATAATGGGACAATTGAACTGTCCAAAACGATTGTTAGACCAATTATCGTTTGGTAAAAAAAACCGAGCATGACACATTTCACAGTTTTTTTTTCCATCGTTTTAGGACATGATTTTGCAGGCTTATGATTTTTCTGATATTTTTGGCAACATTATCGTCCGCGCATCCTTCAAAAAACTCCGATGAAGTAAGAGAAATTTTATATAGTATGATATTATTGTAAATATTATTTTTTAGATCACTGAAAAACCAAACACAAAGATAGATGAAATGACCCAAACTAGCAGTGGTCATGGGAACACAGCGGATAAAGCGTTTGACCTAACCCCAGCAGACATTCATTATTTGCAAGCAGTAAGAGTTGAATATTTAAATTTAAAACTATTTCAAAAAATTGTGTTTGGCTTCTGTTTATTTCAATGCATGCTGATCATATTGGGTAGCCTTTTTCAGATAACAGATATTGCTAATGTTCCGTTAGACGTCTTACAAAATTTTGATCTACAGCTTAATATGGACGATAATCATCCACGGAACCCGCCACCTCCAATTACACCTCAGCCGTATTCAATTCCACCATATCGAAGAGTAGGTTTCTAAATATTGTCGACGTCGTGCGCCTGCGGAAAATTGACTAAATGCCAAAAAAACAATGAAAATGGTATCGGCGCAAACTCAAAGTGTAGATTTACGAGCCTACCCGGAGAATTCTTTTTAAATTTTTTGAAATTAAGCATATTTTTCACAGTCGCGCGACGCCGCCGACAGTATCGTTTTTTTGGAAATTTTAATTTTGAGCATGATATTTTCTCTTCCTCTGTTGCAAATTAGGTTTTAGCATTATCTTTTGAATTTGTTAGAAGAATTAAGATATTTTGAGCTATTGCATCGTTTGTACAGTTACTCTGCTCCTCTTGTCATGCTATCCAATGTAACCCGGGTGAGTCCCTAACAGACTTTTTCTCTACCTTCGATATGCTACCGTGTGATATCAAAAACTGTCGGCAAACTTTGAAAAATTGACATTTCTTTTTGGCATTCGTTCGAGAGGAAAACACGGTAGAGATTGTTTAATCGACGCGATGAGACTATTACTTTGACATTTGGCGTTGACTCTCGGTATTAGAACGTGCGCGAATTGAACAAATAGCATTGAAAAATTGAATCATCGAGATTGCCGCGACGAAAAAAAAATGGTTTGATGCCCACACACACACATACGCCTCTAGACTACTATAGGGTGAACATCTTTAAATTTTTATTTCATTTTTTGGTGATTACTCAATGCCATCTAAATATTGGGAGCGGTATGTGAGGAAGGTTAGAATATTTTACACTTAAAAACAAACGGAAACTTTTCACTTAGTTGCAAGTGATTTTGAAAACAATTATAAACACAAAATATATGCAAGCACGTTTTTTATAACAAAACAATGTAGATAAGCGTTTCATTTTATACAAGAAACGTTTTTTAAATAAATTGTTCCACAGTAAAAATTAATATTCGTCACTTTATGTTTGTATGCTATGAAATGTTTACAAATTGTACTTATACATAAGTTCCTTCAATGTAGATAGTTCTGAAAAAAAACTTTTTTTTTAAATAAAGTCTTCCCTGACATTCAGAATAATTTCAATGATGTGGAAAAAATTTTTCCGTTAGCTCTACCGGGAAAACTAATGAGATTAAAATTAGGGTTTAATTATTCACATCGAACATATATACGATTTTTTCATCGACATTTGTTCGATTTACTCAAATACCCCTTTTCAAAAATTGGACTCTACTCTTTTTTTAAAGTTATTGACGAGTTTAATGTATACAGTAATTCATTTGTTTGTTAAAAAACTGCAACTGACACTACGGTGCACAGTTTGGTTTTCCTAGAGTAAAGTTAACATTTACCCAGAACCTCGTAATAGTGATCTGTGAAATAAAACGTGCCATCAATTTCAATGGCATTCCAACTCAAACATTGCAATGATTTCAGCCAACAACGCCAGGATACTATGATCCATACTATCCGTATGACAAAAATTTGGAAAAGAAAACGTCAAATGCTGGTGCGAACACAATATTAATCCGCTGTATATTCTAAAATTTCAGTAGCACTTGGTCTCGGAATCGGAATCCCACTTGGAATAATTGCTACAGTAATTGTCGTTCTCACAATTTTATGGTGTCGAAGAAGGCAAATGCAGAGGAGGCCAATATTACCGTATCCATTCTACAAACATTCTAACGATTATAAGACACAATTGGACAGTCCGGCGTACTCGATGTAATTTCTGTTTGAAATGGTTAAAATTTATTACGAAACTTAGGCATGATCCATGGATATTGGACAGAAACTTATTGGAAATCGACTATAACAAAAAATTGGGAAGCGGAGCATTTTGCAATGTGTTTATTGGTACCTTTTAATTTTTTTATAAAATAATCGAAAAAATTGAATAACTCAACTGGAATTTTTTATTAAGGTAAAATCAATGGTGAAGCTCCAGTCACACATATTTATCCTGGAGTGAGAACTCAGAATTTGGTAAATTGTTCCGTTGCTGTGAAAATGTTACCTTCATTTGCTGATGATATAGCAAGATCAGATTTTATGCAGGTTTCAGAATCAGCAATTACTGTTAAGCATGTTTTGTTCTAGGAAATCAATTTTATGAAAGCATTGGCCTATCATCCCCATTTAGTGTCGATGCTAGGTTTTGTGCACGATAAGAAATCACCGTATTTACTAGTCGAGCTCTGCGAGAAGGGTGATTTATTACATTTGATAAGGAGTCGGCGAGATGAAATTATTGAGGTGCAGCTTATCAGGCGCATCCAAATTGAGTGTTTATTGACAATGTTGCAGGGCCCAAGTGCGCACCCGGACGGTTTGAAGATCAAAGATCTGCTAATGTTTTCATGGCAAATAAGCAACGGATTGGTGATTAGTATATAGGTCTCAACAAGAAACAACTGGAATTCCAGGAATATTTGAATAGTATTGGATGCATTCACAGAGACATTGCAGCGCGTAATGTTCTTGTGGATAGCAGCAACACATGTAAAATTGGAGATTTCGGTCTTTGTCGATTGACAGATTCATTATTGTATACGGCAAGAGGTGGAAGGCTGCCATTAAAGTGGATGGCTCCAGAATCACTTGCCAGTTTTGAATACTCCTTCAAAAGCGACGTGTAAGTACATAGAAGCATCCACTTGATCTTCAATGTGATCTCAAATGTTGGTTTGACAATCTTCCAAAACTAACATCTCAGGTTGTTGAAAAATGATTGTTTGCCCATTCAAAAGCAATATATAGATATACTATATATGTAGTTACTCTTAAGCAATTCAAACAATGAGATTAATTTTCAGATGGTCGTACGGTGTTCTTCTATGGGAACTCTTTTCTCTTGGCGAAGTGCCTTATGCTGATATTCAGACTACTGATTTACTGACATATCACCGATCTGGTAAACGATTAGAAAAACCGACATATTGTCCGAACGAGATGTAGGAACTACTAGAGAATGTTTAACATATTTATAATTTAAGATATCAAATAATGACGTCTTGTTGCTTGCTGGAAACCAACGATCGACCTTCATTCCAGCACATTTGCTCACTTCTCGCCATGATGCTCGAATCAGCAACAGAGAATTATGGTTATCTCGTTCCGACGTCGAAAGCAGCTGCAGCGGCGACGGAACCATCATCAGCGGTTCGGGAAATGGACGAACAATGTGATGATGTGTAGAAAAATTTTGAAGCTTGTAAAAAAAGCAAACTGGAAACATACATATTCCGATTATTATCGTACGGGTTTTATTAAAAAAAAGTGGTTTTGATAAAACATGTGTATTCAAATGATATTATTTTGCAAGTTGTGTGAGTTTTTGTATGAAGAATAAATGTAATTGCTTTGAAACATCTCCAAATTCTATTTTGAGTTTTTTTATCTGCATCTTGAAAATATGCGCACTACATTCGATATATATATATATATTAAGTCCTAGGTAAATTCGATATTATTTTATTTTTCTATTCAGAAAATTCGTGATATGTTAGAAAGCAGTTAGAAAGCCATAATTTTTTGAAAAAATAATATTACCTTATCAAAATCTGTTTTTTGGAATGCCAATTTTTTCCGGACAGATTTCTTCCCATCAATGCATGCTGGATGCAAGTCTTTGGAATTATCTGTATTATAATATTATTATTATTATTATTATTATTATTATTATTATGTAAAGGACCAACTTGTGTTGTTTTTAAAAGCTCATTTTTTTGCTATCAAACATTTTACTCTAAGAAACAACTGAGAAACAAAAGCACATTTGAATGCATTCGTGTTCCCACACTCCCACAAACATGGATGCATGCTTTTTTTGTTGGGAATCACATTACAAGTCGCTATTCCAGATATGGATTGCGACGCAATCGTTATCCATAAACATATTTATTTTGTTGACAAGCATTTTGTTTATCAGGAATTCTTCTCGATTGTTCGCTTATTTATTTTGAATCATATTTAAAATCCTCATCAAAATCATTTCTTACAATGAATTGCCGCTTGTCTGTGAAGATGTGGAATGCAAGAAATTTCGTCATTTATGATCATAAAACAGTGCGCAATCAAGCATATTAAATCAATCTAAATGGGGAAAAGGTTGCTTATCAATTTTTTATAAGATTTGTTGATCTTTCCAACATCTTTCCAAGTTCTGTTGTTTGAAAAAATTTACAAAAATATACACTTTTGAATGTATATTACCTAAAAATGGGCAACCATCCCGGCCATTATTCAGTTTATAGTTAAAAATTGAAGAAAGTGGATCTCACATATTGACACATCCTGAATATCTGGTTTCTTCATATTTCAGTGTTTGTTTATTGAAAACGCAACCAATACACTTTGAATGATGTCGTCGCTCTTGAAAAAAAAAATATGCACTATACTATCCATGCACAGAATATTTGTTTTTGTTGACACCAATTGTATTGTTTTCATGGATGATGCATGAAATTACTTCCTATAGTTTTTTTTAACAATTGTTTTATTTTTACTTTATAGTTCGTTTTCTGAAAACCGTTTTTGCCTTTCAGAACATTAGTATCGTTGTAAATAATTTTAATTCTTATTTGACAAAAATGAAATAATGTGATATTTTTATATGATTTGTTAAACGATTTTTCAAATTTCTAAATGTTTTCTTTGAACTAACATATCATATATATTGCATATTATATAAAGGAGAATACATAAATGTATGTATTAGATTACTAGGCAACAAATTCCAAACAACCAAATCAGTATCAACAGAGGTATTTGTTTTTGACTATTTTCTTCGAATCTCGTTTAGAAGAACCAGAGCTCTGTCATTTCTCCGCTATCATAGTTATATAAATTTTATTGAAAATATATTCAGTCAATGAGATTTTTTAACGGGTGTCCTCTCCAAAATTTCTCATTTAACTATATAATATCATATTTAGAAAAGATTTCATACTGTTTTTCCTCATTTTTCATTCTGCATTATATATTTTATGTCTTCAATGCTAAAAAAAATATGTCAAGGATGACATTATAAGTATATACACTGTGAATAATAATAATAAAATAGCTACGCCCCAAATGATTTCAATGGAATTGAATTCTTGTGATTTTTTATGAATATTTCTCATCGGATTCATGTTCTTTATTGTATTGCGTTTACGTTTAATAATTATCAGTTGATTATTTTGTTTTTCAGCAATTAATGATCAGGTTGCTGCAAAATGCGTATGTAAAGAAATGTAAAAAGATAAAGGGAAGAAAGAAAAAAGACCAGCAGACAAACTTGATCCACAAGCATTTATCGTTCGCATTACCTTTTTTTTAGCATTATCACCATGTTTAAGCAGTCATTCAGACGTTCATATGATTTAATAAAAAAATCCATAAAATTGATGCGAAAACCGATGAAGCGACAAAATCCGCTTAGCCAATTTGTGGGGCAAATAATCATTGCGCTAAGTGGATTTTCCATGTTTAGCATTGTTGGCGAAAACCAAGAAGCTGCAAGCATTCCGTTCCCTCTCAGAAACGATTGCAACGTGCTCACTGATTTCTTATATCTTCTTCAAATCTACTATACCGGGTTGACAATAGATAAATAAAACTTCCACCTGCCTGCGCAATTCGTTTTTTTTTTTCAATTTTTTTTTGAGAACGCCAAACTTTATTTGCTCTTTCTCGAAGTTTTACTGTTCTTCATACTACAATGCCATCTAACTTGTGGTGCATGGCCGACAAGTATAAAAACAAACATACAATTTTTTCTCAAATGTGTACTTTCCTCCCGTTTCTTATATCCTTTCTCCTCCCCAAAATTGTTTGTTAGGCTACCATAGGTTCGTCTCTTTCCAACTAATTGTTCCAACAATGCCAAGCGAACTATTTTTCGCTCAAATTTGTTTATAATATTCAAAAATATAAACAAAGTTTTTTTTGTGGTGTCAAGTTTCTCTTTAAAAATCGTTGTAATTTTTCCCTCATCATTTCATTTTGTTTTCCTTGTGTCACACTCAGCGATTTTCTTCTTTCAGGAAATGATGAACAAAATATAAAAAAAGGGACACTTGAATCTGACCAAGGTCTCATCCATTGTATTGCACAAGGTTAAAACCATCATTTTGAAATTTTTTATCTATGAATTACCAGAAATAGTCAAATACCAGTTATAACTAAACCCTTTGTTGAGTAAAGAAATGTAGTACTTCTATACAAAGAAGTCGTCAAACATTATAACAAGGGTATAAATGACTATGTATTAATACCAGGTGTATAAGTAAATAGTTATAATGTTCATTTCGCGGAAGAAATGTTTCAATTAAATTATATATATTAATTGAGAACCGCTTTTACTTAATATATAGTCTAGCATGACATTTTCTGAGTTTGTTTTGTTTTTGAAATAAATAATATCATGTTTCGTGGCTATTTTATGTTCTGAACATAATCTTATTAAAAATGAAAGTGTCATTCCGAACATACCATCGTGAAGATGACAGTTCAAAAAGCGACTTATTTTTTGAATTTCTACTACTATCAGACTTCGCCTTCCAAATTTGGATGATTGTGTTAAAGTTATTATCTCGCACTTAGCATCTAAAATTAGTTAACGAACGTTGACAAATACTCTTATCGCAAATAACAGCGCTTGTTTGGAATGCATAAATAACGAAATCAGTAGAACTGATAAGCAACAACATTTCATTTTGTCCCAAGCTCTTTCATTTTTCGATTGCTAATTGAATAAAGCCGGCGGTCTCGAGAAACGATGATCAAATAAATCATGAGGCGCCTTGTTGATTCCCAAGACGACTCTAGAGCTTTATAATATGCGGCAGGTGGTTGCCAAGAATAATGACGGCCAGCCGGCCTCTTGATGTGCCCACAACTGTGTCACATCTACGTATTTGGATATGGCAGTAGCAGACCCCCGGGGGACCGCGTCCGCCCTGTTGAATTTCGATATTCTTTATTGCGTGTTCCGCAAAACAATAAGTGATTTTGTCATTTCGGCCGATGAAACGGCGTACTTGAGAGCGATGAAGAGCTATCCTGAAAAGGGGGCGAACGGGTGGCGATTTCTTTTCATCTCTTTTCGCATTGTCAAGTATTACTTAGACAAAACAGTCTCATTCCAAATTCGCCAGTTTCACATTCTTTTTCGTTATTATTAATAGAATTTATTACGCAATAACAGCGTGAAAATCGGTCTCGTTTCACTTGATTCCACTTTTCGATGTCAAATGCTACCGATTTTTAAGGTTATCTGTTCGCTTTTTCATTCATAGGTTAGATACCGTGGTGACATTTCGACAAAAATGTGGGTTTCTTCAATGAATCGTATTTCCTCTATGATTCGCCGACAACAATTTTTTTTATTATTAATTCTCGTTACAAGTTGAATCTTTTATTATTGTAGTTAGTATTGTTGAGTTTGGCTACCGTGTATTTGTTGACTTGTTTGGTGCCGTCGGCGGGACTCATCGAGTAGAAACGGTGGAAAGGCTCGCGTGAAATGCGCGAGAGCACTCGAGCAGTAGGCTGTATAGAGTTGTTCACGTGTTCCTATTCTTATTCTCCTCTTTTTCGAATACTTTAAATTGAAAATAACAAATTTATATACGATTGTGAGTCATTTCGCCACCAATCCATTTAAACGTGTTGTAAAGTGTTAGTCATCATTACGAGAAAAATGCGTTGCGTTTCCTCTTTCCTTATTTTATTCGTACAGTACTAACTCTCTGACCGAACTCATTTTTTTATTATCTTGATATTTGCCAAAGTTGATACGATGAAAAAAGGACAATAACCATAACAACAATTTATTTGTGTCTGTGTGGGGTGTTTGCCAATCAGATCGCGATGAATGAGGGTCTCAAACCACCGGTTTTTGCCTTATTTTTTTTTCTTTCATTCATCGGTCACCATCTCAGACAAAGTTCACAATGTGTTCCTCTCTGGCTTAGGTTTAAAGTGGAATAAACCTTCTTAAAGAACATTTTTTGTTCATATTTTCAAACATTCCAAAACTTTCTATTCCTACAACCTTGCGGATCAGAAATCGGCAAAGGTAATATTGGGACAACATTGCCTAGATGTATGTTCTACGGAAGTAGAGCAATCCAATTAACTCATCGCTGACTTCTGCCGCGTCTACAGTCTCGAAAACTTTCCATTTTTTTTCTGTCCGCTTTTCTTTATTTGGATACATTGATGAACTAATAAATCAGAAAAAATTGGAGTAAATGGAAAGGGAGAGAGAGAGAGAGAAATTGACCTTTCCCTTCATTCCCCATTAAATTTTTCGTTCTCTTCACCAAACAATCCTTTTCATAATCGTTTCAACAAATATTCAAAAATGGTCAAAATCCGGAAAAGCGAATGCATATACATTGGAAATATGCAAATATACGCGGGCCGATGTGGTCTCACGTGATTTTGTTTTTCAACAATTCGAAAAACTAAAATTGATTCGCCTGGAACTTCAATTTTTTGGACGTGATTTGAACATTGTCACGCTCCGCTCATCAATTAGCAAATACTATAGTAATCAGTTTCACTCGAATAGTGTATCTTCTTTTTTTTGTATTTTAACCAAATAACATCTATCGACTTGAATTTTTGTATTTTTGACAACTTTTCTTTTTATTCGGATTATACTTATTTTTGAAATTGAATTATATTTTTTTCAGAAAACCGACTATGCCTGAATCGCCACCACCATCCTACAGCCCACGTCGACCACCACCACCATATGAAGCCGATAATTTGAAAAACGAGCGAATGGTTTGATTTTCTCATAATTCATAATATCTTTTCAAGAAAATTTCAAGAAAATTTGATTTAGAATTGACGCAATGACGAATTTCGCGTGTCTCATGAAAATTTCGTATAAAAAATTGTTGTGGTTTAATTAGCAAAATCAGCGCATGACAAGCATCTATCGAATTATTGCAAAAATTACATTAGCTTAACGTAATTTAAGCTCAGATTTATTGTAAAATAGGTTGTATTATGTTGATTTGATAATTTCCCTTTCATATTAACATTCAATATTAACTGATAGTTGATCACAAAACATTCACCAGATTATATCGTAAACGAATTTTGAGATCCAGTAAACAATTCATGCTAACTATCTTGTTTTATAATGCTCAAGCTACTCAAGAACAAAAAAAGCCGTACAACTTGTAAAGTTCTCATGTAAACCACGTTCCTATATGGGTATCATAAAAATTGCCCAATAAATATTTGTAAACGTTGAATACAAATACACCAAATCTTAAAAATGACACCAAATCATGTTTACATCAAGTGAGTCTGATTCCTTTTTTAGATTGCAAAATATGAAACGTGATGTGCGTTTGTTGTTGCTGTTCATTCACGCACTGTAAATCGTTCAGCAAACGTATAGATCGTTGTTGAAAATATTTAAACATATAAGCACATAGAATCTCTAGAGAAAATGCAAATTAATGAGCAATCTTCTTCTCGATTCAGTCATGTGGCGAAGTAATTACTTTTCTTGCGAGTAATTTCAATCTCTTTTTCGGCACGGACATATATACTTAAGTATACATATTTCCATTTTTTTCTTCATGAGAAAAAAAAAACGGCGCCGTTTCCTGATTAAATGGGTTGCTTTAAATTCAACAAAAATTATAAGTATATAAATGAATTTTCGCTGTCATGTGTACATGTGCTTTTGAACATTTTCTCAACATGCTTATTGCCCCAACCCATTCATAATAATGGGAATTTTCTATTTTTCCAAATAAACGATGACATGTATTTTTATTCAGGAAAGCGGCATGGCTGAACATCACTACAAGGTCTCACCGCCGCCATTTGTCCCGTTATCCTCGCCGACAGCCATCGATGTCAATCAGCTTCAGGTTTGAGGCCTATTAGATGACTCACCAAAAGATGGCTGTAATTACAGGCGGTTATAACAAACTCGAGCAGCCAGGCGCCGACGATTGTAATTGCCGAAAGCGTAAAACCAGCTCCGTCGTTCGCCAGCTATGAAACGCATTGTCCGAAATGCGCGGTGAGTAATGCATTAAACGGGAAACAAGCTTATGTCTGCGAGAGAAGTCATTGAGAAAATTGCCGGGGTTACGCAAATTGCACACAGTTCAACGTCATGATTTTTGAAGTGATTCTCAAAAAATGTATTGAACTAAATCTAAGTGACGTCTACTCATCGATGTATTTATATCATATATAATTCTCAATTTTCAGAGAACCGTTTACACTGTACCAAAATTTGTGACTGGAACACTTACTTGGATAATTTTTGTTTTGATTGTCATTTGCTTCTTTCCGCTTGCTTTCACCCCATTTTGCATTGACTCATGTAAAGACGCCGAGCATTACTGTCCACGTTGTAACACTCTACTTGGCATCAGAAAGAGAATCTTCTAAATTGTTTCAAAAATGTTCCATATGTATTGTTCAAACTGGTATCCATTTTCAAAATTTGTGTGAAAATTGCATTGCAAAATTTTGCAAACTGTCGACAGATCAATTCCAACTAAACTCAACTGACTATCCTTCTCTCGAGTTGTGCAAGTGATTTCTGTCAGGTCAGGGTTCTCCAAATGAAAATTTCCTCGAGCCAATCTTCCACCATAACTGTTATGTACTCGTATGTATTTGAAATAGTTATTCTGTGTTATCCACCTCTTCATTATAGTGACAGAATTACATGATTTATTTAAATTTATTGTGAAATGAATGAATAAAAAAATGCATAAAAGGAAACAAAGAAACTGAGAAACAATTAAAGGCTGTAAGACACGTAATGGTACACTGAGAATAGCAGTAACAATTATTGGCTGGGGAGAAAATTTAAAGAAAAGCGAAGCAGGATTCAATAAGTGCTTGGATTTGTGGGCATGATGCTTCTGGGAAGTATCTAAAATAATGCAAAATAGCTATTTGGTTTAAATAAGACTATACAAACCTTTTAGCCATTTCACAATTTTTCTGCACCCAATCCGAAGGATCTGTGATGTTGAATACTCTCGTAAATTTATTGATTGCCGCGCACTAAATTTTTTATAGATTTTGAATTTTCAAACGTTAAATGTACCTGAGCCGGTCTTAATCTGTAGCGAACAACTGGAGTCTCAGTGGTGGTTGTGATGGAAGCAAATTCAAGTTCTGCTTGCTTTTCAGCATTCACACGCTTTCGTTCCTATAAAAACAATTGCTAATTGTGATTCTCATGGAGGAATCCTAATCACCTCTTCTAAAAGTTTCTCTTGCTCTAGAAGAACTCTTTGTCGTTCTTCCGCCTCCTTCAGCTCTTCCAATTGTTTTAGCATCTGTAAACAGAACACCTGAAAATCCTTTCTCATGATTTGTTTTTACTTGATTTCTTCGCTCGATCATTTCCGCCTTTGCTCGCTCTGTGAGCTCTTTCTCATGCATAGCCTGAATTCTGAGCTCCTCTTCTCTTGCGTGCTTCGCCTGCTCCATGCGAATCCTTTGTTCGCGAAGTCTCTTTTCGAATTCATCTTCTTTGGCCATTTCGATGTTCGGTTGCGTTCGACGAACCTCATTCGTTGCTGGAATGAAGTTCAAAATGTTGCGATCAGCTCCATTGGCGACGTTCACCGTAGGTGTAATCCTAAATACTATACATAAAACTCATTAATATATTAATTGCTCACATTGGCATTTCAGTTGTCGGACGAGTGAATGCGTTTTGCGCTGTGCCAAGTAACCCAGTGATCAATAATGCCAGGGCATCCGGTTTTGAAACATCCGATTGAGCTTCAATATTCTTCGTCTTGTTGATCTTTTGTAATAACTCTAGTGTATCTACTGTGGTTTCTAAACAGTTTAGAAAAAATTATGATTGTTCATATCAAAATTACCATCTTCTGGAGCGGCAGTCACAAATCCTTCATTAACGTCTTCTTTTTCTTCTTCAGTTGTTGTCGTTTCTGTGGTAGTTGTGGGCACCGTGGTGGACTCCGTCGTAGTAGTAGCGGTAGTCTTCTTTTTTTTCGGAACAAAATCTCTGCGAGATGAATCCGTTGGAATATTCTCCGCGGTGGTGCTTTTTTCGGTAGTATTTTCTGCTTCCGTCACAAACGCATCACCTTCTGTTGTCGTTTCGTCATTTTCAACTTGTTCGCTCGTCGTGATATCTGCTTCAGAACTACTTTGCGTCAATTTTTCTTCAGCAGTTGTAGTTGTCTCTTCTTTGGATGTAGCTCGAGTTGTTGAGGAGTTTACAGAATCTTCACTAGATGACATAGTTTCAGATTCAGAATTTTTAGCATTTGTGGTGAGTTCTGTTGCCCTAGATGTAGTTGTCTCAACATCACTGCTCGTGTGTTCTTCTTCATTGCTAGAAGTTGCGACAATTATTGTTGTTGTTGTCGTTTGCTCATCAGAGGATGTATCTGGAATAGTTGTATTCGATGCATCAATATTAGCCATTTTTGTTAACTCCGTACTTGAGTTAGTTGAGTCATTGGCAGACGATTCCACATTCTTTTCCGCAGTCGTTGGTTCTGTTTCCGCTTGTGTTGTCGTGGTGGAAGTTTCTATATCCTGAGGCGACTCGGAATCAGTCACTGGATTGCTGGGAGTTGTTACTTCTTGAATGGTTTCTTTCGTAGATGTTGAAGTAGTAAAAATCGCTTCTTTTGCCTTCTTCTCATTCATCTTACGTTTTTGTTCTTTGAGAAGTTCCAACTTCTTCTTCAACTTAGATACAATGTTCTTCCATCTGAAATGTTCAAATTGCAACAGATGATATCTTAGTTTAAGCTAACCTCTCTGGAAGAACTTTAGTTGTAGAAGTTTCAATAAATGTCGAATTTGGAAATTCCAGTGTTGTCGTTTCAATAGATGTTCCTGAAATATTATACTATTATGATTTGTTTGCTATTTAATGATACCGCTTGATTCTATTGCGTGTTCCTCGTCTACTTTAGTTGTCGTTTCAAAGCTATCAATTGAAAAATCAGTCGTAGTGAGTTTATTTTCTTTTTCAGAAGTCTTTTCTGTAGAGGATACTGTTGGTGATTCTGTAACATCCTTCTCCAACGCAGTCTTTTTCTCAGATGTTTTTGTATCCAAGGCATCTGAATCGATAGTCTTAGCTTCCGTAGATGATACGGCCTCTGTTGTAACACCAGCTTCAGTAATTGTTTCAACATTCTTTGCTGGCTCATTCTCACCTGTGGTGGTTACCACTGCTTGGGTGGTTGTTTCAAGTATGGCGGAAGTTTCAATTTTTGTAGTTGCCGCTGCACTTATGGTAGTCACAGATTCGGTAGTGGTCTCAGGTTCAGTAGAAGATTTAGCTTCAGTAGTTTTCTCTGCTTGGGTAGTAGTCTCTACTGGGGTAGTAGTCTCAGCATCCGTGGTAGTCTCAGCATCCGTGGTAGTCTCAGCTTCGGTCGTAGTCACATATTCGGTGGAAGTTTTAGCTTTGATAGTTGTCTCAGTTCGGGTATTAGTTGCAGCATCCGTGGTAGTCTTAGCATCTGTGGTAGTCTCAGCATCTGTGGTAGTCTCAGAATCCGTGGTAGTCTCAGCATCCGTGGTAGTCTCAGAATCCGTGGTAGTCTTAGCATCTGTGGTAGTCTCAGAATCCGTGGTAGTCTTAGCATCTGTGGTAGTCTCAGAATCTGTGGTAGTCTGAGCATCCGTGGTAGTCTCAGCATCCGTGGTAGTCTCAGCATCCGTGGTAGTCTCAGCATCCGTGGTAGTCTCAGCATCCGTGGTAGTCTCAGAATCCGTGGTAGTCTTAGCATCTGTGGTAGTCTCAGAATCTGTGGTAGTCTTAGCATCTGTGGTAGTCTCAGAATCCGTGGTAGTCTTAGCATCTGTGGTAGTCTCAGAATCCGTGGTAGTCTTAGCATCTGTGGTAGTCTCAGAATCTGTGGTAGTCTGAGCATCCGTGGTAGTCTCAGCATCCGTGGTAGTCTCAGCATTGGTGGTAGTCTCAGCATCCGTGGTAGTCTCAGCATCCGTGGTAGTCTCAGAATCCGTGGTAGTCTTAGCATCTGTGGTAGTCTCTGCTTTTGTCGTAGTTTCAGATTCTGTCGTTGTCTTAGCTTTTGTCGTAGTCTCAGCTTCAGTCGTCGTCTCAGCTTCTGTCGTAGAAACAGCATCAGTCGTCGTCTTAGCTTCTGTCGTATTTTCAACTTCTGTCGTAGTCTCCGCTTTGGTAGTTTCGTCTGCTTTTGCAGTAGTTTCAGCTTCCGGGTTAAGCTTCGCTTCGGTAACTTCCTCTGTTTGGACAGTAGTCTCAGGGTTGGTAGTTGTCTTTGCTTCTATGGTAGTCTCGGCTTCGGGAGTTGTTTCGGTAACATGCGAAACTTTAATTTCTGTGGTTGACACACCCTCAGTAGTAGTTGTTGCGGTCGAGTCTTGGGCTAATGAAGTTGTTTCGACTTTTGTCGCCGTTGTGACTATTTTTTTCGTCGCTTTGTCGTCGATGGAAAATTCCGTGGTTGCGTTGTTTTCAGTAAGTTTTTCTTCAGTAGTAATGCTGGTTCCGGCCGTTGTTCCTTCAACATCTGTAGTCGTTTGAGCGGCTGCGGTCGTCATTGTTGCTTTTTTTGGAGGCGGCGATTTCGTTGTTGCATTTTCGGTTTCTGTAGCTAATGTTATATCCGTCGTACTTCCTTTGTTGGCTTCAGTAGTGGTTGCGGCATTTGTGGTCGAATCATGAGTAGTTTTGTTAACTGGTTTAGCAATATATGTTGTTTTATCTTTCTTTCCGGTTGTTAACTTCTCTTTACCAATTGTAACTTTTGTAGTAGTGGCAGTAGATTCTGTAGTCGACTTCAGAGACTCCTCATTATTGTCCGAAACATTTTTCGGTGCAACTTCGGTAGTTGTCTTTGTGACTGCAGTCTTAGTGGTTGATTTTGGATTACTCCAACTTTTTTTTGTAGTTGTCTTCTCGTCTTTATCCAACATTTCCGAATCAATCTTATCTTCCGTTTGTGGAGTTGCTGATTCAACAATGGTGGAACTTTCCGCAGAAATTGTTGTGGAAGCTTCTGTAATTGCAGTGGTAGTTGAGCTTTCAGTGGTGGATTCAGTTGGCTGTTTAACAGTAGTTGTGACCACAATTTCTTCCGGTTCTACGGTGGATGTGATCGGGATTTCTTCTGTAGTGGGTTTTGATAGTATCGTTGTTTTCCTTGTGGCTTCAATTGTAGTCGTAGTGGCCTCAGGTGCCGTGGTCATGGCTTCGGTAGTTGTTGGCGTAGTTGTTGGAGCTGTGGTATTGTCTGTGGCAGTAGTGATTGTATCAGTAGATGTGGTTTCTTCCGCGATGGTAGCTGGCTCATCAGATGTGGTAGTACTACCAGTTGTTGTTGTAATAGATTCGGTGGTGATTGAAGACTCTTCAAAGTCTGTAGTTGTGGCAGTATAATCTTTCATTTCTGTGGTTGCCTCATCAATGGAAAACTCCGACTTTGGCGACTTTGTGATCATTTTTTCTGAAACCGCTTCAATTTCTTGGAACAGAGAGGATCCTGATGGATTTGGATCAACGCTTGGTCCTTGATCGACGTTGTCGTTATTGATTGGAGAAGCCGTTGTAACCCGATCAAAAGGATTGCTTGGAACGTCAGGAACGCATTTACATGAGCATGTGCATACGTTATTTTTGATATGCTTTACAACTTTGAATTCTGCAATTTTGAAGGTGAGAATAAATCGATGCAATTAACAACTTCTACCTTTCGAGCCATTTGCATATATCGTCTTACTTAATATACTGCTTGACCACGCATAGTTCACGCAAAGTAGCAATAGTATTAGTAATATTCCATGACGCATCTGAATAATGCGGAAATGAAACGAAAATCGCAAGTGGCAAAAATAGGAAAACAGAAGATGCATAAAGATAAAATCTCAGAGTTTTCAATTTCAAGGTAAAAGAATCGCATCGTTTTCGATGAAAAAAAAAAGAATGTTCTTCTACCTCCTGCTGATATTTGACATCATTAAGACTTGACTCGGAATTAATAATACAAAAATGTTAGAAGGAATCGAAAATGCGAGAACGACGTCTCATGATGAACCCGAAATTCGGAATGCACAGCCTCCCGTTTGAGATGTGTGCTAAAATGATAAGAAGAGAATTCAGTTGGGCGGAAGGTCGATGTGTTCAAAGTAGGTCAGTGCCAACGGAGTGTGATTTGAGAGATGGTGCTCTCAAATTCCTTTTTCTCGTTGATAAACTGCGAGACGACATCTTGCGATTCATCAAGGTCTTTGCGATTAGCTAACTGACTAGTACCTACCTTTGTCTCTGCGGCACTGAAAAGAACTGACCGGTACGAGAAAATGACTTGTTGGGAAATCCGATCAACTAATGATAATGTTTCATGACAAACACTTGTGCAACAACGATTATTCAATTAGAAAATCGTCCACCAAAGGAATCAATGGAATTCCGACGAGTCAAGCAGATATTATTCATATTTTTCAGAGGAATTGGTTATTTGCAATGAAGTGCGAATTTTTCAAAATATTTACACTAAAGCAATTATCACTTCCTAATTCAAAATATTGTTTAAGGAATGTAATTTTGAATGGACCAATATTTTTTGAAAATATTTTAAAGACGGAAGACGGTAGAATATTAGTGATCCACATCATCTTCAGAGTTTCCCGCAATATAAATATGATGCAGTTCGCTGTCCTTGATCCCAATATTTTTTCTAGATGTTATTCAACCGTGATTCTCTTATGAAAAGCAATTTAATCGTAACAGAGCTGTTCACAACATTTTTTTTCATCTCCTTCAGATATTCATCGCAATTGTCGTCAACCTCGATGTGCGGTTGTCCGATATAATTTATCGTCGTTTTTTTTTCTTGTTTGGTGTCATGTCGACCTTGTGTGAGCCTTTATTAACATTTTCTAATCGTCATTTCGATGGAAGAATGAAGAGATATTTGTATTTGATATAACAGGTGGCATCATGATGGATTAAACGGGAAACCCATATAAATCCTCTTATTTAACGTGTAGTATTGTTCAATTTGTACAGTTAGGACAGTTACTATTCAATCAATCTCATGAATTTCTATATTATTCTATTAATTCTTTCTTTTATTAAACATGCAATTAGTGAAGCGAATGGTTAAATAGCTTTTTCATAATTTTCCCCAATGATATTTTTTTCAGAACTTCATGATGAGAGCATCCATGACGACAACGATATGTATGAAGAGCATATGTATTCCGAAAAAAATAATGCATTCGACGAATATATGTGTAAATGTGAAATGTATTTCCCATTGTTTTGATTCCAAATAATTCAGCACCCGATGCAATTCGCGGGCACATCAAGGACATTGTTCGTGGTATTTCTGATAAGTCCTTCGAGGTTTGTTGTTTTCAAATTTAGTGCGGCCCGGCCCCATCCGCTTTGCGCTAGAAATACACTCACTTTTTTTTTCAATATCTAGTTGACTGATAAAAACGAAGACGGATATTTGGATGAAGATGAGATTGAAGAGTACATTAACACGAAAATGGGATACTCGATATTGGTAGATGATATTTCAAAATAACCTTCACATACTTCTTGTTGCAGGTTTCACCGAAATTGGTTGTGAAACATTATGATAGCGACGAAAATGGTAAATTGGATAAAGAAGGTAAGAAGGGACTTGAAATGATCAGTGTATTAGACTGACTGGGAGTTTAAAAATCAGTCTTATTACAAATGTATTTCAAGAACTGAAAATGGCAATATTTGTTTACAAAACCTACTCAGCATCGAAAAATATGTTGAAACTGGCTTGAACTAATTCAAAATCAGCGTTTCCATCTAGTGGCCAAAAATACCACTTATTATTCCAACGAAACATTATTCCTACAATTTTCTTCACTGTCCCTATTTCTAAATTTATCATTGTCTTAGAAGTGTGGCGGATAGTCGAGACCAAGGATCCCGATTATTTCAAAATTCTTCCCGAGGTTATGGAACAAAACATGCTTTTGCTTCACGGTGGAGTCCAAGAAGATCATCTTGAGCAGAGTCCTGTTGTGAGTGAGGATGGCGTCGTAATTCGCTATTAGATCTGAGCATTTCATTTTTCTTCAGGTTATGACCAGAAATAAATTTATTTTTCTTTTAATTATAGTTTTGAAAAATGAAAATAAGAAATAAAACGACAGAGCAACAAATAAATGACTAGATTGGTTGAACCAGACTGTTTGAAGTTACAAAGGACAATATCTAAAACATGCTACGGTGGTACTATTTTGAAGGAACATATTAAACTGTGGGAAATGTTAATAATTGAGGAAATGAAGTTAACATGATGAAAAAATAGACATGAGTAATGGATTACAATAATTCTTTAGTAAATTGAATAACCTCGTTCATCATTTCTAAACGATATTCGCTATTTGGCATATTAAACAAACCATGAAAAGCTCGCGGAAAATGCTTCCATTCTGTTTTCACACCAGATTCTTTCAATTTTTGCGCATACTGGATACCCTCATCTCTACAATTTATAATCAAATAATCCTCATAATTCTGAAATGGGGTTTAACAAACTGAAACAAATTATACCTTAAAATATCATATCCAGCAGTCAAAACAAGGGTTGTTGGCAAATCAGATGTAATTCCAAACAATGGGCTGATTTCAGGATTTGTTGCTACTTTCATGAACTTTTCCGCTAGTTCTTTGTCAATCTTAAATATTTAATTATTTTTTTTCTAAATTTGCTCCATTTTTACTGGTTTTCGATTTCTGATTGAATGATTCTCTTTGAATTCGTTTGGTAGGTTCTCATAGTGAATTAGATTTTGAAACTCGGTCGACGACTCCAGCTCTCTTTAATTTTGAACTTTTCAAACCACTCATTCTGAAAAATTTCTAACTCAGCCAAATGTTGCGAATTCATCAGCTTTTTAATGTTTTCTTTAGTAGCCGGAATTCCCAAATAAAGAAGGCACCATCGTGCCATGTGTTTGGGATTCAACAAGGCAGTTCCAGCATATCTATAATCAAATGTTAAAAAATTCTGAATTAACTGATATCAATCTACTTTTTCCAATATTCCTGGTATGAAGGCGAATGGAAGTTAAACATATGGGTGACTGGATAAATGAGGACTTGCGCCTAAAATAAAAAAAAAATAATATTTTGAATTATAATTTTTATACTTTGATGAATTGTTCATTATTCTGGATTAGTCTGTAACACAACGCAGCGGTAAGATTTCCTCCAGCACTGTCTCCTGCGAGGATAATCTTTGATTTATCATATTTCAAATGATCGCATCTAAAAAAATCATGTTTTTTTTTAATTCGCATTGGTTTACCCAGAGTAATGCAATTCCTTGAGAACAGCTTCACAATCATCTAATCCTGCTGGATACTGATATTCCGGTGCCAATCGATAATCGATTGAAACGGCGGGAATACCCATTCGCTCTACGAGTTGGTAGAGAATTCCATGGTAATATTCTAAACTAAATTTGGTATCAAAAAAATTCTGAGAGAGTTATTACTTGTGCTTCCTGTGCACCATCCACCACCGTGAATGAAAACAAATAATCCGTCAGACTTTCTTTTATCAATATCATATGCTGTGCAATCAACACCGCCGATTTTACAACATTTTTGCTAAAAATTATTCTATAATTGAAAGGATTGCTTGTGATAGGATATGATGTACCGTAATTCCTTTAGGTGGTTTCTGTGGAATTGCGTAAGCGATAGAAATAATTATTCGTGTAAGATTATTTCTGGCAACAGGTCCTAATAGATTTTCAATTAAATCACCCTAAAATTATTTATACCCTTTTAGTAACAAAGTGTATTACCAAGTATTCATTGGACATTCTTAATAAAAATTCTGCAATTGCCAGTTTGGAGCGGTCGGATATGTCATGAGGCAGCGGAATATGCAACAGAAAGAATGAGGCGGCAAAGAAAATGAAAATAAGAAGCCAATATATCCATTCGGACAGCATTGCACCTACAAAAATATGCATAAAATTCAACAAACAAAACGACAAGTTAATTGGAAATATTAGTATCAGCACATTGAGTTGATACGTTATCAGTGTTCAACATAGTTGAACAAATATAAATATTCATATGCAGATCATACAATACATGTAAAACACGAAACGTCTAGATTACATCTCCGAAACAACCTCGATTCAAAATAACTATCTAAGAAAATTAGAACATGTACGACTGGTGATTGAAATCTTGAAATAATTTCACGGATCTCTATTATGCATGACACCACGATAATTATGCATAAATGGATAGGTTTCGTGGTGAATTCAACGAATTGTGTGAAGCATGAGAATTTAACTCACTTATAAACTGTCGATCTTCGCTTCCTAGAAGAAACTTTAAAGGGACACCCGGGTTTACATGGTTTCGAGACGAATTTGAAATTGCTTTTGATTGCCAAATGTATTTCGTTACTCACGCGGAACGATTGTCTTTCATTCGATTTCAATGGTCGACCTACTTTTCAACTCGTCGTTGTATTCATCAAAATAAATTCTATGCATTTCTTTTAGTCCCTTCATAATTAGCATAAAGTGTAAAGTGCTAGCAAATCGATTATCTTTTTCAATAGCACTCCTGTTCATAGAAAATTTCACAAACGGTTACATTTGTAAATTGCCATTTATGGAGGAGGATTCGATGATTGTTCCGATGATTCACAATGCAATTCAAACGTCGAGAACAATTAAATATTTTAGTTGGGGAGGTGACTGTGTTTTATATTGGTATTATATATCGAAACTCCGTTGGCTAGAAATGTATACTAAAAAATATATAATACTGGTTTTATCCCAAAAAAATTGATTTTGTCAAACTCATTTATTTCATATTTTAATTACATGAATAATTATAAAATAATACGAAAAAACACATTGAACTATGCTGGATGCTAGGTAAATCATGTGAAAGTTATAACTATTATTATGAAAAAAAAAACAAAAAAAAATAAAAAATATTATACTTGTGACGGATGGTCACTAGAATTTTAATTTTCTTTTTCAGAAAGTGATTTTTAAGTTTATTTCATTTTGCGACAGAATTCTATCCGTTATCATGAATATTTTTGAATGAATTAGGATGCTACATTGGCTACAATTTATACGTAACAAATGATAATTTCACGCTAGAATGTTGTAAAAATGAGATTCGAAACTATTACATTATATGGAAAATTAGCATGTGCACAGCACAAGCAAATTTGAAAAAAAAATTATAGTACTTGTTGAAATTCTGTTTAAAAAATTGTCTTGAAAATGAAAAGTTGTATTTTATATTTTGTGCAAGTCGTTCTGAATTAGACATTTGTTGTTATGGTAACGCATAGAAAAAACTCAATTTGAAATAATTGCGTACAATGAAATCTCATATTCATATAATAATGAAAAATTATGTAAAAAAGTATAGTAGAAGCGTTTTGAAATTCATAACATTCCTATGAGGTTACAAAATGGAAATCATATTAAGATAAAATCGGTGAGTTTTTTCGGTGCGTTCGGTAGTGCGATAAATTCCTCCGCTCTATTTTTGAAAAGAAAAACAAATTGAACTAATCAAACAAATGAACTCAAATTAAGAAAAAAATCTGTGTAGGTACAGGTAGGGCTTAAAGATTCAATAGAGACACTGTTAAATGTAATGTTGTCGAAGAAGCGCAGGCTTGATCCGTCGCAAGCCGGTTATCGCGATCGCAATTTTTTCGGCTTGCGTCACTGCCATTCTGTCATATATTTGCAAATTTTTGACTACTGTTGCCGCTGCGAAGAATTCACTTTAAAACATCAAGCCAAAAAAAGCGCAGAGTGAGCAGATAATAACGGGATTCGGCGTTCGTTATCTTTGGCGTAGGATCCAAGGTTGGTTTGCAAGATAATGAAGGCAATGAAGAAGATTTTGATAAGAAACACGCAGGAAAGTGGAAAAGAGGGAATTCAGAATTATGAATGCCCCACTTTCGTCGATGTCATTTTTTAAATACTGCCAACTGTTATCATGTACGCTCTCAAAATTGTGCAGATCTAAAACAGGTTATCCAGCCATATTTCCATCATAAAGATTAGTTGGAAAACAATAATTGACATATCAAATTGAAAACATATAACAATGAACTTTTGTCAAAAAAATAGGCAATTAATCTTTACCCAAATATTGTCGACGTCAAACGATTGAAGTGAGGTGGGGTCTTAAAATTCGCGAAATCAGTGTAGATTTAAATTTAAGTTGACTGAATATTAAATGCGCCTACGTTAATAATAACTCGCGTGCTTATCGCATGGCACATAATATTTTTTTAATTCCAGTTGTTTGACAGTTGGCCTCTGAACAATATAATTGACAATTACAAGTTGAACAATATTATATAAGTATGGAGAGCAACGGAACTAAGTATTGCAGATCGTTAATTATCGTCGGTCTTTCGTCGAAGGCGTTGCTGCTTAACATGGTGAGCAATTGCCATAAATAACAATTCAACACCAAGGCAGACGAATTCGCAGCAGGTCATTACAGAGACGCCAGACCACAATCCTAAGTGACCACCAAAATCGGCCATCATTTTCACAATCTAAAAATAATTATTAGTAGTAAATTTTAAAAAAAATTACAATTGCTGATTTAACTTCAAAGCTATATCTGTCAAGAGAAATGCAAATTAATTGTCTTACACCATATGCTTCGGATTCAGAAAGAACTTCAAAATTTAGGGCTTCATAAAACACTTCGAGCATAGCCGCATTTTCCCTTAAAAATTTATTTTCACGTATCGTTATTGTTTTCATTCATTCCTACTGGTATTCTTCATTGCATTCCTCCGCTGGCTTTTCGCAATTTCCCAGAGTGATGTTCAATGCTTGCGACGGCCAAATTGCTTCCGAATACGAGATCGTATAGATTGTTTGGTTGCATGGCTGCTGGCATCTGCATTTGAACGAGCCATGAATTTCGCCAATTGCATGCGTGTGCTGTTCGAGACATTCACCTGGAAAATATTTTGTCTTCGACGACCTTGTTGGTTGAATACTAATTATACAGGAATTTAAAACGCGCTACGTCTATTTCCTGACCTTTTGCGAAAAGATTCGAGATTAGACAACAAGAATTTTGTAAAAACAAACTAATTGGCCAAGAGTTTTTGTTCCCACCACTTAAATCAGAATTAGGTCAAATCATGTCAGATGTTAAAAAAGAAGCTTAAAAATTAACATACTGAAAAAAATAATAACGAAAGTCGTACATTTCGCCATACAAAATTTATGAAACTATTTTAAATGAATTATTTAGCCACAAATATTTTTTTTTTTTTTAACTTGTAAATCTATATTAAAATGCCCACTGTATGTTCTTAATTCGAATCAACATGAAACATGATGCCAATGAAATTGGTCACGTTCGGATCATCCAAAAGTGCATACTTTTTAGGTCAGAAATGTCCATCGAAATCATTAAAAGATCGAATGCCGATCTTTTCGACAGTTTGGAATTTGGAAAAAACTCACGATGTGCTTTATTGAATACTTGACAAGGTTGCGCATTTCCAATTGTTGGAAACCTGGGATCACTACATCCACAGCGGTCAATTATTAAATGTTGGAAACATGTCCTATAGCAACCCTGGAAAAGAAAACAGCGAAATTACCACAATTGTGAATGCTATCGCATACTTCTGTCGAAAATGCAAACCCTTTGTAAATGTAATTCGAAGTGGCCCCATTTTCAACACAATCTCCATAAGGTGCTGGAAGACGACTCATCTTCTTCTAAATAATTATGTTTTCAATATCAAGTAATTTTTGATTGAGACCATTCTCATTCCAAATGATGATATATATCCAGTTGGTGCTGAATATCCAAATGTGTCCTAAAACAGCTCAAAAATAATATTTTCTCTGAATTATCCCGTACAGGGAATGGGAATTCTTCTTGATCATGAATTGTTAATCGGACACCGACGGCTTCAGATGTAGGTAAATAATCGCTCGCGTTGACGAAAAGCATTACACGAAGTCCTTTCACAGATAATTGTTATTATTTTATTCTTTGATTGTAGCATTACCATACATGGGTCCAGCACGAATGCTACTTTTAATAATTTTTCGGTCATAATTAAAAATGAAGCAATTGCCGAATGTTGGGTCTGCAACTAATGAGAAGTCCCTGAACGCAACAATAAATTATTGACCCTTTCTTCTAATTTTCTGTACTTATCAATATCACAAGGTTTTCCGTTGAAGGAGCACTTTTGGATCAAGTTATGCTTAGCTTGTGACATGAGAATTCTCTGCTCCTCGCTTAAAGCGCTCATGGCGAATATGATATTTTCCTTGGCCTTTGTGACAATCGCGACTTCATCAGTCATATTCTGCAAACAATAATTTTGCAAGATATAAAAATGCATTTTTACCCCAAAACCAAGAGCTTCCGTTTCCTCTTGGGTAACATCGGCAAACGTTTCTTGCCTTCCGAAATATTCCCAAAGATTCAATAATGATGAAACCTAGAAAAGATATTATGAAATTTTTACCAGCCGATTTCCTCTCACATGTTCATGTTTGATGCAAAATTGCCCTTTGCTTTCACATATACATGGCTCTTTTTTAATTTGTGATCGCTTCGTACCTTGAAATGAAACATTAAATGTGACTAGGTGACTATCAATCCAGAGGAACCTTTCTTCGCTTTCTTGCTACATAGAAAATGTTCGTCACATGATTGGCATGTTGTATTCTGCCAATGTTGCTAAAAACTTTGTTGATCATTGAATTGCGGAGAGAAGGTTGAAAATTACTCGAAGATGACATGGCCAAGCATCATTTGTTTGTCGGTCAAATGCGCAGATGCAATAATCATTGTTGCCACTGGGAATCTGAAAAATGAACTAATTTCTAAATTTTCTTTTTTTTCGTTTCTGAAAGCCAGTCCCTTGAGTTAATTTTTTTTTCGCAAACAACACCCCCCGAAAATCCATCTTATCCGAAGTGTCTGAAAGATTTAGTGATATGTTTAATCATATAAAACTACATATTTATTTTTGTTCAGAAAATCCTGTTATTTAAAAAATGTCAATGATATTACAGTCCTAAAATGCAAAAAAAGATATACTTAATCGGATTTATCTTAATTTTCTCATCAGCCGTATTAGCTCTAATCTGCGGCATTATGGCTCGTCGTTAGCAGAGTTGTATGTAGTTTAGGCTTGCAATAAATTTGGCTAATGCTTACTTCCGTGGATCTTTCTTCACACTCGTCAGAACCGCCATCTTCTTCACATGAGCACGCGGAATTTGCCTGCAACCGTGGTAGTACTTTGGAGTGGATATTGGGGTGAAAATTGGTTAAAGTGTTACTGGTTCAAAAGTTCCTTTTTCACCGACACCGCGTTTTTTACGCTTCGCTTGAAGTGTGATATCATCAAGTTCAATATCAGGATCAACTCTGGCTGCATTTCCACCTCCGGCTTTAGTCATAACACTTTTGAAAACACCAAGCTGAATTAATCGAGTTAATCTTGTGGTCTTATTGATATTTTATTCTCACAATTTTACTGATGCTTTCGTGAGATCGTATAACGCTATCCTTATAAGGATTGAGATTGCAAAGTGTGATTGCCGGAAATGGTGCTAAAAAATAGCATTCATTACAAAAAAGTTCAAACAATTTTTCACCGGTATCAAATATCAATTGAATGTCGGTGATTTTATCCATTCGATTGTATTTCTGGATAACAGCGACAGCCTGATTAATAAACTGAGTAGCACAAATCATCAACAAAATAACCCATGCGGTTCTGTTATAAATGAAAACTATTAATGAATGTTAGGACCAGAATAACCTGTATATTCCATTTGGAGATTGACCAAGCATTGGAATTCCGTGACTTGACGTTTTGTAGCAGAACTGTTTCAAATGCCATCGAATCCTCTCCCTAAATCAACATTATACAAACTTCATTGTCAAATCGATGTTCTTCCCTATATGATAATCGTGTCGGGTCAATTTCAATCCCCCCATTTTCTGTCAGCAAATCGCACTAAAACAATAATAGACATGGAAATGTTATGTCTACGTGACGGTACCTGCACTTCTTTATCATTGTCATTGTTGCTTTCACCGTACGCATAAGTGGTCATAATTTCGGCAACATTTAGAAAATTTGTGTCACTTGGCAGATAGTTTGAAAAGTCGGTTTTGAAACTCCGAAGTGATCGAAGATCCGACTCATCTTGAAATCGATTCCTTGCCTTGGGCATTTGACTGTAGCGGAACATATGGTTTGGATTCGGCATGGTCGTTCAGGAATAATGCCGCAAATTCTGGCCCTATTGGATCTCGGGCAGATGTCGCTGCTCATTATTATTGCAACGATATCTGACTCGTTATTCTGGAGCAATGCATTCTTGATGCTTGCAAATGTATCATCATGATGTTTTCACAGAGCTTATCATTGGTTGGGTTATACTGGTCAAACCTTACATCATGATATGTTAGATTATATGTGATTCATATGTCTCATAAAGAAAAGGTTATAATCTGAAAATAGCCTAAAATTTGTAAAACATCCGATCATATGTATTTATTCATTGAATTATCATAATTTAATTCATCTGAAAACTTGGGACATCATATGATACAATTAGCATGTATTACGCAAAATTGCGAGCAATATCAAACAAACGATGATATCGACAACTGATATTTCTTAAATGCGTTCATAGAGTATTTTCGACCACCTCGCATAACTGCATTTCTGTTGATTCAGATCAGCGCAAGTCACATTTAATATAAATGAGGACAAGATGAAACTTTTCCCGGTCATGATTCTTGGTTTGATTCTTAAAGTTCAGCGAAGTCTTATCACATTAATTATACGATCCGTTTAATTTATCCTTGCCAGAATATAGGTGACGCAAAAATATATTGCTGAAGACATTCTCTCAAAATAGACTATTTGAAACATCCCTATGACTTCATCCAGACCACTGTTTGGAGTAACGGAAATGCTTCTCCTATCAGTTTTCTTAAATGGTTTGATAAGAAAACGCAACATGTCTCCATTATCGCAAAATTGGTATATTATCAGCAGTTTGCGTGACTTTTTTGCATTAGCATTGAACAGAAATCGTGCATGATGGAAAGCGAAAATGTGTGCATTGGCGAATCGAAATAAAATACTGTCAACGGCATATATCGCAGAATGTCACAAGGGCTTTTTTTGGAAATTAAACTGAATAATAAAACGTTGAAAAATAAATGAATTGCCATGAAATTCTGCGGAATTTGCAATAATTCATGACTTGTTCAGATTACAAGCACAGTTCCTTATTTAAGTGCGCATATGTCAATATTCATCATCATCGTCATGGTTTACAAAATTGTTCAAAGGAAATTGTGGCAGAGAACGATTTTCTGTTTTTGGAAAACTTTACTATTCTAAATTAGAAGTAATTGTTTGTCAGCATCTACGGGTACCTTCATTCAGCATAGCGCGAATTACAAGTCTCAGAAAACCATCGAAAATAATCATTTTTGTTACTTTTTCTTTTTTGAGTTATTGAAATTTCTATCATATCATATTTCTATGTTTTGCACTGCAATTTGATCAACTGTCATCTATTGCGTACTTCAGAATCAACATATTTGCTAAAACCATCATCTTAGTTTTGATGTGATATTTGCTCATTATAATACCATCGACTTATCATTAATTTCTGAACTTTCAAATTTCTGCACGTTGATGGTTGCGAAATCAAATAACTGCACATTTACACAATAATGTGCAAATACGAAATAATTGCGAAATATTGGCATATATATCCACTAAAATATGCTTTATCGAATCAATTTCAGCTATAAATAATAAATTATGTATATTTGCAAGGGAATAATACAGTAGTTCAATATAGTTCGAAAAACAATGGAATGAGGGAGAGTATAATGGCAATGACTAGATGGTCGGGGAAATTTGTTTTTTCATCAGGTGTTTAAAGTTTTGAAAATAGGGGATATTTGTTTTCTTCAGCAGGAACGAGGTCAATGAAACAAAAAAACAAGAAAAAAAATGAAAACAAGATTAACACGTTTCATAACTAACGATTTAGAATTTAAAAAGAAGGTGAAAGAAAAAATATTAACTTATTATGAAAAATGGACAAGATTATTTTAAACCGTTGATAACCGTGTAAATTATGAATAAAACGAAAAAAGTCCATAACTGTTCTATTATTGAATTTGAAAATAACGAATGATGTTGAAGGGATAATGTATGAGACGAGATTAATGACACCTCAATTAGTTAGTAGATCTAAGAGAGAAATACTTTAACTGGATACTGTTGGACTGGTGGAATGTACGTTTCCTAAAATGAAAAAAAAAGAGTTGAATTAGTTGAACTGTTTAGAAAAGGTTTACCGAAGTAATTGGGGTTTTTATGAAATTAATCGAAGGTGAGGAAATCGGCGGTGAAGTATTGGTTGGCGCAGAGCTAATTGGCGGCAAATATTGCAGAAGTTGAGGATTGGCCATGAGCTGAGCGATCATATTCTTATTAAAGAGCATGCTTGAGGAGATCGAAGTTGGCACTGGCATCGAAGGCATGTTCATCACCATTTTGGGATCCACAAGATTCTGAGACTCGTTCTGATGTGGTTCTTTTTTTGTAATATCTCCTAATCCGAACAAGTCGCTCAACATAGGGTATTCCATGATAGATTGGCTAACTGAGATAAGTGATGGAATTATCATTAGCAATGTGGAAACCCTGAAAATATATTTTCTATATTCCAAAAAATTTCGCATCCGAAATGGATTTTTCAATTGCTGAATGCATACTTGAACATAGGACATTGATACCACTCACCTCAATGAAGCTTCAATTGATGGATGAGTGTTTGTAAGATAAGCAAACAACGCTTTCAGAAGAGCATCACGAGCATCTCGAATTTTTTCTCTAGATCCTGATGAGAGCCCAGCAACATCTGGTGTAAGAAGCAATAATGCCTGACAGAAAAACATTATATTACAATTTTTGTCTGTTACCTACCTTAAGGCAACTGAACTCGGATTGATCAGCATTCATTCTTCTTAGTGGCGTCAGTAGCTCATCGAGAATTCTCGAGATCACATGGATCAATTCAGCTGGATGAGATGACGAGAGACTGAGGATTTGATCATTCGGAAGAACGAAATGAGAAGTATTGATGCTGCGCTGCATGGTCCCAAGCAAAGTGAATGAAGGCGCATACTTTTTGAGAATCAGCATCTACAATCATCACACTTTCAATAGGCATTTTGTGATCTTTCAATGCTAGGTCATCATCTTGTGAAATACGGTAGTAGTGACATCAGCGATTGAAAAAAAAAAGTCGCTTACTCACCTTATCTTCTAGTGGTATTTCGGGAAGAGGATGCAACATATTTGTCCATCCAATAAGATGATTTACCGCTCTCTGCCGACTATTCTTCTGCTCCATGTCGTCACGAAGCATAGCGTTCATACTCTGATTGCTAAGAAGTCTGTTCTCAATATCAATCAGCATCTCAATAAGTTTTCTTGAAATCGAAGTGCTCGTGGTGTCCTGAACACAATCATCTCATAAAATTACTAGTTCACTTAAAGTGTACCATTTTTGGGCTTGGTGTGCCCTCTGAATCAGAGTTGTTCTCTGAATTTGGTCCACTCCGTTTTCTTCGCTTCGTACTTCCAATTCTATCCCTTTCATTTTGAATTGCTAAAAATAGGAGTTTCAATAATCTTGTAAACGGATATATGTATTTTCCCATACCTTCCGGCTTCATGCCATCCGCCAGACACTTCTGAAATCGACAGTATCTACAAGCATTCCGATGGTCTTTATCAATATTACATTGCTTGTTGAAACGGCAAGTGTACTGTAGATTCTGCCAAACACTATAAAAACGACATGAAGCAAATGATTGACATCATCACCGACCTTCTCCGAAAAAACCCTTTGCAACCGTTGCAAGCTACCGCTCCGTAGTGTTTTCCGATAGCCTTGTCACCGCAAACAACACAAAAATCTCCACTGTTTGCCGTTGACGTGGATTCAGTGAACGGCGTATTCATGAGAAACTCCATCTAAATTATTCGAATTAGAGTCTGTCGAAAATGAGAATTATGATGATAAATGAAGGCGTAATAATAATTAATAAGCTTTTCAGGTTCTTTTTGGAAGAGCGCATGCAGTTGCATAGAGGGGCGTGGTGTGTTTTGAGAAAAAAATTGAGGAAGTACGTTTTTGAAGTGAGCTTCTCGTAGAACTTTAATTATTCATATGAATAATGAAGAAAATTCGTGCGCTGTTGTGAAATTAGAAAGTCAAGAATTGTAATTGCCGCCGGCAATAAAAAACGGAAGCATAAGAAATAACTCCAAAAGAGGAAGCATGAGGGGGTGCGGAATCGCGCACTGAGGAAACACGGAAAAAATGTAGAGCTAGTGGTCATTGAGCAGACTAGAAACATTCGTACGTGCACGGCGTCTAGAAGGAAGTTGAAGGCGCTTTTTCGAAGAGCAAGTCTTTCATACATCAAAGTGGTGAGCAACTGCCAAGAGAGCCACAACAAATAGGCCAAATTTTTTTTGACGATTGGTAGCAAAGAGACCAGCACACACACATACACACAAGACAAAATGCAAATTTTTTTGGGTTTTTGCCTAATGGCACACCGTTGGAAAACCGATGTAACTCCGTCACGTTCGCAATACCTTATCAGTCACGCAAGCCACTCCTAACCAAAGATAATGAACCAAATCAGAGTTCGGTGCCTAGCGAATTATACCCTGCGATTATGGAAGTTTCAATGGAAATGGAAATTTCAATGTTTCTGATGATAGGCAAAATGTCAACATAATGAATTATAGGTTTACACATGTTGTCTTATTGGGGGTTTCGATGTTGTTATAAATAAATATTTCATCAAATGTGGTTTTGTACAAGAACAAACAAAAATAACGCAATATCACTTTCTAAAAACGGGGCTCTCATTGGGTATTGCCTTTTACCGCGCACCCAAGGCGTATTGCACGTGTCTGCGTTTCGCGGCCTCCGAGACTATCTCATTACCGTAAGATCATCGTTCATAGAGAAACTACGTCATCACGATCGTTCGCAAAACCTGTTGAATGACTAATATAGCATACAATGAGAGGAAACGCAGACACGCGAAATACCATGGAGACCAACACAACGCATACAGTTCGACGGCGTCGAAACAGTATGCATGTCATCTAGAGTTCAGAAGAATCAACGACGATTTGAGTCGTTGATCTGTGAACGGCGAAGGTTGAAAATACATATGGGCTAATTTGAAATAATCAAAACTATTCATAATTTGCGTTCGTTCCTTTTTGATAGCTAGTTATTTTTTTCCAGGATTTTAAGTGGCCCTTATGGTATTAAATTAATCATATTTTTTGTTTTATAACCTTCATTTAGAAAATTACCTTTTTCAATATGATAAACTTTTTTGCGAAAATTTCGCTGAAAATAAAATTAAGTACTTTTCCCATATTTTGAACAACAATAATTTCTTAATGTTTTCTGAATTGTTTAAGACGAAAATTGAACAACGTAGTTGTCTAACAAATCCGAAATAATTCGAAAACCGTTGGTTTCTCTATAATACTGTTCGGTATTGCGGATAATTTTCAAAAATCCGAGATCTTCATTTTATAATACAAATACATATAAACATTAAATCGTAACTTTTGATCCTAATACCCATTTTTAAAAATTGAACTACTCTCCTATTGATCAATTTTGTGTGTGTGTGTGTGTGTGTCTGGTGATGTTGAATAGAAGACACATGACATTCGGAACGATATTTGAAGATCACAACTAAAAATACTGCGTATTATCAATGATAACAAATTAAGAAAGACTTCAGTAGAATTCATTTTTGAGGGGATGGAAAACCTTAATGAAAAGTTGGAATATTGTTGTGGTGAAAGAATAAATGATCGTTGTATGAAATGCATAGTACAGCAAACATGTACACAATCGTGTTTTTATTATAACATAAAAGGAATTTCTACTATTGGTTTCTCAACACAATTCATTTTCGACCAACTAATAAATAAGCAAAAATGATTTTTAACGAATAATTGATAAAAGTTGAAATTGATAAAAAAGTGTTGTCTCTATTTCATTTTAAAAAATTTAAATCTTTAATGAGAAAATTCCCGAAAAAACCATTGAAATCGGAAACATCGGCAACTCTTTATAAGGAAAATGGACACATTCCGCAAACCCAGAATACGCGATAAAAATCTTTGAATAAAAATCTATATATATATATATATATATATATATATATATATATATATATATATATATATATATATATATATATATATATATATGCGCACCTAACCGAAATGTGGCCTATTCAGAGATCACTCGAAATTGTTGAATAATGTTAATATGTATATTACTCTTAGAAAAGTCCATAAGAAGAACGAATTATATTCGGTGACATGACATGGACTTACTATGTCAGACATCATGCCGAATAATCTATGGCGTAACCGAATTTTCGTTGTAGTTTTACGAATTATTCACACTTCAGTTATGCAATGAAAAAGGCTCATTTGTTACAGACATGATGAAAGATTGAATTCTAAAAAAGATTCAATCATGATGTAAGTTTCTACACGTTTCATTAGCAGCCGGAAAGGAGGAAGCAGACTGAAATGAAGATTTTTAAGAGAATGAATGTTTTCGAGTTGCTGTACGAGTGCAAATTATTCATAACAACTCGTCTGAATCATTAGTCTGAGATGAAATTGACATATTTTCGTATTATCAAATTGGATTGCTGTAATGATTCACTGTTGAAGAATATTGAACAACAGTCTTCTTGAAGGCATGGTCAACTTTTATAAAAAAAAAGCAATACAAGACATTTGATTGGACAATATACTGTGTACAGTAATATTATTGAAGGACATTCCAAACTATAAATGCTTCGTGAATAGAATTTGTTGAAATATTCTAAGAAAATGCACACTACATTAAATGTCTACTTTTTTGGTGGCCCTTAAAATATGCCATATTTGTATTCTCCCATAGGAACTTCTTGGTGTAAAAAGTTATTTAGTACCAAGGGAGTTTTCCATTACAATTTGTGTTGTCTTTTCTTGGATGATGTATAAGGGCACTTTTAAAGACAGAGTCAGTCTACATACAGTACTGGCCATAATGATGTTCGCCTAGTGTTTTTCGAGCATAACTTGGCACAAACGCGGCCGATTGGGCTGAAATTTTTACCATATCTTTAAAACGCGTTTAAAATGCGTTTGATTGGTATCACATACTGCAGAAAATTTTTTTTTTTCGAAAAATCACAAATTTCATAAAAATGCGGAAAATGGAAAAAATGACACAATGTGATTTGAAAGTCTCAGAAACCCGAAAACATTACAAATTTGTAGAAAACCAATTTTTAATTTATCAATACTTGTTTGCGTATCCCTTGACATCAATAACCGCTTGGCATCTGCGAGGCATCGAGTCCAAGAGGGTGCGGATCACTGCATCGGAATGGCACTCCATGCGGCTTTGAGTTGAGCGAACTTCTCGTCGGCGATTGATGCTCGGAGCCCTCTAACAATGCGTACCAGTTCTTCCCAGAGATGTTCGATCGGATTATGGTCAGGAATCTGTGATGGCCATGCAAGAACATCAACGCGGCGACGTTAGAACCAATTCTTTACATGTCCCGACATGTGCTCAGGGTCGTTGTCTTGCTGGAAAACGAATGCACGTCAGACGTTTGCCAATTCCCAAGGTCTCATTGTGGTTTCCAGGATATCCTTGTACTGGTACCGAACCATGATTCCATTTACACGTCGGAGCGGTCCCATGGCGGTGTCGGGGAAGCAGCTCCAGACCCTGCAAGATGCTTCACCGTTCGGAGGTGGTACTTTGGCATGAATCTGGCTCCGATAGGTCGACGAATCCACTTTATTACATCAGTTCCGAACAAGTTGAACTTTGATTCATCGCTCCAGATGTGTTTGGCCCATTCACATCGTCCCCAGTTCAGATGATCCTTGAACCATGCCACCCTCGTCTTTTGGTTCTTCTCACTGATCAATGGTTTCTTCACTGGGCGTCTTCCATGAAGTCCATTCTCCACCAAACGACGTCTAATTGGTCTTCTGGATGACATTGAAGCATTTGGCGTTACCACAAGCATCTGGACATCTTCTGCAGTCCGTCTAGGATCTTCTCTCGAAGCACGGCAGATGTTCCGATCATGGAGTCTAGTGGTTTTGCGAGGTCCACTGTGTGATTTGTTGACAAAAATGCAGCCCTATAGATTAGAAATAGTCCAGAACGAATAATAAATCGTAAATTTTGTCTTAATCATTGCAAAACTTTTTGGATTCCTCTTCGGGAGCACAGGAACTGCTGAGCCAGAAGGCTTCTGGACGACCCAGTCTTATGACCGTTGACGATCGGTTTTTGAACGTCCGCCGTGAAATTTTTCTTTCCAGAAGGTTGAAAAATTACTAAAAACATGTTTCAAGTTCAAATTTCAAATAAAACAATTTTTATGGACAAAGTTTGAAAAAAATGAAAAATTGGTAAAATCGAAAAAAAACAAAAAAAATTGAAAAATAAAATAATTTTTCAACATGATGCAATTTTTGTTGTTTACAAGGTTTCGCAACTGTGTTTAGCGTTTACAGTAAAAATTTCAGCCCAATCGGCCGCGTTTGTGCCAAGTTATGCTCAAAAAACACTAGGCGAACATCATTATGGCCAGTACTGTATATCTGTGTTTATCAGATAATGCGCTGATAGAATTATTTTATATTTTTGAAATGAAAAATAAAAAATCAAGGTTGGGGAAGTATCTTGCAAATGTTTGAAGAATTCGCCCAACAAACTATGTGAATCATATACTAATTACTGTTCAATTGTTCGAATTTTGTTACATATCTTGAGAATTACTACACTACTCAAAGATATTCTTATGTTCAAAACTTGTGACAGAACTTATTCGGATAATTAGCAGAACACCAACATATGCATACTCGTTTTCTTACATATCTCATATTTCTTATGA